CATTTTTTGGGGCACTCATACCACATCTTCTCATATCTATATAACAAAAATTCTGAACTCCAAGGCAAATTCAAACAGGAGAATTCCATAAAAACTGACAAAATCAAACATTATCAACAAATAGAATGTGTGGAAAATAACTGTCCTATTCCTGATTTGGTACAAAAATATATAAAAGAAACTCAGTTTATCTGCACGTATCAAAATTAAACTGGATGGTTGCTATGAAATTATTGTGCATTGAAATGATTGATAATAAACTGCATGTGTAAAAGATATTTTTTACACTGATATAACTAGAATTTAAACAAAAGAATGTTTTTAATTTACTTAGAAGTTTTTTTACAATAGCATGTTGACTGAAAAATTGGTAAACTTAAGAATGTACTTAGGTCATGAGGTTTAGGAATTTGTGTCAGATGTTCAGAATCCATGGTTTTTTTCCCTTCAATACAGGGTAAAATATTTTGCCCCATAACACCCACTTTTCTTTCAATAACTCATTAAAGGTCATTTACCAAAATTTAAGCAAATTCTTGATTTCTTTTTTCTCAATTTGAGAACTAAATAATACCAATGCAAATAAGGGTAAAAGTCCAAGTCAGTCTTTTCCCGCCATTTTTTAAAACTCAAATATTTCGAAAAGGAGCTCCATAACCTATCTTATTACCTTATTTTGTTCCTTAACTAATGTTCTTCTGACTTATAGTATCAATTTTAAATTCTTGATTTTCTTAATTTCACCTAAGTACATCCTTATAAAGGCATCAGTTTACCAATTTTCAAACATTGTTATTCAGATTGCCATTTGAAAATAATGGATTGAAAGATGTTCAGTCTGCAAAGTCTGTGTATACTATGCCCAGATTTCACAAATCTGGACAAATATTAAAATAAACTGAATTGTCTAGCAAATATGACCATTGTCACCCTTCAAAGTCCAGTTAAAATGAGGGCAAAGCTTTCATCAATACACTGTACAAATTGTACTTTAATATATTTTCTGTTAAATGAAGTCATCAGAGGAATTTTTCTAAACTAAAGCATGGTTACAGTGCCAGCATATGAAGTATATATCTCCTTGTTAATATCCTTTTTAATTTGATATTACTAAACTTGCTTTTCATGTCATGATTTCATTGATAGAGGCCTACTGCTTGAAAGGAAGCTGTAGGATTAAGGGCTCCAAATAATCACTGATAATAGTTTAAAAGAGAGGCAAAATATACCAAAGGGACATTCAAACTCGAAAATAAAACTAATAATGCCATGGCTAAAAATGAAAAAGACCAACAGACAAACAATTGTACACAAAAGACAACATACAAAGTCATCCCTTTGAAAGTTTTACAGATGCCATCATGGCTGACAGTTATGGTATGTCTGTATTTCTTTTGATATAACCACAATCTCTCCCTCTTTTCCTTGATTGTGAGATTATGAATATGACCTCTCACTTGAGTTCACCCCTAGGTTTTTGTAGAGTTCGTGTTGCTCAATTTTCACTCTTCTGTGTAGAAACAACATCAAAATAAATGTGTCATAAGAAAATTAAATTCTACACCTGAAAAATTCCATTTGTAATCCTTTAACAGTCAGATGTAATCCAAACAAAACAAAAACTGCAACCCACAACTATACTTTTTATACCTAATATCAACTCAATACATGTATCAATAGATTGATTGATCCATTGCTTTCAAGTGTCAATTATTTTATGCAAACCAGTATTCAGAACTACAATATATGCAGGTATAACATATGCAAGTGGGGACAACTGTTGGATTTCCAAATGATGGAATAACAAAAGGATGGAGCCCCACTTTATACTCTTGCCAAAGAGTGGGAAGGGCATACAATATTGTTTGATGTCTGGTATGCTTTGTGCATATGTTGTCAAAATTTACCAGCACATTTTTTTAGTAATTGTCGCTGATGTCCATCCAAAATGATTCCCAGATTTTTCAAAGCCAAAATTCTGTTCTCTTTTACCTGATCTTGACGTAACAAAATGCTACTTATCACCCAATTTTTACTTGCTATAAGTAACATAACGGGTTTCATTAGTGGAGCAGGATCTGCCTACACTTCGAGAGCACTAGAGATCACCTTGGTTCTTGGTGTGTATGTGTTGCTCAGTCTTTAGATTCCTGTGTAGTGTTTTGTAGACTATTGTTTGTCTTTTCTTGGTTTTTCCTTTTGGCCATGGTTTTGTCTGTTATTCTTTGATCTACGGTTTATGATTGTCAATTAATATCATTTGTCTATTTTTAATCACACAAAATATTTCTTTGTCAGATGGAAAAGTATGTAAAACGTTAAGATTTGTCAAGATAATTGAAATTGTATGCTGACTTATATAAACAAAATTAAAGTAAAGAAAGTATAACCATTTTGAACACACTACTTTGCCAAAATGATCTATAAAAATCTTAAACATCAAAGGTACTTGGATTATGTTTCAGTTTTTGATTACTATATAAACATACATTTCTTTTATTAAATATACCAAGCAATGGTTTCAGTTAAAGCATTACAATTACGCTAATTTCTGCTAGATATATAAAGTCATTTACCCTAAAGCTAAGGGTTTTATTCATAAGCTAGAACAAGCAGCCAAATAAGTTATAATCAATTTCTTGCAAAACATTTTATTTTTACAGGTTCTTTATCTTATTTAGCTCCACTGCTGCAATTGTTGTCACATAAATCAAAATCCTTTGCAAAGTGGCAGCTACTGTCTCAATAATGTCATTTCTTATCTGAACCCTCTGTTTCACAATTTTCCTTCATACAATCTCCTTTTAGATGTTCAGGTTTACCACAGGTGTTGCAGGTTGTGATATCTCCATCTTCCATCTTTGATTCCTTCTGATCACTAGTAAATTGACTAAGATCTCCACAGCTTTCTGTATCCTCATTACTATTAGATTTGGGGCAATTTCTTTTCACATGTCCAAGTTCACCACAGTTATAGCATTTTTTTCTATCATCCCCTCTGTTAGTCTCATGACAAGTTCTTTTCACATGCCCAGATTTGCCACAGCTATAGCATTTTTTTCTATCATCCCCTCTGCTCACCTCAGGACAATTTCTGTTCACATGCCCAGATTTGCCACAGTTATAGCAGCTTTTTCTCTCATTGCCTGTGCTCACCTGAGGACAATCTCTTTTTAAATGTCCAGTTTTCTTACATTTAAAACATTTCCTGCTATTCACCTCTCCTTTTGAGCGGTTTCTTCTACCTCTATGACTACTTGGTTCTTGGCAATCCTTTTCCATGTGTCCTGGTATTCCACAGTTGTAGCAGTCACCTCTCCTATCCTCATCTCCGTCCCCACTTTCAGCGTTCTCCCCTGTACCAATGTAGCAGGCACCTTCCCTATCCTCCCCTCCATCTCCAATGTCATTGTTCTCCCCTGTACCCATGTAGCAGGCACCTTCCCTATCCTCATCTCCATCTCCAATGACATTGTTCTCCCTCCTAAAAGGTGTTTATTACTGTTGTATAACAATATATATATATATGTATATCTTAGCATGATTTTAAGAATAAATAAACATAAATAGATTTAACGTATCCATCTCTAGTATTTAAATTCATGCTTCATCTTAGCCACGAAATCCACAAAAATTGATATACCACAAATAATAATGAATCCATGATAGTATAAAAGGGGGGGTCATAAAACAATCAGGAAACAATAAAGGTCAATTAGTTAAAGTTGAAATTGTGAGCCATGAATATCTTATAACAAGACTCAACAATATTTTGTGTTCATATGACACCATGCCACACATACAATATCACATTTACATGTTAAGTGATACTTGATATGTTTGTCAAAACTTCAATTTGGCATATATCTATAAATAAAATTGAGAATGGAAATGGGGAATGTGTCAAAGAGACAACAACCCGACCATAGAGCAGATAACAGCCGAAGGCCACCAATGGGTCTTCAATGCAGCGAGAAACTCCCGCACCCGGAGGCGTCCTTCAGCTGGCCCCTAAACAAATATGTATACTAGTTCAGTGATAATGGACGTCATACTAAACTCCAAATTATACACAAGAAACTAATATTAAAAATGATACAAGACTAACAAAGGCCAGAGGCTCCTGACTTGGGACAGGCGCAAAAATGCGGCGGGGTTAAACATGTTTTTTGAGATCTCAACCCTCCCCCTATACCTCTAGCCAAAGTAGAAAAAACAAACGTACAACAGTAGTAAATGTTCACAGTATAATGAACCTGTGTAGTAAAAATACAGAGCTCCAAGGAAAATTCAAAAGGATAGTCACTTAACAAATGGCTAAATCACCTGATTTCTTGTGGGTTAAGAAATCGTTTCAATATCTCCTTACTGGCTGTAGAGATCTGTTATCTAATAGTCAACTGTCATACTAAGTAGACATTCTTTGACCATCATGGCAAATATCTTAGATAATATTGCTCATTGAAGATAAAACTAAAAGACAAATGGCTGCAATGAAAGCCGATTACATTGTATAGTTAAAACATTGTACAGGACAAACCTAGATTATATCACATCTTCTTATTTTTATAATTGATTGAATGATTGATTGGTTTTTAACACCACTTTTAAACACTATTGTGTTATTTCATGTCAGTCAGTTTTTATTGGATGAGGAAACCAGAGAGCCTGGAGAGAACCACCAATTCAGTAGGAAAGCAAACAATCCTTAAGATTGGAGTCGAGTGCTCCTGCAACCTGCATGATTGAAACTTACAATCTGAGTGTTGACAGGCTAGTAATACAGTAGTTCATCTTCTTAGACTACTTGGCAACTGAGGTCACACAAATCTAGATTAACAATAGGGAGGAAAAAGACGAAAAGCACTATTTCTGAAAACAGAAGTAATTTCGACAGATTTCGAACTCTGTTTTTTGGAAAAATATGAAGTTTTTCTGAAGGTATAAGGATTAAGACAAAACAACAATATAACTTTCAAATCATTTCTTTTTTTTCTTACCTTTTCCAGGCACATAACTCTTGAACTTTTCTTTGAACCTCAGCCAGTCTAGGTTGTAACTTTAACTGTGATACACCCATCACACCCTCCACAAACTTGGCATCCTATTAACAAAAAATATTTATCATTAGCCTTATTTTCTAAAATTTTCCTTTGGTCTTTATTTTGTGATAATTTTCCATATCACGCTAATCAAGTGATATGAGTTTGTCTCAGTCAAGTAGAAAAAGAATGTATGACATCACGAGCCCTACATCATTGATATTGCTTAGGAAAACAGCAATAAACAGATTATAAATGGTCTTCCAAACTCAAGGATGTTTCTCTGCTATATCTCATCTGTAGGGCTATTGTATCTGAGAAACACCCTCTCTTTTGAAACACCATCGATAATCAATAACTATTTAGCCTTATAATTTTACTCAGTTACTGTGGATTTCTAATTATTAGTTAAATACCAATTTTCGTGGTTTTTGTGGGTACGGGGAAACCACAAATTTAAATGTTCAACGAATTAAGAATTTTCTATAGGAATATATGCAGACTGTAGAAAAACCATGAAATGAAATATCCACAAAAATTCAAGTTTTCCTTTATTAATCCATGAAAAATCGGTTCCCATGGAAATAAATGAATCCACATTATACATTAAATGACATTCAAATTTACATCACAGAGATCTCAATTATTCTATTGTGTTTTGGATTGAGCATCACAGAAGACACATTAGTTGTCAAAATGTGCATCTGGTGCATTAAAACTGATACCTTATTTAATAGATTTCAATTGAAAAAAGGCATTACATCAACCACCGAAAGCTATATTTTATTGCAGCCTAGGTGGTCAAGTGGTCTAGGGTGCTGGACACAGTGCAGCCGGTGTTGCCACGATGTCACAGAAGCAAGCTAGGGTTCAAATCCCGCTGAGGAAAGAACAAAAAATTTGCTAATGCAAATTTGAAGATCTAACATTGTTGGGCTAAATTTGAGATGAATTATATATATATATATATCTAATTTATTGCTTACACATATGTGTTGGTTTACTTGAATTGTCAATACATGTTTACATGTGTACAATTTGGAGTTTAGTATGGCGTTCATTATCACTGAACTAGTATATATATTTGTTTAGGGGCCAGCTGAAGGACGCCTCCGGGTGAGGGAATTTCTCGCTACATTGAAGACCTGTTGGTGACCTTCTGTCTGTTCTATGGTCGGGTTGTTGTCTCTTTGACACATTCCCCATTTTCATTCTCAATTTTATTAATAAATTATAGTTTTGGACCCTGTTTAGTCTTCTTGAATAGTTAAACCTTTTTAACAAATTAATCATTTAGAAAACCTGTTTTGGTGTACTTGAATTGTCCATAACTTTTTAACAAATTCTCCTTTAGGACCCTGTCAATATACTTGAATTGTCCATACCTTTTTAACAAATTCTTGTTTAGGACCCTGTTTTGGTGTACTTAAATTGTCCTTGCTTTTTTTTAACTAATTCTCATTTAGGACCCCGTTTTAGTGTACTTGTATTGGCCATACCTTTTTAACAAATTCTCGTTTTGGACCCCGTTTTGGTCCACTGTAGTTGCTGCTTTTGCTTATTTCAAGTCCATCATCATCTACATTCTGAGATTCGGTCTCTGAAAATTTATAAATAGAATCCAATTAACATCTGCTCAAGGTAAAAACTAATCTCTACCTTCAGCGTACCTTCTTGAAAATTAAAAAAAAAATACATTTAAAATATTTCAATTTCTGAAAAAAAATTCCCTTTTGTTTAAATCATACAAAACTCATTTGTATATAACAAACTGTCAATACCATGGCAAATAAAATGCTCCACTGGGCGCAGTTTGATACGACCACAGGGGTCGAACCCTGAACAGTTGGGGCAAGTATGGACACAACATTCAAGCTTGATACAGCACTGAATTTGGATTGTGATTAAATATTTGACACAGCATAGGTTTCTGACACAGAATGAATGTGGTCTAAGGACTTAAAATTTTTTAATTTACCTACTGTAAATTCAGAAATTATTGCATGAATTTATTATTGCGATTTTGTCATTTTAGACTAAAATGCGATTTTAATTTTTTGCGATATTGAGAAAAATCCTGTTTAATTCATATAAAAAATTTCAAAATGCGAGTATAAATTATTGCGATTATAACCCTGTCGCATTTTTCGCAATAATAAAAACATCGCAATAATTTCTGAATTTACAGTATTCAAACCATATCATTATTATTTGCTTTTATATATAAATCAGAAATAACCAATTTAAAATGAAAAATTTTAAAGAAACCCCCCCCCTCCAAAATTTTTTGAACCCCCTTATGATTCATCACCCCCAACCTCAATCCCAGCCTTCCCTTTGTGGTATGGTACCTTGCAGTACAATTTCAGAAAGACACTTGAACACAAGTTATTGTCTGGAAACTAGAAAAATGCTTGTTTTTTTGGCCCCTTTTTGGCCCCAAATTCCTAAACATTTAGGGCAATTACCCCCAAACTCAAACCCAGCTTTCCCTTTGTGATATGGAACCTTGTAGTACAATTTCATAAAGATCCATACACTTACACACAAGTTATTGTCCTGAAACTAGAAAAATGCTTGTTTTTTCCACTTTTTGGCCCCTAATTCCTAAAATTTTGAGGCAATTACCCCCAAAATCAATCCCAGCCTTCCCTTTGTGGTATGGTACTTTGCAGTACAATTTCAGATAGATCCATACACTTGAACACAAGTTATTGTCTGGAAACTAGAAAAATGCTTATTTTTGGCCCCTTATTCCTTAACTTTTTTGGCAATTACCCCCAAACTCAATTCCAGCTTTCCCTTTGTGATATGGAACCTTGTAGTACAATTTCAGAAAGATCCAAAGACTTACACACAAGTTATTGTCATGAAACTAGAAAAATACTTGTTTTTTGCCCCTTTTTTGGCCCTTAATTCCTAAAATTTTGAGGCAATAACCCCCAAAATCAATCCAAGCGTTCCCTTAGTAATATGGAACCTTGCAGTACAATGTCAGAGAGATCCATACACTTGAACACACGTCATGTCTGGAAACTAGAAAAATGCTTATTTTTGGCCCCACATTCCTAAACATTTTGGGCAATTACACCCAAACTCAATTCCAGCTTTCCCATTATGATATGGAACCTTGTAGTACAATTTCAGAAAGATCCATAGACTTACACACAAGTAATTGTCATGAAACTAGAAAAATGCTTGTTTTTTGCCCCTTTTTTGGACCCTAATTCCTAAAATGTTGAGGCATTTACCCCCAAAATCAATCCAAGCATTCCCTTTGTGATATGGAACCTTGTGGTACAATGTCAGAGGGATCCATACACTAACACACAAGTTATGTCTGGAAGTTACAAAAATGCTTATTTTTGGCCCCTAATTCCTTAACTGTTGGTACCATAATCCCCAAAATCAATCCCAACCTTCCTTTTGTGGTATTGAACCTTATGGTAAAATTTCATAGAGATCCATTCACTTAAACTAAAGTTAGAGTGCGAAAACCAATGTGTCTTCGGACAACGACGACACCAACGTCATACCAATATACGACCGCAAAAAAACAAAGAAAAGACAAATAACAAAACATAAAATAAAGACTGAGTAACACGGATGCCTCTAAAAACTAGAGGTTTCCAAGTCAGGATCCTGGTAAGGTGTTGTCTATTGGACTCGGGTCTTTAGAGTTTGACATATTGTAACACTGCTGTCTATTGTTGAAGGTCATTAGAGTTTGATATATTGTAACACTGCTGTCTATTGTTGAAGGTCTTTAGAGTTTGACATATTGTAACACTGCTGTCTATTGTTGAAGGTCTTTAGAGTTTGACATATTGTAACACTGCTGTCTATTGTTGAAGGTCTTTAGAGTTTGACATATTGTAACACTGCTGTCTATTGTTGAAGGTCTTTATATAAAAATAAGTAGATGTGGTATGATAATCAATGCCAATGAGACAACTATTCACTAGAAACCAAAGGATGGTAAAACCATGATACCTTTTGGGTATTTTGTGTTGTTGGGTAGGTATCTTATTGAAATATCCCCACATTTTCTTTTCTATTCTTGGTTCCCAATTTGGCACATCAGTTTTTTTTATGTATATTTAATATACATTCTCACAATAGTCTAGTGATCATGTATAATAACCAAGAAACCATGTACTGTTTACAAATCATCAGCCCTGCTTGGTGTGGCCATGCTAACTTAATCAGGAAGTAAAATTTGTCATTTTCTTTTCCCAGAAAACACTGGTAAATGTTTGGCCACAGAACTTACATGTATTTTTGAATGTGGCTATCCCTCACTATTCAAAAGTGTTGCAATGGAATTCAGATATATCTGGTACTCACCATTACACCATGCAGGAAGGGGTGGTGCAGGGGGCGTGTCATCTACATCCCCATATCGTGAGAACAATTCTTTAAGATAATCTTGTTTATAAATGCCAGGAGGCCTTTGAGTAGCATATGTCTGTACAGCTGCATCTACACTGTAAACATAAAAGGGTCAAATTTTTTAAATAACTAATAATCCACAACAAAATATTTATTTTCAAGCAGGTTTATCTTTGCTGATATCCCGATGATCAAATAAACCTGACAATTTCCCCTTGTCTCAATTTCATTTCCATGTAAAGTAATCAACAAGGACAAGAAAAACATGTAAAACCTGCCAAATCGGTTTGTCATTTTAATTCACTAAATGTAAACCATATGAAAAAAAAAACACTTTACAGTAAATAGACCATTCCATTTAATATCTGAAAAGGGGGTGGATGTTTTATCTGAGAGGCATCAAAAGTCATTTCCAATACCAATTGGCTCATAAAATATCTGAGGTATCAAATGTTTGTTCCTGATTAAGTCTTTTTCTTTGTCTGAATATATGTAAAAATAAAAGGTTGATGGCATCTGAGGGGTTTAAAACCAAGCATCTGAAGGATTGAAATTTGCCTGAATATTTTCTTTAGGCATCTTTTGACAAGGTAACCATCTAACCCTCCCCCGCTTTTTCAGATAATAAATAGAATGGTCCAATGTTTTATATTTACCTCCAATCATTTTTTTCTACAAGATATGAACTAATAAGAAATCCAGTTCTGTTGAAACCATGTGTACAATGAACACCTAGAAACACAAACAGTATTAATACAGGTATCATTAACATGATATATTACATACATTTCAAGGTTTTATTTTTAAATAAAAGAAGAATGCCTCCACTCAACGTTTGCAACGAAAATGGGAAGGACAGAAAGACAGAAGGACAAAATGACAGAAGAACAGAAAGTCAAGGGTAACATTAAATGCCCCTATCAAAAAAAAATTAACAAAATAATATTCTGTCCACACATAATCTCAAATTTTCAAACCATAAAAAATTAGCTTTGGTAGAAATGTATGCCTTACAACAATTTTAAATCACAAAATATTGAATGATTACACATACAAGTACAATGAAATAGGAAAAATGGTCTTCAGTCAAGGGGAAACAACTGGAAGGTTTTTTTTTAATTCAGAAACTTTAAAGTGACATATTTCCACAACATTATATTTTCTTGTCGCATAGAGTTACATGCAAAAACAGTTTTTCAGTCAATGTAATTTTTCCATTAATAACTTTAAAAAAAAATTTATTTCTTCTTAGATTCCTATGAAGATAGTAGAATATTTTGAAATTTCTCAATTTTATATTCAATCGTTTTCAATCATTTTAATGATATCAAATATTTTTTTCTTTACATTACTTTATATTAATATATTTTTCTGCATCAACACTGAGTCACATGACTGTGTATTGCAAACATTTGGTCACATGACTGTATATTACCAATATTTAGTCACATGACTTTACATTACCTATAATTTCTAATGGTTTTTGTGAAATGAATCTGCTACATATGTCAATAAATGTGCTGGTCTGATCAACATCGGGAGACTCACCATGTCTGAAATAAAATAAACACAACATCCTTTATATCAAGATAGGTCACTTGTCATAACCACAATCTAATTCCTACTACAGGTTTTAAGGTTTATGACATCACTGAATGTAATATTTCTTACTAGCCTTGTGCAACAAGAACTGCCACTAGGGGAGCATGAACTATTTAACATCAAAGCAACTAAGTCCATTCATGAGTTTCTGTAAGGTTGTTTTGGTCAATCATTAGTCTTGTGGACTTGTTTGTGTTGTCGTCTATTAAAGATTAGCAATGTTGTAATCTTCCTTTCTTGTTTGTGTTGTCGTCTATCAAAGATTAGCAATGTTGTAATCTTCCTTTCTTGTTTGTGTTGTCGTCTATCAAAGATTAGCAATGTTGTAATCTTCCTTTCTTGTTTGTGTTGTCGTCTATCAAAGATTAGCAATGTTGTTATCTTCCTTTCTTGTTTGTGTTTTCGTCTATCAAAGATTAGCAATGTTGTAATCTTCCTTTCTTGTTTGTGTTGTCGTCTATCAAAGATTAGCAATGTTGTAATCTTCCTTTCTTGTTTGTGTTGTCGTCTATCAACGATTAGCAATGTTGTAATCTTCCTTTTTATTGTTTGTGTTGTCGTCTATCAAAGATTAGCAATGTTGTAATCTTCCTTTCTTGTTTGTGTTGTCGTCTATCAAAGATTAGCAATGTTGTAATCTTCCTTAATTGTTTGTGTTGTCGTCTATCAAAGATTAGCAATGTTGTAATCTTCCTTTCTTGTTTGTGTTGTCGTCTATCAAAGATTAGCAATGTTGTAATCTTCCTTTCTTGTTTGTGTTGTCGTCTATCAAAGATTAGCAATGTTGTAATCTTCCTTTCTTGTTTGTGTTGTCGTCTATCAAAGATTAGCAATGTTCTAATCTTCCTTTCTTGTTTGTGTTGTCAATCTTCCTTTCTTGTTTGTGTTGTCGTCTATCAAAGATTAGCAATGTTGTAATCTTCCTTTCTTGTTTGTGTTGTCGTCTATCAAAGATTAGCAATGTTGTAATCTTCCTTTCTTGTTTGTGTTGTCGTCTATCAAAGATTAGCAATGTTATAATCTTCCTTTCTTGTTTGTGTTGTCGTCTATCAAAGATTAGCAATGTTGTAATCTTCCTTTCTTGTTTGTGTTGTCGTCTATTAAAGATTAGCAATGTTATAATCTTCCTTTCTTGTTTGTGTTGTCGTCTATCAAAGATTAGCAATGTTATAATCTTCCTTTTTTGTTTGTGTTGTCGTCTATTAAAGATTAGCAATGTTCTAATCTTCCTTTCTTAAATTCAATCATCCTCAATATGCATGAAATATTTGCCACTGGACATTTAGCAACCAACAATCATTCGATTCTTCAGTTTATACTTTTTGATTGCTTCCTTCATTCTACTCACTTTTTATCACCTTTCAAGTCTTTTTTTTTATATTTAAATGTAAATTGTAAAGTGGATGATGGATCATACACTTGGCAAAGCATTTGACTCCACAGCTTTTCCAAATAAATCTGAACTTTAAAAAAAATAAATAAGTAAATATATTTCTCTTCATTTTACAACCTAGAAAATTGTAAAAAAAATTATCTCTTGTAGTTTAAACAGAACATTGAAAAATTAATTGCCTTCTACCCAACACAGGAGACCACTTACAAGTTTACCAGAAACAGAAGTGCTGAACATTTCTATACAGACTACTATCCTAAAGATAAGTGTTTTATGGACTACTGTTTTATCTCTTTTACTGTCCTTGGTATTGTCTGTTCTAATCTGACTTACCCCGGTAAATGCTTCTATTTCTATAATCTTCATTAAAGAATAGATGTAATTTACCTATGCATTTCTACAGCATGTTATGCTTAAATAAAATATGATTAGACCTAAATTATTAATTATTAAATTATTCAAGGCTTAAAATCTTGCATCAAATGAGCAATAGTTGTAAAGGTTGGTTCAACAAAATGAAAAACATATATCATATATTGGTTTTTTCCCAGGTTTTGATTACTGTTTTGACCTTCGATTGGTAGTTAAATTCTCGCTGTGGTTGTTTTTTTCAAATTCATGGCCTTGTGCAATACATTTGAATGAACAGTGAAATGTTCATGTAGGGTAAACTGTGGGCAAGAGTTCTATACGACTCCTCGCCATACCATACAAACACAATGTCACCTTAGTGTTTATTCTGTGTGGGTGCCTTATGGTACTCTTTCCAAACTTTGCAGCAACATGTTTACTGCAGAAAAAGCATAAATTAGACGAAAAAATATTAATCTTAAATTGTAAAGGTAGGTATTTATATAATTTATAGACCATTCTTACCCTCTGCACTGCAGTTTGACATATTTACATTCAAATTTCTCCTCAACTTCATCTTTGTTATAAAATCTGTTGGTGTTTGTTAAATCTATTAATAAACCCATTTTTAGCTGAAAAAGACAGTAAAATAAAATATTTAAAAAAAACATATTGTGGTTTTTGCTTGAGTTTAATACTGAACTTAACTAATTGGTAAACCCTGTTCATCTTTTGACCATATGTGTCAACTTGCTCTTAAAAAGCATTGGTATATTTCCTGATATTTATATTTACTGCTATTTTTTTACAAATATAGGCATATATATGTTGATTATTGTCATTTTGCTTAGTTTCTTATGTTACCTATTCCAACATCGAACTCAGACTTCTTTTGAACTGAACTCACAACCTCAGTGTTGACTGGTTAGTGATTACAGTAGTAACTACTTAGACCACTCGGCCACCGAGGCCCCTAAAAATATTTGAAGAAATTTCTTTTTTAATTTCTGAAATCTGAAATGAGAAAAAATTGTCCCCTCCCTCACAATTTCTTTTTACCCCCCCCCACCCCAATTTTTTTTTTCACCCCCCCCCCCCCACCTTTTCCTTTTTATATAAAGTATCTATTAAAGGATTAAATATCAAACCTTCATGGATTTAAGTGAATTAAACAACAGGTCCAATGTAAAACAACTGTATTCAGGAATCTGGTCTTCATATCTTTTGTCTAGTGGGGTCTTAAATGGTAAAAATTTCTTATCTGAAAAATATACACATAATAACATGAATAAGATGCTGTTTATATCAAGAGTAATCTGAAATAGATCAATAGCTCAAAATCATTTTGTTTTATCTTTTGACCTTTTTTTTTTATAAAATTATATTACTGTAAATTCAGAAATACTTTTGAGGTTTTAATTAATGCGAATATTATGACTAGCTGGGTATCACAATAATAAGAACTGGCATTCTGATATCTCATACATTTATCTTTATGCAGATTTTCCTGAAGTCACAATAATTAATTTCGCATTTTTCTTTCATTCTTCAAAATCACAATAATAAATGCATGCAATAATTTCTGAATTTACAGTTTTAGTATCATCATGATTATATTTTGCTTCTACATTGTTTGTATTCATTCAATCTATTTGTTTGTTGACCTGTCTTGATAAAACTTTTTTACAACATTTTGGTTTGTATTTATTTGATATGTCAACGTACATTTGTTCCGCCTAACAGAAGTTCCACTGGAAACTTTGTTATAAACAATGTCATAATATCTGTTCCTGTTGGAAAAATATTCTATACCATTTATTCCGTTAGGAACATATACTGTAATATTTATTTCAGTGGAAATAATATTCCAGAATATTTTTTCCATTTGGAACTAATATCATGAAGGAACTTCTATTTCGTGACATATATACCCATGCTTACAAATACAACACAACTGAAACAGATAAATTTATACTAATGAATATAAGAAGACAGCAACCCAATGACACATAACAACCAAAAGACATTTAGAAGTCAACATTAGCTTTTCAAAAACACAAATGTATTTTAATTCTATTTGGTTTCATTCCTGATTGTAACTCCAGAGAACCCCTTAAAATACACATCCATTTCCGTTCTATAAAAATACCAAGCCAGGTAAAACAAGTTTATAATCTTATTTTCCATCATGAGAGATTCATTCAGAATTTAATGTATCCTACCAATAAGTTGACCTTTACGGGGACAGTCAATCCATCGAGGAGGTGGTCCTAGCTTTTTCTTATTCTTGTAGCTCATGATTAAATACTCTTCTCTAAAAGGTCCATTTTACACCTGAAAAAAAAGGAAGAAAATTAGGAGACAATCGAAATAAAGCAATCATTTTACGTAATATAAAAAAGGCAGTTTTAACAAGAATGTGTCCATAGTACACGGATATCCCACTCGCACTATCATTTTCTATGTTCAGTGGACCGTGAAATTGGGGTCAAAACTAAAATTTGGCATTAAAATTAGAAAGATCATATCATGGGGAACATGTGTACTAAGTTTCAAGTTGATTGGACTTCAACTTCATCAAAAACTACCTTGACCAAAAACTTTAACCTGAAGCGGGACAGACAGACGAACGGATGGAGGGACAGACAGACGGACTAACGATCGGATGCACAGACCGAAAAACATAATGTCCCTAGGTGGGGCATAAAAACTAACAGATAAGGGAATAGTAAGATTAGTTGTGAAGAAAGACACAGGGTAAGTATCATCTACGGTTGTCCTTATTTCTCAATTATACAAGAGTTTTTCAGAGGACCAGCTAGGGCCATAGTCAAAAATTAAAACTACAAAATCAGAACCTTTCTGATACTTTAAGGTACATGTATATAAATTAGCTGTCAAATTCATGTTCACTGATTTTACTCAAATTCTCATGTTTGATTTATAACATACTAAAACTTATACCGTCTTTTGGTGTCTATAGTACGCAGATTTTAACCCTGGGATAGATTTCTGAAAAGGGGGTACATATGATGTATGGCTACACTGTTCTTTACAGCTTTTTTTCAGTTTTAATAATAATAAGATAAAAATTGTTCTACTAATAAGTAAAAAATAGCTCTGAGATATTCATTTTTTATGGAGTTTTTTGGGGGGATAAACAATATTTTTTACTTTCAACTGAAAAAAAGCAACAGTTTTTCAAAAAGAACGTGAACTTGTAAGAAAACAATTTGGAACTAAATACATATATATATATATATATTCCTAGATTAATTTTCAATGAAAACACATTTTTTTGGCTTTCTTTCTGAAATTTATAATTCATTCCAAAAATTTATTATCAAACAATTTATCAAAAAATAAACATGCCAAACCACAAAAGATGGTGCCTAACATGTCTAATAGTTAGATGACTTTCAATTCTTGCTTTTTCCTGCACATTTCCTAGATTTGTGTATAGGATGGCAAAAGATTGATTAATTGATTTGTGGTTGCTTTACGCTGATCAGCTAGGATGGCAAAAGAAAATAATGATGCCTGAGTTTGACAAATATTTAAGTAAGTACTTCAACTTGAAATTACTATTTAAAAGTCCAGAAAAAGTTCAAAATCAATCATATACGTAAAACAGTTGTAGAGAATGAGATCCGTCTAATTTAAGTTTTATTGCTTCATATTACTATTTTCCATGAGTTTGATTGTCTTTTCTTTTGGTATTTGACAGACCCAAAAATAAATATTATATTAAAGATGATTTTTTTTCCTGTGGATTTTTCTCGCATACACAAAACAAGTCAAATTTGTGGATTTTAATTCATACCTATTTAAAGCATTTAAAGTCAGGTTTACAATCAATATGAGCTCTTTAGTTCTGATTTCTAACTTTTTTCCTGTTTACTATTCAAAAGATTTTTAGATGTCCAGTATGGATTTTGAGGTATAATTGGTAACGGGTCTGTTCGCTCCCAATACATGTTCACACCCTACACGTTGGCACCCCACACGTTCGCCCTTGGTTCATTCACACCCTATTTTCATTTAAATACTGGTTGAATTATTAGAATTTTTTAGATGTATTTATCAAAATATTCTTATTTGCATGAATAATATTTCAGGAATTTTTAAATGAAATATTTTTTTTGTGATTTGATGATTAATATAGAATAGAATATTTTATTTCCAAATTACAGGACCCATAAAGAGCATATAAACCAAGTACAATGATTAAAGTAATTGAGTCAACAATAAGACATTACAATATACTACAAAATGTATAGATATCATTATATCACACTAAACCTCAGTCAGAATCAGAGACAAAATAAAAATAACAACAACCACATTGATATCAAATGAACAGAATCAAAAATGTTTATTATGTATTACTGTAAATTGGTATTTACAAGCTTACGAAGCCACCAAATTATTGTTCTGTGTATGAAAATCATGACTGTTAATTTGTTATAACTAGCTTTGATGTAAATACTGCATGTAGTTAGCATGTAGTTAGCATATGAGTAAACTCACTGAAGATTTGGAATCTTTTGCCTTTGTTTACCAGTTTTACAAGTCTTAGATGAATGAACTGTGCCTTTATCATAACTGAGACAATATATATTGTCTAATAGCATGAAAAGTCCTAGATCATCATGACAATTTTTTATTCATGATTCATTTCATCAAAATAATTAATAAAACACTAAATTAAACCTGTTTAGGTTTTTAAAAAGTCACTTTGTTTTGAAACAATAAAAAAACCTTAATTATAGCAAGGATTTGTATAGTAAGACCTTCTTACTATACAAATCCTTGTTTAAAGCAATACACCATGTACAATAACTTAAACAAGATTAAAATATTTATTCCAAACAAAACAAAAAAAAAGGGTGCAAAAGTGAATGGGAGCGAAAGTAATTTTGGGCGAACAGACCCTGATTCGGATTTGATGAGTAATGTACTAATGAAGTTGAAGTGAAGTTGAAGGTACATGTATACCGTATAATTCACTGGACTACAACCCAAGATCTAGCCTTATTCTAACCCCTAAACAGAATATACAGTACAAACCAAAAATAAAAATGCGTAGAAATTGAATACCTATGCATGTTTCCAAAACAATTAACAAATAAATTTGTCTTTGAACAATGAAATGTTATTATATATGATTCAAAAGTTTAGGTTCATTAACAGATACAGATCTAGAGTGACAGAGTGTTATGTGGGATGTAAATATTTATTTTGCTGCTTTAATTAATGTGTGATCTCATAAACATGTTTTAAACATACTAGATAAATAAAGGATCAAAGTTGTTAATTCCAAGAAAAGCGTTTTACTGTAATTTTTTCCAACAGCAGTTGCTTCCCTTGATGCGAAACAATCAATGTATTCAATTCCAAATATGATTTGTGCTGTGGATTAAAATTCATCTATCGAAATATTTTACAAAATTTTATATCTATATTTATTGAAATTAAAACTTTTATCTATTGTAATTTTTTTTATACGAAAACATTTCAACAACAAACATTCATAAAATGTCTGCGCCCATCATCACATCAGGCCTACCTAACTTCCGGATAGACGCCATATTGGAAAAAACCGGTCATAGTCAAAGAGGTAAGTGGTCAATTTGAAAGTCTGAATTTAGACAATCGAGCAACCCAATTTTATATTTGATAAGTGTTTATGGTACTCTGAGTTGAAAATTTTGATGTTATCATATTTTGATAATTGAAATTTCTTAGGTTCTTGAGAAAAACTGCAATGTTTCTAAAAATGATGCGAAAACACATGTCTGGTAAAACCAAGTCTTGGTTTTATGAATTTTTGACAATTGTTCCTTTTTGGATAAGATATTTCTTAAAACTTAAGGTCCGATAAAACTTTAATAGGTTTTCGAATGTTTATATGACAACATCATTGCAGATCGGGTGCAAATTATGAATTTTGACGCACATGTTATGCCTCTTCATTGTTATTCAAATGAGCGACCATAATATAACCAGTTGTTTGTGTACTTCAACACATGATGTATCATTGAAAACGTGTAGGAATTGTATGGTATGAATATTTCAATATATCTGTTTAATTACTACATTAGGAAAAATGACATGATTTTACATGTAAATAATAAACTACATACATCTTGTATCAAGGGTCTGTACATGTATGTTTGTCTTTAAATTTTATTTAAATAGTAGACTCAACAGTGATATTGTTTAAATACATGTAAATTTTATTAACTTATTAATATATTGAAAACAATATAGTAGAAAAAAGAAACACCTAGAAGACATCAAAAGGACATGTAAAACCTAAGTCAAACAAAATCTACAACACAATAAGACAAAAAAGACAAATATTATGATGTAAAGACAAACAAATTTTTGAAACACTACATAGAATCATTAAGTTATAATTATCTGCGGAACCGTAGCTCTATAATATAATAGCCATATCCATATTATATCCATAATATGATAGCCATATTTATATCTATATCTTTGATAGAACCATTTAGATAAACAGTTTATCATAAACTGTATGAGTTTGATCTAAGAAGAGTAAGCATATATCTTGTTCACCATCATGTAAAATATGTGGAATTAACATTTCTAATTGAAAGTAAAAAAGTCTCACTATGGTATAACTATAAACTAGTTAATATATAGTGTTGGTTTTTTTTATATCTGTATTTGCATATAATGATTTACCATTGCAAAACAATATCCATCATTCATGAAATTATATCACTCTAGATATGTGTGCTTTAGCTAGCCTACAATATTTTATTTTTGCTTTGAATGATCCAGTACTAGTTATGTTCATATTGAATTTCATATTATGTCTTCATATAATTTCAGTCAATGGAAATACATGGAATCCAACATCCCAGCTGCTTTTGCAATTTTTCATACAGACTATGAAAACAGTACTATAGAGTATAGTGTTCTTTTAAACGTTGTACATGTTGTAGTGTTGTAACAAATTACTTTTCATCAACTATATGTACAAAAATGAATGAAGAAGGTAAGATATTAAAGTTATACTCAAATAGTTATTTTTACTTGTGAGAAAAGTTGCATGTAATATTTCATGGAAAATATTCTTTCTTCTTCCTGTTATTGACTTACAAATGTAACTCTGTCTCAAATGAATTGGAAGTTAAAAGATTTAAGAATACAAACAAGTGCACATGTACATAAACAAACATTAAAATATTATTGTCTATAATTAACATTGCCAAGTTCTCAAAATATTTTTTATAGCCTACAGCTATTGACCATTTTTACAACACAGACTACAAATTGTGTACATGTGGTCTCAGTGAAATTCAGTCATGTATTTGCAGATTTTTCATACTTTCGTACATGTAGGTGTAATTAAGATTGACCCCCCCCCCCTTTTGTGGGAAAAAATTTCTTAGGTCAGTCAGCGGGCCCCCCTTACAAAAAGTTCTGGATCTGCCACTGAGCAGCTACATGTATACCAATATAAAATACCAGACAGTTTAAAATAAGAGAATAAAACAACCACAACCTGTTTAATAGTTTGCAATCAGGACTACAACATCATTGACCTTCTTGATTTTTGGGGTCCAGACTGACAGTGCTGCCACTTTTTAAGAACACACAATCATTGATTATTTCAATTCAAATTTTTAGGTTGAAATGCTTTTGTTTTTCACTAAATGTATAACATTATAATTTCAGGTTAGGATGGAAAACTGGTGAAGATGAAGGTTACAATTGTGATCTACATATTGATTAGTTTGAAGCAGATTTTGTTCTAAAGAGGGAAATAAATAAACAGTGTGTTTTATAAAGATGTTCAATTATTTACACAACAACAAAAATAATCATTGTATGAGAGATAAATGGATATAAGTGTAAATAAAGACACTTTATTTTCTTTTTCTATTCACACTTTTTAGTAAGTAGCTATAAATAGCTACATTACCAAGCTCCTATTAGACTAATATTTTTTAAACCCTCTTTCCAAATTATTTGCAATCTTTTATAATTTTGTTCAATTTGGTGGTCCTGAGATATTGGTTAATGTATCCAGTGCTGGAAGTTTTTATACGACCACAACAAATTTTTACATTCATATATTGGTATGATGTTGGCGTCGTTGTCGTCCGAAGATACATTGAATTTAGCACAATAACTTTAGTTTGAGTGAATGGATCTCTATGAAATTTTACCATAAGGTTCAATACCACAAAAGGAAGGTTGGGATTGATTTTGGGGGTTATGATACCAGCAGTTAAGGAATTAGGGGCCAAAAATATGCATTTTTGTAACTTCCAGACAATAGCTTGTGTGTTAGTGTATGGATCTCTCTGACATTGTACCACAAGGTTCCATACCACAAAGGGAATGTTTGGATTGATTTTGGGTGTAATTGACTCAAAATTTTAGGAATTAGGGGCCAAAAAAGGGGCAAAAAACAAGCATTTTCCTAGTTTCCAGACAATAACTTGTGTTCAAGTGTATGGATCTCTCTGAAATTGTACTGCAAGTTACCATTCCACATAGGGAAGGCTGAGATTGAGTTGGGGGTGATGGATCATAAGGGGGTTCAAAAAATTTGGGGAGGGGATTTTTTTTTCTATTTTAAGACTTATATGATGTATTAAAATTAGTAATTATGGTTGCAACCTCCATTGGAAATTTGAATTGAGATTATGACCATATGTTGAGGGAAATATTTTTTTTTGGAAAAGGGGGGAGGGGTAAAAAAGAAATTGTGGGGGCAATATTTTTTTTCATTTCAGATTTCAGAAATTAAAAAGAAAATTTCTTCAAATATTATTTCTTTTTGCCAAAAAAAGGGGGGGGGGGGTAAAAATTTTTTGGGGGGGTTCAATTTCGCAGCATAGTGTATTGCACAAAAGCAAAAAATTGAATATAAATTCAAATCATATAACCAATTCTGAGTTCTTTGACTACAGTTATTCGGTGTCAGAAACCTATTAGGTGTCAAATATTTATTTACAATCCAAATTCAGACCTGTATCAAGCGCGAATATTGAGTCCATTTTTCCCCAACAGTTCAGGGTTGGACCTCTGCGGTCGTATCCAGCTGCGCTCAGCGTAGCATTTTATTGTTGTTGTTATACCCCGCTTTAAAAAAGTGTGGGTATACTGTTTTACCTCTGTCTGTCCTTCCGTCAGTCCATCTGTCAGTCCGTCCGTCCCATGAATATTTTCGTCACATTTTTCTCAGGAACTACTTGACAAGGATTTCTGAAATTTAGTTTCAGGGTTTATATAAGTAAGTTACACCGTGTGATGCGTTTTCAGATTCATCCCTCAACAACTTCCTGTTTACCGAAATATATCGGTGGGGGTATCATCAGCGAGCAGTAGCTCACAGTTTTACTTGTTTGATTTACTTTAAGATACATGGTCCTAGGAAAGGCAAAGGATACCGTTTGTATGCAGATAAAACTGGTTTATCCCTGTCGCATTGTACATTTTGGTGTTTTTATAAGTAGTGTAGTTTGTTGGTGTAAAATCAGGATCCTCACACATTTATAAATGCAAGTATCAAACAAAAGTTAATATGACAAAAAGCAACCAACAACAACCACAGAGTTTCCCTCTACTTACTTAGAACAAGGTGATACAGTATGAGAATGTGGTGGGCTTACACATACTGTAAGTGCTAAATTCTCCTGTAACCTGTGACGGTGTAACAGCTTAACATTTAATTAAGAACAATTAGTTGACACACAGAAATGTCACCCTTATAATAAATAAAAATATGTGGTATGATCGCCAATCATGAAAAAGACAACTCTCACCAGAGACCAAATGAAAATTCGAGTGTCTGCATCTTTGGATGAAATACAAAAACAAAACGTTAAACACGCCTATGAGTTTTTAAGATATCCTCTTCTTGAATGCATGGACGTGGGAGTGAATTTTTGGTATCCAAGTAAATTGGAAACTCCTAGCTAATTCCTGTATCCGTATTGTTTAAAAAATATTCACGATATTGAAAGGTGTTTCGTCGGCAGCGAACGATAACATTTTTTGGAGTAACACCAGCGTCTATATAGATACTTACTTCCATGGAGAGCTCTGTTCTTGATGTTAGCAAATAAGGGTACATATATTTGAAAACTCCCAAAAGGCATACAATCTAAATCTATAGGTATTAAAGAAAAATATTTTATAAACGGTGCCTACCTGTTTCTTATGTCAAGCTTCAAATCGTCATTAATTAAAAAGGTTATTTTTTTTCATCAAAGATCTGCAATACAGATTTTATAAATATACAAATTATTCAACAAGACACACATATATATATACATGTATATATGTCTCTGATAATGATGATTCAACCCTTTTCCAGATTTGTTTCATTGACGAAATATTGGATACTTCCTAATGAAAAAGTGGCATCCTTGCCAAATATTTATATTTTCCTCAAAGTTTGTGCATAACAATTAGCCATTCCAGCTAGTGGCGGACCCAGAAGTTTTTATTAGGGGGTCCGTTACAGTCATGGATCAGTGATTCCCTACTGATGATATAACCAACCAAATTTGTCCCTCTAAAGGGGGCCTAGATCCGCCTATGCTGATTTAGTGAACAATGCTGAAGATAAAGTAGCCAACTTGCATGAACACTATGTATGAGAGGTTCTTCTCTAAAAAACATTGGACAGGTTTTAAGGGCAGGATAATAATATGATTGAAATACGAAATTTCGATTAAATCCAACCACTGTATTTTATACTCGCATTATTTATATACATTGTGGAATCGTCTAGTTGTTAAATTGTCAATTTAGTGAATTAAAAAGAACAGAGAATAAATACGGAAAGATGTGAATAATGTGGTAAAAAAAAAAGAAGTTTTGACTTGATAATATTGCAGCTAGTGCTAGCTATTATCTGAGGCTATAATTTAATGAGACTCTCAGAGCTTTCAATGAGTATATTATAATACCACTACACGGAGTCCCTTTTTTAATATCCAACATATTTGGACGACTTGCACCAAATCACATTCTTTAGTCATTGTTTTTAATGGAGGCGGAGGATCATTTTCAAGTTTCAAGGGCTTTCCAATGCAGTATTATTGATATCTATAATTAAAAACAGGACATTGACATTTTTGTAATTTAAAAATCTTCAAAAATTGTAAGATTTTCATCAAATTAATGCTTACACGAGGATGCAGTGTTACCTGGTACCCGAAATCAAAATTATGTAAAAGCACCGACACTTTTTTTTCCTCAGGTGAAAATTAGTTTAAATAAAAAAAAAAACAAACATTTTATGTAAATTTCTGGCTGAATATTGATTCATCCGCGTTGAAGAAAATTTTACGATTGTAAAGACATTTAGAATCAAACATTTAACCCCCCCCTCCTTAAATTTGTTTTTAGATATCGTCAGGGGAAGAAAAGACATTAATTCAAGAAATATTAAGAACAGACAAACATCTGCCTTTTTTTGAGAAAGTAATTTCGAAGTCTGAAATATTTTCAATTAGACCCCCCCCCCCCCCCCCCCCCCCCCCCCCCCATCATTTTCATATTTTTATAATACACGCAGAAAACACTTTTATGGAGTGCATTCGTGTGCTTTAACACACACGAGCACGTGACAATGATTGTTATCCTATTTTGAAACTGTAAAAGAAGACCCCAAATAACCGGTCAAGGGTTCATACACTTATCGAAATAAAAACACCAAAAAACTTTAAGCCAATCGAATTAGCAGGATAATTTATCGGTATGTTCGGACTTTATGTTTATTTATTATGTAAAATCTAGATATTTCCGAAATAAATCCGCCATTATCTGAGTATCATCCGAAGCGAGTTAGGCTCCCCTCTCTATGATTTCCCCTGATCACATGCATGTTGGACTGTAAAAAGAACGAAAAATAAGATGAAGACATCAAAAAAGAAATCTAAGCACTTTGCGAAACAAAATAAATCCAAAGCCAAAAAGCCAAACAACTCAAAGTTTAACAAATTTGACGGAAAAAAGACAAAAAACAACGCAAAAGACAATAAACATGAGGAAAGCCAAAATAATGAGCGTAAGGGGAAATCCCGTGCTGCAATTGCAAACGAAAATAAAGTCAAAAGAATGAGAGAGAAGAAGTGGAACAGAAATAAAGATGACGATGACTCGGATTTTGAAGTTGTAGATTCAAGTTTAGAAAAGTCCATCAGGGTAATTATATAATTATTATATCTGTTGGATAACTCGGACTAAAACAAAAACTTTCAATAAAAAGTCATATTAAACTAGACCTCGTTCATCAAATTTGCGATAGGATTACATAATAAAAAATACAGTGTTTTGATTTTATACTAATGCCTAATGCAGTAATCATGGTAATGGCTTGGATGTTTTAACCTAGAAATGAAACACATACGAAATGGTATACACATAAATCTTCCATAATCATGTACGAAAAGGGACATATCAATGATAACAGTTATTACGAAAAAATCAAAATCATATAAATCTAAGAGATACAAAATGGCATACATATAAATCTTACATGTCAGGTACGAAATGGCATACATAGAAACTTCCATTATGTACAAAATGGTATACCTATAAATATTCTAGGAGGTAGTACGAAATGGTATACATGTAGATATTCCATTAGGTACGAAATGGTCAAGGTACGATATGGTCAGGGTACGAAATGGTTTTTGCCAGGGTACGAAATGGGGGGTACGAAATTACTATAATTTATTTATATGAAGAAATAAAGTGAACAAACTAGGACTATGATTTTTAAATTGTATTGTAAACAGTTTTTTCCTACTTTTTTTAAAAATTACTTAATTTATAAAAAAAATCTATACGAATTTTTGAGATAATGATAAATATTTTTGACAAAAAATATATACATGATATAAGGGTCTGGTCATTTGTAACATTAAAGGGGGAGGGGGGGGGGATGAGAGGAAATATAAGTTTGAATTTAATACTTTTGAATGAGGATAATTAACTTCTATTTGAAATATTATTGTGAATTTCTCCTTTGTACTTGTATGTTTATAGTATGTTTTTTTTTATTGGTAAAAGGTGTTTTAATGATTGGCGTGTGTGTGTTTGTATTGTGTTTAATCCTTGTTGTTCATAATTAGTATATACAAACTAAGAGAAATTTGATTGACATTGAAAGGCTTGTTAACAATTTCATTAATCTGTAATTCTTTATTAATGGATTCACCAATTTAAAGAGTAATTATATTTAAATGGTCACATCAAACAGATACAATGTTTTATAAAGACAAGCGGAAGCAAACATTTATTATTCTAAAAATAGATTTGAAGTCAAATTTGAAAAAAGACAGAGGTTACTTTGATCGTATCAAATTACTGATAAATAATTCAAATAAAGAAAATAACATCCATCATCATACTTATATTCTTCTAGTAGTCCAAGTTTGTTATAGTCTGATTTTGTGAGGCCGATTTTGTTATAGGCCAAGTTTGTTAGTCCGAGTTTGTTATGGGCTGAGATATCAGGGAGTCATTATATAGAGTGAAGGTCCCTAGATAAAAAGGAAACAAGACGTTTCGGCCATGGGGCAAGTTTGGCCTTGGTCGTTTCGGCCATGTAGTAAAATTTGATTTGGTCTTACTTTTATTTTATATTGAAAGAGGTTATGTTATATATACTTTCAGTTATATATCTTTTATAATTTATAGGTCGGGACTCTATCCTGGTCACAGGCATATTGCCTAACTATGATGAACTGAAACAGATGTTGAAGTTTGTAATATGTTCCTCTGATTGAAATTATAAAAATCATAATATTTCATTTGCAAAACATTAATAGTTTCAGGGGAGCATGGGGAGGTTGTTGGCTTTGCCCCCCAGATCCCCTAGCCATGCCTCGATAGAATCAGAGGTGAAGCTATGCCTGTGGTACTTTCTATTTACCTGTATTATAAAGTTTGGTCAGAACACTGTGTATTTTCTAATTCATTCTTCTCAAGTCAGTAACTTATCCCATGTAAGATAACTAAACTGGTAGATTTTAGTTTAAAGCAGCATGAATGATATTGATTTATTTTCTTTTTCAGAAAGCTTCAGAGAAGTCCAACAATACGTCTGATGGTGAAAATTCTGATCAAGAGGCTAAAGATACTAGAAAACTTCTTACACAGCATAACAGAAAGAAAAAGACATCAGGAGGATTTCAGTCTATGGGTAAGTAATTTGTAAGCTAAAAAGAAATCAGAAGGGTTTCAGTCTATGGGTAATTATTGTGTAAGCTAAAAAAACATCGGGAGGATTTAAACCTATGGACGAGTAATTTGTAAGCTAAAAAGACATCGGGAGGATTTCAGTCTATGGTTTATTAATATATAAGCTAAAAAGACATCGAGAGGATTTCAGTCTATGGTTTATTAATATATAAGCTAAAAAGACATCTGGAGGATTTCAGTCTATGGGTAATTAATACATGTATATAAGCTAAAAAGACATCGGGAGGATTTCAGTCTATGTACATAATATTTAAGCTAAAAAGAAAATGAAAATGTCATTCTATTGATAAGGTATACATATATCTTAAAAATTTAGATATTTCATTCTATGGGTGAGGTATATCTTTAATACTCAGAGGATTTCAGTCTATGGGTACTAAAAAGAAAATGAAAATGTCATTCTTTTGATAAGGTATACATATATCTTAAAAATTAAGATATTTTATTCTAAGGGTGAGGTATATCTTTAATACTCAGAGGATTTCAGTCTATGGGTAATTAATGTGTAAGATAAAAAAAAATGGAAATGTCAGTCTACAGATAAGGTATATCTTAAAGACTTAGTGACCTTGTGGAGAATTGTCTCATTGGCAATCATACCACATCTTCTTATTTTTATATTAGATATTTTATTCTATTGGTGATAATACTTAAAGGATTCCAGTCTATGGATCTTTTTTTTATTAAAAAATTTTCAGTGTCTTTTTCAAATATTCATCGTTGTTCAAATTATCATTGTTATTTGTAACAAATAACAATGATAATTTGAACAACGATGAATATTTGAAAAAGACACTGAAAATTTTTTCAACAATGTTGAATAATCATTGGTTTTTTGCAAATTATCATTTGTATTTTCAAACTTTCATTGCTCTTTTCAAATTTTCATTGTTATTTTCAAATTTTCATTGTTATTTTCAAATTATCATTGTTATTTTCAAATAGACCTTGTTATTTTTGAGTTATCATTTTTATTTTCAAATTTTCATCGTCATTATCATGTCATTATTGATTTGGATTTATCATTGTCATTTTCAAATTTTCATTTATTTTAGATTATGATTGTTATTTTCAGGATTATCTCATTCAGTATATAAAGGTATATCACGGAAAGGATATAAGATACCTACACCAATTCAAAGAAAGGTAATTTATTAGTAAATATATACAATGATAAGTAGATGTGTTATGAATATCAATGAGACAATTATCCATCAGGACCACAGGACAAAGGATATAAGATACCTACTCCAATTCAAAGAAAGGTAATTTATTAGTAAATATATACAATGATAAGTAGATGTGTTATGAATATCAATGAGACAATTATCCATCAGGACCACAGGACAAAGGATATAAGATACCAACTCCAATTCAAAGAAAGGTAATTTATTAGTAAATATATACAATGATAAGTAGATGTGTTATGAATATCAATGAGACAATTATCCATCAGGACCACAGGACAAAGGATATAAGATACCAACTCCAATTCAAAGAAAGGTAATTTATTAGTAAATATATACAATGATAAGTAGATGTGTTATGAATATCAATGACACAATTATCCATCAGGACCACAGGACAAAGGATATAAGATACCTACACCAATTCAAAGAAAGGTAATTTATTAGTAAATATATACAATGATAAGTAGATGTGTTATGAATATCAATGAGACAATTATCCATCAGGACCACAGGACAAAGGATATAAGATACCTACTCCAATTCAAAGAAAGGTAATTTATTAGTAAATATATACAAAAATAAGTAGATGTGTTATGAATATCAATGAGACAATTATCCATCAGGACCACAGGACAAAGGATACAAGATACCTACTCCAATTCAAAGAAAGGTAATTTATTAGTAAATATATACAATGATAAGTAGATGTGTTATGAATATCAATGAGACAATTATCCATCAGGACCACAGGACAAAGGATATAAGATACCTACACCAATTCAAAGAAAGGTAATTTATTAGTAAATATATACAATGATAAGTAGATGTGTTATGAATATCAATGAGACAATTATCCATCAGGACCACAGGACAAAGGATATAAGATACCTACACCAATTCAAAGAAAGGTAATTTATTAGTAAATATATACAATGATAAGTAGATGTGTTATGAATATCAATGAGACAATTATCCATCAGGACCACAGGACAAAGGATATAAGATACCTACTCCAATTCAAAGAAAGGTAATTTATTAGTAAATATATACAATGATAAGGAGATGTGTTATGAATATCAATGAGACAATTATCCATCAGGACCACAGGACAAAGGATATAAGATACCTACTCCAATTCAAAGAAAGGTAATTTATTAGTAAATATATACAATGATAAGGAGATGTGTTATGAATATCAATGAGACAATTATCCATCAGGACCACAGGACAAAGGATATAAGATACCTACTCCAATTCAAAGAAAGGTAATTTATTAGTAAATATATACAATGATAAGGAGATGTGTTATGAATATCAATGAGACAATTATCCATCAGGACCACAGGACAAAGGATATAAGATACCTACTCCAATTCAAAGAAAGGTAATTTATTAGTAAATATATACAATAATAAGTAGATGTGTTATGAATATCAATGAGACAATTATCCATCAGGACCACAGGACAAAGGATATAAGATACCTACTCCAATTCAAAGAAAGGTAATTTATTAGTAAATATATACAATAATAAGTAGATGTGTTATGAATATCAATGAGACAATTATCCATCAGGACCACAGGACAAAGGATATAAGATACCTACTCCAATTCAAAGAAAGGTAATTTATTAGTAAATATATACAATGATAAGTAGATGTGTTATGAATATCAATGAGACAATTATCCATCAGGACCACAGGACAAAGGATATAAGATACCTACTCCAATTCAAAGAAAGGTAATTTATTAGTAAATATATACAATGATAAGTAGATGTGTTATGAATATCAATGAGACAATTATCCATCAGGACCACAGGACAAAGGATATAAGATACCTACTCCAATTCAAAGAAAGGTAATTTATTAGTAAATATATACAATAATAAGTAGATGTGTTATGAATATCAATGAGACAATTATCCATCAGGACCACAGGACAAAGGATATAAGATACCTACTCCAATTCAAAGAAAGGTAATTTATTAGTAAATATATACAATGATAAGTAGATGTGTTATGAATATCAATGAGACAATTATCCATCAGGACCACAGGACAAAGGATATAAGATACCTACTCCAATTCAAAGAAAGGTAATTTATTAGTAAATATATACAATGATAAGTAGATGTGTTATGAATATCAATGAGACAATTATCCATCAGGACCACAGGACAAAGGATATAAGATACCTACTCCAATTCAAAGAAAGGTAATTTATTAGTAAATATATACAATAATAAGTAGATGTGTTATGAATATCAATGAGACAATTATCCATCAGGACCACAGGACAAAGGATATAAGATACCTACTCCAATTCAAAGAAAGGTAATTTATTAGTAAATATATACAATAATAAGTAGATGTGTTATGAATATCAATGAGACAATTATCCATCAGGACCACAGGACAAAGGATATAAGATACCTACTCCAATTCAAAGAAAGGTAATTTATTAGTAAATATATACAATGATAAGTAGATGTGTTATGAATATCAATGAGACAATTATCCATCAGGACCACAGGACAAAGGATATAAGATACCTACACCAATTCAAAGAAAGGTAATTTATTAGTAAATATATACAATGATAAGTAGATGTGTTATGAATATCAATGAGACAATTATCCATCAGGACCACAGGACAAAGGATATAAGATACCTACTCCAATTCAAAGAAAGGTAATTTATTAGTAAATATATACAAAAATAAGGAGATGTGTTATGAATATCAATGAGACAATTATCCATCAGGACCACAGGACAAAGGATATAAGATACCTACTCCAATTCAAAGAAAGGTAATTTATTAGTAAATATATACAAAAATAAGGAGATGTGTTATGAATATCAATGAGACAATTATCCATCAGGACCACAGGACAAAGGATACAAGATACCTACTCCAATTCAAAGAAAGGTAATTTATTAGTAAATATATACAAAAATAAGGAGATGTGTTATGAATATCAATGAGACAATTATCCATCAGGACCACAGGACAAAGGATACAAGATACCTACTCCAATTCAAAGAAAGGTAATTTATTAGTAAATATATACAATGATAAGGAGATGTGTTATGAATATCAATGACACAATTATCCATCAGGACCACAGGACAAAGGATATAAGATACCTACTCCAATTCAAAGAAAGGTAATTTATTAGTAAATATATACAATGATAAGTAGATGTGTTATGAATATCAATGAGACAATTATCCATCAGGACCACAGGACAAAGGATATAAGATACCTACTCCAATTCAAAGAAAGGTAATTTATTAGTAAATATATACAATGATAAGTAGATGTGTTATGAATATCAATGAGACAATTATCCATCAGGACCACAGGACAAAGGATATAAGATACCTACACCAATTCAAAGAAAGGTAATTTATTAGTAAATATATACAATAATAAGCAGATGTGTTATGAATATCAATGAGACAATTATCCATCAGGACCACAGGACAAAGGATATAAGATACCTACTCCAATTCAAAGAAAGGTAATTTATTAGTAAATATATACAAAAATAAGTAGATGTGTTATGAATATCAATGAGACAATTATCCATCAGGACCACAGGACAAAGGATATAAGATACCTACTCCAATTCAAAGAAAGGTAATTTATTAGTAAATATATACAATGATAAGTAGATGTGTTATGAATATCAATGAGACAATTATCCATCAGGACCACAGGACAAAGGCTATAAGATACCTACACCAATTCAAAGAAAGGTAATTTATTAGTAAATATATACAATGATAAGTAGATGTGTTATGAATATCAATGACACAATTATCCATCAGGACCACAGGACAAAGGATATAAGATACCTACTCCAATTCAAAGAAAGGTAATTTATTAGTAAATATATACAATGATAAGGAGATGTGTTATGAATATCAATGAGACAATTATCCATCAGGACCACAGGACAAAGGATATAAGATACCTACACCAATTCAAAGAAAGGTAATTTATTAGTAAATATATACAATGATAAGTAGATGTGTTATGAATATCAATGACACAATTATCCATCAGGACCACAGGACAAAGGATATAAGATACCTACTCCAATTCAAAGAAAGGTAATTTATTAGTAAATATATACAATGATAAGGAGATGTGTTATGAATATCAATGAGACAATTATCCATCAGGACCACAGGACAAAGGATATAAGATACCTACACCAATTCAAAGAAAGGTAATTTATTAGTAAATATATACAAACATAAGTAGATGTGTTATGAATATCAATGAGACAATTATCCATTAGGACCACAAGTCAAAGGATATAAGATACCTACTCCAATTCAAAGAAAGGTAATTTATTAGTAAATATATACAATGATAAGGAGATGTGTTATGAATATCAATGACACAATTATCCATCAGGACCACAGGACAAAGGATATAAGATACCTACACCAATTCAAAGAAAGGTAATTTATTAGTAAATATATACAATGATAAGGAGATGTGTTATGAATATCAATGACACAATTATCCATCAGGACCACAGGACAAAGGTGATAACAACTATAGGTCATGGTATGGCCTTTAACAATGAGAAGAAGCCATATGGGATAGCAAGCTGTTAAAGGCCCTCGCTGGATAAAAAATTAAACAATTCAAAAGAGAATATCAACTGCCTGATTCATGCTAAAGACAATAAACAAAAATGGCAACCAACAACAACTCAAGTTAAAAGGGAAAAAAACATGATGAAAGAAAAAGTAGACGAACTGGAACATGTGGAAGGAAGGTAGTAATTATCAATTCTGAAGAAACAAAATAATTCATGCTAGCCTTAGATTTATTTTAAATTTGTAGCTTTTATCCTACAGGGGGTAATTTAGAACTGCCTTACAGACAGCAATCTTACTGTCACCTCAGTTTTTCAAATTGCCATATTTGTCCTATTAGAATCGAAATACTTCATGCAAGCCATAGATTTGTTTATATCATTTTTACATGGTTAGAATTATTTCTTAAACATTGCTCTATTATCTCACTTGCTATACACGTGCTCACATCAACATTTATGATTTTTGAGGTACACTGATTATTTTCTTTCTTTTAGACCATACCTTTGTTGATAGAAGGTAAAGATGTTGTTGCCATGGCAAGGACAGGAAGTGGAAAAACGGCAGCATTCCTTCTGCCTATGTTTGAGAAGTTAAAGATACATTCAGCAAAGACTGGAGCTAGAGCTTTGATCCTGTCTCCCACTAGAGAGCTGGCATTACAAACACTGAAATTTACAAAGGAGGTATTATTGTAAAAAGTGTTACTTTTAAATGATAGTGAGGGCTATTCCATTATATGTTGGAGGGTAATAAGAGGAGGTGGGAGGACCTTTGTCGGGATAAGGCCTTTATTTTGCGGGAATTCGGGATTTGGCCTTTATTTTCGCGGAAATTCAAGATTTACCCTAATCAGGCCTCTGGAATTAATGATTATTTTTTCAGGATCCGGGAAAGAATGATTTATTTTTTTGGGGGAATTAGGGATGACACCCCCTCCTACCGTCCCTCTAATAAGGGAAATTTTATTTTTGGACCTGGGTCATTGGATCATTTATAGTTGTGTGTGCTATGATATATGCAAAGATAGCCGATTGTGGGGAGATTTTGGAATTCCCTTCCTACTATCCCACATCCATTATATAAATAGAAAAGCCCTGATGTTCCACTGTAGCGACCATACAAGACCCTCATGGGTATTACTTTTATTTACTGCTGGGTCCCAATATCATTTTAAGAGGCCTTTAATTTAGGCCACCCTTTAAGAAATCTTTGTTTGATGTTGCCTACCTATGCCGTGAAGGGTTTGGTAGGTAGGTAGGGATTTTTTTTTTGGCCAACAACATAAGTTACATGTTTCAGACAAGAAACAATGTTAGAGCAGGAAAAAATCTTTTTATTTGAATGATTTGTCATAAAACTTTTCTGGTAGGCTGCTTTATCAGGTGGGTAGGGAGGCAACATCAAACAATTTAAATTTTATTTTTGACCTTTTTAGAAATACCTGCATTGAAGCACATTCTGAGCTTAGAAAGTAAAAATATGAATAAAAGGAGAATTGTGTTGTGTGTCAATGAGACAACAACTATGGTTATTTTTGAAAATTAAAGCAATTGGAAATGTCAGCTTCTTCTCTATAAAGAACTGCTTAGTAAATTACTTGTCCCTAAAAAGAAAACCTTAATTTTTCGCAAAAAGTATTACGACAAAGATACATATAGATATATTTCATTTTTACAAAGTAAAAGTGTTCAACCTTTTTTATCCAATGAGACGAAACAAAGATGATATAAAATGTCTTGTTATTTCAGCTTGGAAAGTTTACTGGACTTAAAGCAGCCGTTATCTTAGGAGGAGACAGGTATATTCTTTCTTTCAGTTTTTATACGACCGCAAAAAAATTTTTGTGGTCGTATATTGGTATGACGTTGGCGTCGTCGTCGTCGTCCGTCGTCGTCGTCCGAAGACACATTGGTTTTCGCACTCTAACTTTAGTTTAAGTGAATGGATCTCTATGAAATTTTACCACAAGGTTCAATACCACAAAAGGAAGGTTGGGATTGAATTTGGGGGTTATGGTACCAACAGTAAAGGAATTAGGGGCCAAAAATAAGCATTTTTGTAACTGCCAGACATAACTTGTGTGTTAGTGTATGGATCTCTCTGACATTGTACCACATGGTTCCATATCACAAAAGGAATGCTGGGATTGATTTTGGGGGTTATGCCTCAAAATTTTAGGAATTAGGGGCCAAAAAAGGGGCCAAAAACAAGCATTTTTCTAGTTTCATGACCATTACTTGTGTGTAAGTGTATGGATCTTTCTGAAATTGTACTACAAGGTTCCATATCACAAAGGGAAAGCTGGAATTGAGTTTGGGGGTAATTGCCGAAACGTTTAGGAATTGGGGGCCAAAAAGGGGCCAAAAATAAGCATTTTTCTAGTTTCCAGACAATAACTTGTGTTCAAGTGTATGGATCTCTCTGAAATTGTACTGCAAGGTACCATGCCACAAAGGGGAGGCTGGGATTGATGATGGGGGTAATTTTAGGAATTAGGGGCCAAAAAAGGGGCAAAAAACAAGCATTTTTCTAGTTTCATGACAATAACTTGTGTGTAAGTGTATGGATCTTTCTGAAATTGTACTACAAGGTTCCATATCACAAAGGAAAAGCTGGAATTGAGTTTGGGGGTATTTGCCAAAACATTAAGGAATTGGGGGCCAAAAAGGGGCCAAAAATAAGCATTTTTCTAGTTTCCAGACAATAACTTGTGTTCAAGTGTATGGATCTCTCTGAAATTGTACTGCAAGGTACCATACCACAAAGGGAAGGCTGGGATTGATGATGGGGGTAATTGCCTCAATATTTTAGGAATTAGGGGCCAAAAAGGGGCAAAAAACAAGCATTTTTCTAGTTTCATGACAATAACTTGTGTGTAAGTGTATGGATCTTTCTAAAATTGTACTACAAGGTTCCATATCACAAAGGGAAAGCTGGGTTTGAGTTTGGGGGTAATTGCCCTAAACGTTTAGGAATTAGGGGCCAAAAAGGGGCTAAAAAACACATTTTTATAGTTTCCAGACAATAACTTGTGTTTAAGTGTATGGATCTCTCTGAAATTGTACTGCAAGGTACCATACCACAAAGGGAAGGCTGGGATTGAGTTTGGGGGTGATGAATCATAAGGGGGTTCAAAAAATTTGGGGGGGGGGGATTTTTTTTTTTTTCCTTTAAAATTTCCCTTTAAAATTTTCCATTTTAAGTTGGTTATTTCTGATTTATATTTAAAAGCAAATAATAATGATATGGTAGGAGATACACACCAAACAGGATGTGTAAATTATTATATAATAAGTATTGTGCAATAGCAACGAAATTTTCAATTGCACAGTATTGCACAATAGCAAGAAATCTTCAATTGCAAAGTATTGCGCAATAGCAAGAAATCTTCAATTGTACAGTATTGCACAATAGCAAGAATTATTTAATTGCACAGTATTGTGCAAAAGAAGATACTTCGTATAAATTGCTTATTTCTTGACCAATTCCAATGGGGTTTTATTCTTGAATTCTTGGGGTTCTTGTATATGCTGAATCTAACCGTGTATATAGTTTTTGGATTTTGAGCCCCGTTTTTAAATTGGTCCACATTGAGGTCCAAAGGGTCCAAAATTAAACTTTGTTTGATTTCATCAAAAATTGAATTATTGGGGTTCTTTGATATTGCCGAATCTAACCGTGTATTTAGATTCTTAATTTTTGGTTCCGTTTTCAAATTGGTCTACATTAAGGTCCAAAGGGTCCAAAATTAAACTTAGTTTGATTTTAACAAAAATTGAATTCTTAGGGTTCTTTGATATGCTGAATCTAAACATGTATTTAGATTTTTGATTATGGGCCCAGTTTTCAAGTTGGTCCAAATCGGGGTCCAAAATTAAACTTTGTTTGATTTCAACAAAAATTGAATATATGGGGTTCTTTGATATGCTGAATCTAACCATGTATTTAGATTTTTGATTTTTGGGCCCTGTTATCAACTTTGTCCACATTGAGGTCATAAGGGTCCAAAATTAAACTTTGTTTGATTTCATCAAAAATTGAATTCTTGGGGTTCTTTGATATGCTGAATCTAACCATGTATTTAGATTTTGGATATTGGACCATAATAGGTGAATGTCCAATTTAAAATTTTTAAGTTCTTAGACCACATTCATTCTGTGTCAGTAACCTATGCTGTGTCAAATATTTAATCACAATCCAAATGCAAAGCTGTATCAAGCTTGAATGTTGTGTCCATACTTGCCCCAACTGTTCAGGGTTCGACCTCTGCGGTCGTATCAAGCTGCGCCCTGCGGAGCATTTTATTCTAGATGTATTTATATAAGTTAAGATTCAAGTTTATATATATTCATGCTGTTTTCTATGCACCAAATCACGAAAATTAGTTGGTCTGTAGTGTATGGAGCTTTAAATTTTAAATACATCTATTTTCCTTGCACAAAAGAGATATGAATAAAATGAGTCTAGGGTAAAGGTTAATGTGACAGCAACCCAACGACAAAAACACCAAAGGATATAATACAATGTTCACCACAGTAAAAAACCATGTTCCCATAGGACATGACTAAATTATTCAGGGGAAATTAATGATTGTTTTCCCCATATAAATACTTTTGTCTTGTTGAAAAGAAATGTAATATAATTTTGTTTATTTGCACATGGTTTCATAATTATGTGGTATAAACTAAGCAACATTACAGGAAACTAAAAATGATAACTCAATATATTATTTTGTAGATAATTTATATATAAACTTGATACGGGTTATGTTCTTCTCATATATTTTATGATGGTATGATACTAAACCCCTAACGGGAGGGATTGTGCTTGATTTTCATATGATGAAGACATATTCTTTCAATCAGTTAAATTGAGGTCTGGAGCTGGCATGTCAGTAACTGCTAGTAGTCCTTTGTTCATTTATGAATCATTGTCATTTTGCTTAGTTTCTTTTGTTACCTATTCTGACATTGGACTCGGACTTCTTTTTAACTGAGTTTTACTGTGCGTATTGCTATGTGTTTCTTTATTCTACATTGGCTAGAGGTATAGGGGGAGGGTTGAGATCTCACAAAACATGTTTAACCCCGCCGCATTTTTGCGCCTGTCCCAAGTCAGGAGCCACTGGCCTTTGTTAGTCTTGTATGTTTTTTTTAATTTTAGTTCATTTATATGTTTTGGAGTTTAGTGTGACGTCCATTTTCATTGAACTAGTACACATTTTTGTTTAGGGGCCAGCTGAAGCCCGCCTCCGGGTGCAGGATTTTCTTGCTGTGTTGAAGACCCATTGGTGGCCTTCGGCTGTTTTCTGCTCTTTGGTCGGGTTGTTGTCTCTTTGACACATTCCCCATTTCCATTCTCAATTTTATTGATGTTTTGGATATACATAATGAGACAATCCTCAGTTTCAAAATAGAGAAATATTATAGGTTAATGTTATCCTTAACAATTGAAATAAAAGGATAATAGTGTTATACATCAACACTTGACAGTAACTTATCAACATACAAAAACACAAAATATATTATAGAGGTCATCAACATACAAAAACACAAAATATATTATAGAGGTCATCAACATACAAAAACACAAAATATATTATAGAGGTCAACAACTTACAAAAACACAAAATATATTATAGAGGTCATCAACGTACAAAAACACAAAATATATTATAGAGGTCATCAACGTACAAAAACACAAAATATATTATAGAGGTCAACAACGTACAAAAAATCAAAATATATTATAGAGGTCAACAATGTACAAAAACACAAAATATATAATAGAGGTCAACAACGTACAAAAACACAAAATATATTATAGAGGTCATCAACGTACATAAACACAAAATATATTATAGAGGTCAACAACGTACAAAAACACAAATTATATTATAGAGGTCATCAACATACAAAAACACAAAATATATTATAGAGGTCATCAACATACAAAAACACAAAATATATTATAGAGGTCATCGACATACAAAAACACAAAATATATTATAGAGGTCATCAACATACAAAAACACAAAATATCAACGTACAAAAACACAAAATATATTATAGAGGTCAACAACATACAAAAACACAAAATATATTATAGAGGTCATCAACATACAAAAACACAAAATATATTATAGAGGTCAACAACATACAAAAACACAAAATATATTATAGAGGTCAACAACATACAAAAACACAAAATATATTATAGAGATCAACATACTGTCTTCAATAATAGACAAGTGTCTAAACCATATGTCAAGTTCCTTGTAACACAGAGTCTTTAAAAGTTGTGACTAAAATATGAAATGTGTTTTATTTTACAGAATGGATGATCAGTTTGCTGCCCTTCATGAAAACCCTGACATGTAAGTTAGAGCTGTTCCAGAATTAATAGCTTGAGGGGAGACACTTTTATTAAAATTGGATGGGTGGTTATTATTTGAGAGAGATAGATCGTACTATCATAAGAATTGATTGATTGATTGGTGTTTTAACACCACTTTTAGCAATATTGTGCTTTTTGGTGGCATTCAGTTTTTATGGGTGGAGGAAACCAGGGTCCCTGGAGAGAACCACCAACCTTTGGTAGGAAAACTGACAATTCTAGTCAATTAAGATTGGAGTCGAAAGCAACTGCAATGTGCAGGATTCAAACTCACGACCTCAGTGTTGTCATGCTACTTAGACCACTCACCCACAGAGGTCTCCCTATCATAAAAGTAATTGAAATTTAATGAATGGTGGAGGTATACTAGAAATGTCTTCAGCCAATCCTAAATACATAGAAAAAGATCAACAACCAATAAACATTTTAATTCTACAATTTACAAATAAAACCATTATTTCTTTTCTCTATGCAGAACTAAGTTTTTTTGGCCAGGAGTTGTCTCCATTTGTTCACTTAAAATAAAATGGAACAATTTTTTAGTGTCATATCCAAGCTCATGTCTTTTAATTCTCAGTTATGTCTCTTTTGTGAAGGTTTTAGTACATTTCATAGGTCATTACAAAGATTAAAAGAAATTGTTATCAAAGAATTTGTTCAATTTTAAAAGACAAATCTTTTCCAAATTAAATATTGCTTGATGTTTGAAATAAGTAAAATAGCAAACATACAGAATTTCAAGGAAAATTCAAAACAAAAAGTCCTTTATCAAATGGCAAAATCAAAAGCAGCTCAAACACATCAAACGATTGGAAGACAACTGTCATATTCCTGACTTGGTACAGGTATTTCCTGATGTAGAAAATGGTGAATTAAACCTAGTAATTTTTCATTCATTTCAAAATTGTTTTCTCACACATTGAGAAAAAATTGCATTTTTTGTGGATATTTGATTTTGTGGTTTTGTAAAAGTCTGGATACTAACCTATTGAAAATTAGTACAACGTTGAATATTCAAATTACTCATAAGGTCAACAAAATTGGAATCCAACAAATAATAGTCAATCCACAGTACTTTAGATAATTGTTGCAGCTTTGGTTAAAATGTACCCTCTCAATGGGATAGACGACAGTAAATTTAATGAATGGCCCAAATACGCAAAAAAATCAGTTATTGTCTATTTTCCTTTTTCGACTTGTTCACTCGGTGAACTAAGCCCATACTTTAGTTTTTTTATTTTGTGTTTTGTAGAATGGAAACGTGAAATGCATCAAAGAGGCAACAATGTTTGTCTTTTGGTCAGTTTTCATTTTTGCAATGGCATTCATTTTCGTTTTCACCTTTTGAGTTTTTATTACTCACGCAATAGACAGGCTAAAAAGCAAAACTATGTAAGCTGAAGCATGAATAAATTCATCATAGATACCAGGATTAAAATTTTGTATGCCAGACGGCAGACACACGTTTTGCAGTGTTCTCCCCATGCCCCAGTTTTAAACGACTTGTTAAATCTTTTCCGTGCGGTATAAAACTCCAGGTGAAATTTGACCAGTTCAAACCAGTTCAACATGGATTGTTTACACCACGTGATCGATTTACCTTTATGAGGTTAACCTTTGTTGATTGGATTTAATCGATGTAATTAACACTTATTACATGATTCTTTTGTGTTTTAATTTAGAGATCATAACTTTATGATCAAAGATAACTATCTTAAGGCTTCACTCACCACCTGACAAGTCGGCAAATACTTTGTACACAAACCGTGTTGACCCGATAGTTGTACATACGACGGTACATATTTTGTACATTATAAAGTTAGCTCAATACTTATATTATAGTTTTATATGTCTATGATTAAACCATGGCCAAAATTATCTTTAATTATGACATAGTTATTGCATGATATTCCGGTTTCAAACTGTCAACAAGTAATTCAAAGGGGAAGGATCACATGACCCAGTTAGTTCACGTAGAATATTCAAGATTATTTACAATTAACTGCAATCTATTCTATAAATAAAATGCATGACTGTACCTTCAAACTGGATATCTATATCCATATGATCATTAATGAATAACAGAAGTGATCTTGCAATTTTAATCCATAAGCACATGTTAAATCTATTTATTTATATCTACTTCCTGTCATTTAGGCGGGAAAATGTTGTTGACATTGAATATGTTACTTATAGATCTATAGACCTAAGATAAATTTATAGATTTAGGAAATTTTTTTTAAATGGATCATGACAAATAAAGATTTAGATTTCAGTACAGTATTAAGTCTGTATATATGTTTGATTATCACCAAAGACAAGAAAGGTTAATATTTACATGTACATGAAATCTATGGTTCAAATTATAACACAATTTTGTTCTTGTTAATTTTATATCCCCAGGACAGGAATCCTTTCACATACAACAACTTTCTTTCTAGAAACTAGAAAGTTTTTTAAATTGAACATTTTTGTTCTCTTTTGAATCTGGGAACAGTATATCTAATAATATATATGTTCCTGTTTCAATGATATTTTATTTTTATTGATCATGGATTTTATAAAAGATTTAATTACTTTAAATTTAGATGAATATCATGTAATGAATCCTGTTTTATTTATTTTTAAAAAATATTAAAAGTATACAAACTGTTTATTGATCTGTTTAACCAATAATATTCTGACATACATGTAACACAGTACCACAGAATTAAAACAAGAGACATAAAAACTGCAGTAACTAGAAATATAGCGACGCCACGCGACACAACTGATTGTATGAATCATTTCACCAAGCTGTTCACACGCGTTACCCTGGTGCTATCCAAAAATCCTGGGGAGAACACTGACTGCGTTTTGTCTACAAAAGACTCATCAGTGACGTTATAATAAGAAAAGTTAAAAAGGCAAAAAAAAGTATGAAATTGAAGAGCAAGGATTTGCCAAATACAGCTAGGATAAACAATTCCCAGAGTAGAACCACTAAAACTTAATTAAACGATACAATAAAAGCTAAAAGACAGAAAATGGTGGCCTATTATTCTTATCTTAAAGGTGTTTGTTGAAAAGGTACAAACAGAAGGACACAGTGATGCCTAGTAAAATATAAAATCTTTTGTATGACTGTTTGTTTCTCTATTGTGAGTTTAGTATATGTAGTAAGATCTTGATGTTTTTCAATGTACACTCAAGACATTTCAATGTGTCCTCTATATGTGATACTCATAATGAATCAGTAATTATTAATATTATTAATATATTTTTAGAATAATAGCAACACCTGGTCGATTGCTCCATGTCCTTGTAGAGATGAATCTGAAGTTACGGACTATAGAGTACATAGTTTTTGACGAGGCTGATCGGCTGTTTGAGATGGGTTTCCAGGAACAGATGACAGAGATCTTACATAGAGTTCCTGAGACTAGGCAGACCCTGTTGTTTTCAGCAACACTGCCTAAACTTCTGGTGGAATTTGCCAAAGCAGGTCTTCATGACCCGATCTTGATCAGATTGGATGTTGAAACAAAGATCAGTGAAAATTTAAAGGTACATATAAATTAAATCTCTTCATAAAGTATTTCAATTCCATATTTATAATAGGAAAGTGTACAGAAAATTGCTGCAGACAATTTAGTGGCTTGACAAATTTAATAGGCACTTCATAGGTACCTGCCTATAATGGAAGACTGCTCTCTAGATGTCTTTTGTTAACTGTACTGTTGGATTGTTGTCACATTGATACATACGCACATCTCCTTTTATTCATATTGAATTGAACAACACCATTTAAAAACAGTTTGGTCTTTTTGTTTTAAAAACATGCGACATTATGGCATAAAAATTTCTGTGTGTTTGTGGTTTATTGAATATTTTATTAGTAAACTTACCACAAATTAAACGGTATATTGTACTGTGTCTGATCATCTTTGTCTGCAATAATAAATAATAATAAACTGATTCTTTTTTCCTCCCGAAAACATGACAAGAATAATACAAATTTTACTTATTCTATTGGGTTTAAGAATAAAAATTCACTAATTCAGATTTTTTTTGTGAAAGGGCAACAATAAAAATTGTACATAATGCTGATTATATTTTGTGATTTTACTGATTAAAAAATTTCTAAAACAATGAAAAATACTACAGGAAAATTTGTTTACTGATTTAAAAAAACCAACTGAAAAATGAAAAGAACTTGTAATGGTCATTTTTTGAGTCAAAGTGAGAAGAATTAACATTTGACTAATTCAGACTGTTGTTTTTTTCTCATTTTATTCCAGATGTCTTTCTTTGGATGCAGAGAAGATGACAAGGCTTCAGTTTTAATTCATCTGCTGAAGAATATTATTGACCAATCAGAACAGACAGTAGTATTTGCTGCCACAAAACATCATGTGGAATATCTTAACATGGTATGTAAATAAAAGGTAGTATGTATGAATTAACGTTTTCCAAAAAAAAAAAAGATGAAAGAAGAATCATTTTTATACGCCCGTTTACGGGACGTATTATGGTATACCTCTGTCCGTCTGTCCGTTGTCAACATGTCGGACATTAACTCAAAAATGCTTTAACCAATTTGCATAAAACTTTGGTGAATTGTTTATATCTATTGACGTGAGCTCCCTTTCGTTTTTTATAAACTTTAGATTTTACGTTTCAGAGTTATGGGGTTTTATTCATTAAAAAAAGGGGGATATCCAGTTTTCGGACAATAAGTCAAGAATGCTTTCACCAACTTGCAAGAAATTGTGGTGAATTGTTTATATCTGTTGACATGAGCTCCCTTACGATTTTTATAAATTTTAGATTTTACGTTTCCGAGTTACAGGGTTTTATTCATAAAAAAGGAGGGATTTTCCAGTTTTCAGACAAAAACTCAAAAATGCTTTCAGCAATTCTTATGAAACTTTGGTGAATTGTTTGTATGTATTGATGTAAATTTTACATTTTACATTTCTGAGTTATGGGGTTTTATTCATTAAAAAAAGGGGTGATTTTCCAGTTTTCGGACAATAACTCAAAAATGCTGTCACCAATTCTCATGAAACGTTGGTGAATTGTTTATATCTATTGATTTAAGCTCCCTTTTTATTTTCATAAATTACTAATATGACATTTAGAATTAATTGAACTTTATTTGTTTATAGTCTGACAACAGATTTACTAAGTATTGCAAAACAGCAAGAAATCTTTAATTGAATATAAATTCAATTCATATAACCAATTTCAAGTTCTTTGACTACATTTATTCAGAAACCTATAATATGTCAAATATTTAATTACAATCCAAATTCGGACCTGAATCAAGCTTGAATATTGTGTCCATTTTTGCCCCAACTGTTCAGGGTTGGACCTCTGCGGGCGTATCTAGTTACAAAGATTATATTATGTTCTACTATGATTTGAAAAGCAATGACAAACTTGACTTGCATCTACAGTTTGATGGCCACTTTTCATTGTGTTGTTTTGATGCCTCTCATGAATGATTGCCACACATTTTCTTTGTGGTATACGTGGCTAAGTGGTCTAAGTATTGTGTTGTTTTGATGCCTCTCATGAATGATTGCCACACATTTTCTTTGTGGCCTACATGGCTAAGTGGCCTAAGTAGTTCTTCTACAGTGATCTGTCAACACTGAGGTTTGGAGTTAGAATCACTTGTGGCAGGTGTCTCCATTTTTGATTCAGCCATTTTGGATCTATGCGATCACTCTGTTTTTGGAGACGGTGCAGAATACTAAGTTGAAGACATGTCATGAAACAAATTATGTGTTTTTATGACTTGCAGAAACTTTCTACACCATTTTAAAATCATCAACTGCCAATTTTTGACATGTTATTTGCCCTTAAATTAAGAAAAGATTGGTCGAACAATCCTTTTATTTTAGATATACACTTGCATATAGTTCCTTTATAAATCAAAATTTATAATGATTTACTATTTATGAAATAAATTGAAAAAGTATTTTTACATCAATTGAATCAGTTGATAACAATTTTGAAAGTCTTATATTATTATCTTATGCTTGTGTAAGTTTTTGTTCTATGAAATTTAGGTCAACATGTGTGTTGATATATCTAAGTTGATTCCCACACTTTTTTGAAATGGTATTACTCCAATTCTTTCCATAGGCAAGTAAGAATCAGTATGATTAGAAACTGTCATGATTTGCAAATAATTACACTCAAAGGTGTTATTATTAATTGGAAACAACCCCAGTCTTAATTCACCACATTTAATATCTCATGACCTATTACATAATTAAATAGACACAATTTATTACACACCTAACTGAATACACACATTCTTGACCTCAATAGTAAACCTACAAATGTATTATTTATTTTGATCTACACTACATTAAACTATTCTGTTAATTTTGCTAGCTAGCTGAATGATTAATCAAACATGGTTTTTTTCAAAGAAAAGACAAAAAATATGTTTAAAAAATGCAAGCAAATTTTATTTCACTTGTAAAATCAGTGTCATTATCATCCGACATAAGTCAATAATCAAGATCTTACTAATTAATTAGTTACAATTATCAGAAATTTGGTTGAAACAATAAACAAAATTGCTTAACTCTTACCTGAGCATTTTCTGCAATAAAATTTATTTGTTTGTTCTACATTTATATCCAATTATATTGCTATTTAACAGTAATTGGAAATATATCATCATTAGGGATTTGTACATTTAAATTTGAATACAGGAAATGTATTTTTTCTTGATGAAGAATGAACACCAATTTAGATAAAAATTAGTTATTATTTTTTGTTGTTGAGAAAGTGCATTTCCAAGGCCTCTTTCTGGAAATTATTAAGCAAGTTATAATTATTGGCATGTAAAAAATATATTACTTGTTTGATGATTTCCCTTTCCATTTATGTCAATAACATTGAACTGCAAATACTTATAAAAAAAAAAATTCTGACAGTCTAAAATTGAAATATCAATATATATATATATATATCATTATTTGCATCAATATTGCGAAATTCACTACCTGTGTGCAATAACATAGAAATTTAACAGTAAGATTGGAAATGAAAAGAGAAAAAAAAATTGAAAAAAGTAATGTCAGAAAGAATATGAGACTAGCTATGAATTTGGCTGGATCACAACATCGACGATGCTTTGATTATTGACTAGGAAAGCCTGCTGAAGGTCAATGGTTTTCCTGCTGAAGGTCAATGGTTTTCCTACTGAAAGTCAATGATTTTCCTGCTGAAGGTCAATGGTTTTCCTGCTGAAGGTCAATGGTTTTCCTGCTGAAGGTCAATGGTTTTCCTACTGAAGGTCAATGGTTTTCCTGCTGAAGGTCAATAGTTTTCTCCAGGGAAATCTGGCTTCTTCCACCAATAAAAACTGGCAAGAGTGCTGAAAGTGGCATTTAACACCAACAAGCAATCAATCATATTTTCCTTCAGACATATTAAGTAAGTATTAGTTCCACAAATTATTTATCATACTGTGTAATTATACTTTTACAGCTACTTCAGAAAGCAGGTATAGACTCCACATACATCTACAGTTCTTTAGACCAAACAGCCCGTAAAATTGCTGTTGGAAAATTCGTGAACAAAAAATCATCAGTTATGATAGTGACAGACATAGCTGCCAGAGGAATAGATATACCTCTGTTGGACAATGTTATAAATTACAACTTCCCAGCGAAAGGAAAGCTTTTTGTTCATAGAGTTGGTAAGATTTTTAAAACTTGGATATCCTCATTTTACTTTGCTCCAAAGGAGGGGTGTATTCTGTATGTTACACTTTTCACAGTAACTTCAAATCAGTTCTTCTATTTATTTGTTACTGAGCTGCTTTTTGGTATACTTTACAATGTAGCCCTTTTTTTCACTTTTGTATTTCCTGTTTGCATTGTTATCATAGTGGTAAGCTATACCATGTGACATATTTTTATACGACCGCAAATGTGGTTGTATATTGGTATGACGTTGGCGTCGTTGTCGTCGTCCGAAGACACATTGGTTTTCGCACTCTAACTTTAGTTTAAGTGAATGGATCTCTATGAAATTTTACCATAAGGTTCAATACAACAAAAGGAAGGTAAGGATTGATTTTGGGGGTTATGGTTTCAACAGTTAAGGAATTAGGGGCCAAAAATAAGCATTTTTGTAACTTCCAGACATAACTTGTGTGTTAGCGTATGGATCTCTCTTACATTGTACCACAAGGTTCCATATCACAAAGGGAATGCTGGGATTGATTTTGGGGGTAATTGCCTCAAAATTGTAGGAATTAGGGGCCAAAAAAGGGGCAAAAAACAAGCATTTTTCTAGTTTCATGACAATAACTTGTGTGTAAGTGTATGGATCTTTCTGAAATTGTACTACAAGGTTTCATGTCACAAAGGAAAAGCTGGAATTGAGTTTGGGGGTAATTGCCCAAAACATTTAGGAATTAGGGGCCAAAAAGGGGCCAAAAATAAGCATTTTTCTAGTTTCCAGACAATAACTTGTGTTCAAGTGTATGGATCTCTCTGAAAATGTTCTGCAAGGTACCATACCACAAAGGGAAGGCTGGGATGGATTTTGGGGGTAATTGCCTCAAAATTTTAGGAATTAGGGACCAAAAAGGGGCAAAAAACAAGCATTTTTCTAGTTTCAGGACAATATCTTGTGTGTAAGTGTATGGATCTTTATGAAATTGTACTACAAGGTTCCATATCACAAAGGGAAAGCTGGGTTTGAGTTTGGGGGTAATTGCCCAAAACATTTAGGAATTTGGGGTCAAAAAGGGGCAAAAAATAAGCATTTTTCTAGTTTCCAGACAATAACTAGTGTTCAAGTGTATGGATCTCTCTGAAATTGTTCTGCAAGGTACCATACCACAAAGGGAAGGCTTGGATGGATATTGGGGGTAATTGCCTCAAAATTTTAGGAATTAGGGGCCAAAAAGGGGCAAAAAACAAGCATTTTTCTAGTTTCAGGACAATAACTTGTGTGTAAGTGTATGGATCTTTATGAAATTGTACTACAAGGTTCCATATCACAAAGGGAAAACTGGGTTTGAGTTTGGGGGTAATTGCCTTAAACGTTTAGGAATTTGGGGCCAAAAAGGGGCAAAAAAAGAAGCATTTTTCTACTTTCCAGACAATAACTTGTGTTCATGTGTATGGATCTCTCTGAAATTGTACTGCAAGGTACCATACCATAAAGGGAAGGCTGGGATTGATATTGGGGGTGATGAATCATAAGGGGGTTCAAAAATTTGGGGGGGGATTTTTTTTCCTTTTTTTTTCTTTAAAATTTTCCATTTTAAATTGGTTATTTCTGATTTATATATAAAAGCAAATAATGATATGGTTTGAATAGGTAAATTAAAAATTTTTAAGTTCTTAGACCACATTCATTCTGTGTCAGAAACCTATGCTGTGTCAAATATTTAATCACAATGCAAATTCAGTGCTGTATCAAGCTTGAATGTTGTGTCCATACTTGCCCCAACTGTTCAGGGTTCGACCTCTGCGGTCGTATCAAGCTGCGCCCAGCGGAGCATTTAGTTAGATCCTACATTTATCGACTTCCTGTTTGCCACAGTCATGTATGTTCTTCACATTGATGCACACATATTAAAGTTTTTTTTTAAACTGGACTTGTTATCTTATACTGGCTAGCAAGTTATCATAAAGATGTTGTGGAATAACTAAAACTTTTGAATAGAATAGTGTATTTTCATACTTGAAATATATCCGTTATTTGGTTTTTTTTTCAGGTAGAGTAGCCAGAGCAGGGAGGAGTGGTATGGCTTATTCTCTTGTTTCATTGGACGAGATGCCTTATCTTCTGGATCTTTGTGTATTCTTGGGCAGATCATTGAAAGTAGTTCCGCTAGATAAAAAAGTCACAGGTACTGCTTATTTTCATTATTTCAGTAAAAGTGCAATTTGTAGATTTATGTTATTTTGCTGAATGCAACGTTGCAAACCTGAAGTAAACTTTTTCTTTTTAGACCTTTTAGCTTTTGATGCATTAAAAGGTTAACAGGAATCACACAAATACTGGACCACATCAGCCACCAACACCTGACTTCTCCTAAAAATAACAGATGTACAAACAATGACAAACAACATAGCCCATTGCCAGATATCTTGGCTTGGTGTTGGCACAAAATGTGGTGGGGTTTAACCAGTTTTATGTGTTCATAAACCTTCTCTACTCTCCCCTTTACCTCTCTAGACCATATGATGTAAAATTTAAAAAATCACCAAAAAAAACACATGCAAAGTGTAGCTACCAACAGGATGACCACTAACTTGAACAAGAAAATAAAGAAATTGCTCATAACTTGGAAAGTAGTGTCAAAATGCTTAACTATTCCTGTCCAAAAGGTATGATTTTGTAGATGGTTATTCAAACAAATTAAAGTGGACAATAAAATAGGTGTTTCCTTTAGACTTGTTTGCTCAAAATCGATGAAGTACCCACAGAAATATTTCCTTAATCTACAAAAATTGGTACGCAGCAAAATAAATGAATCTACAGTATCACATGTTAAAGCACAGATTCTTGAAAGTTGTTGCACAGTTTTTTCTTGATCATTTATACCTTGAGATTTTTTATACCTGTCTATCAATCTGTGTTTGATATGGATATTATCTGACCTGAGTATAATTTCTAACATGTGAAGACTTACCTTGTCAGTCAGAAAAATAATAGAAGTTAAAAGCTTTCTTTTAATGTTAGCTTTTTAATGACACTCAACTGAGGGGGTTGACAGGGGGTCCATGATTCCCACTTCCCTCCACCAATCTCCCATTTCCCTCCCACTCTACTCCCACTTCCCTCCGCCTCTACTCCCACTTCCCTCCCCTCTACTCCCACTTCCCTCTCCCTCAACTCCCATTTCCCTTATTTGTCCACATCCTCATTCCCAAATCCCTATTTTTTTCTTCCCCTGGCTGCCACTTCCCTCCCCCTCATTCCCAGGTTCCCTTAACCCTGTCCACCCCCTCTCAACTAATTATAGTTAAACAATAATAATTTAATTTTGGATGTAACACATATTCTGATTGGCTGAAAGTGTTTTGTCTATCAGCTCATAGACATAATTTTATCATGTGACCGTGACGTCATTAACGTTTTTATCATGATTTACTCCATTTTAAAATTAAATTATAAGGAATGACTTTAATATTTTTTCTGTCTATTCAAAATAACCTAAAAAATGTGGTGCACACTTTTAGATAACCCGCTATGTGTGTTATTCAGTGTGCACAACATTTTTTATGTTATTTCTTTATAGACAGAAAATATATTACAGTCATTCCTTAATTAAACATGGGAGTATCACAAGATTTTACCAAACCACTTTAGTAGAATATTCCTTTGGTGTAGATTACTAGATTTTAAAAGAAAAATATCAACTATATGTCCCACATACCTCACAATAGGAGTTTTTGGTATAAAGTAAACATTTGATTTATATTTATTATGGATCGAAGTTATTGCTTCAAAATTATTTATAAAGTTTTAACAAAGCACAAAATTTGAAAATTTTGAAACATGTCCTTATTTAGGAATGTGCAAGTGCTGGTGTCATTTGTTTTCAAAGACAGTTACAAAACTTACCCTGTTTTGACCCCATTTTTTAAAGCAACAATGGACTGTGAGAGACTTATTTGGGATCTTTTTTGGTTCGATGTAGATTGTTTAGGTTTTTTTCCCAAACAATTGCCTTAAATCAATTCAAAGAATGTTGTACGTTATATATAACATTCACGTACATTTTACGACACTTATAGAAATATGAATACTTTATACAACAAATCATTGGTCCATAAAGGGAATGTTGCAAATATTGAATATATATTATCAACATAAGGAAAAAGAAAAGGTTAATGTATAATTTTTTGCTCCTGTTAGTAGTAAGTACAGAAATTTTTAAGAAAAACTTTTTTTTTTCGATGATAGTAATCGAAGCTGATGCTTTTGTTATTATGGCACTGTACCACATTACTATAGATGTCTTACATCAAATAAGATGGGTTTTTTTCAGATGATGATGGTTTTTATGGCTTGGTACCTCAAGATGTTATTGATGACATGGCAGAAAAAACAAGAATCTGGCATACAGAAATGGCAGAACTAGTAAGAGTTATCTTTCTTTGTATAGTAAATAAATTGAGAGTTTTTTACTTCTTTCTCAGTTGTATGACAAATTTTATGTAATTTTGCAGGAGGTATGAAACTGTTTGAAATTTAAGGGGTTGAAAGAAAACTCATTGATTTGATACAATAAAAAGTCAAAATTAAGGAAAAAACAAATTATTAGATAGAAATAAATTTATTGTTCTTCAGACTTCCTTGCTTCTAAACCTTCTTAATTAGAATTTCAAAAACAGATTGAAATCTAATTTATCACCTGTTTTTGAGAAAGTCTCTTTAGGTACAATTTGCCTTTTTTTCCTGCAGTTCTTTATTTCTTTTTTCAGGAAAGCATGAAGAAGGTGGTAGAGAATGCACTGAATAAATATATTAAGTCTCGACAAGCACCTGCTGCTGAGTCAATTAAACGTTATAAAGAGATGAATAAATCTGGAGTCAAACCTGGGGTTCATCCAGTCTTTGGTAAGGATATAAACGTTATAAAGAGATGAATAAATCTGGAGTCAAACCTGGGGTTCATCCCGTCTTTGGTCAGGATAGAAACGTTATAAAGAGATGAATAAATCTGGAGTCAAACCTGGGGTTCATCCAGTCTTTGGTCAGGATAGAAACGTTATAAAGAGATGAATAAATCTGGAGTCAAACCTGGGGTTCATCCAGTCTTTGGTCAGGATAGAAATGTTATAAACAGATGAATAAATCTGGAGTCAAACCTGGGGTTCATCCAGTCTTTGGTCAGGATATAAACGTTATAAACAGATGAATAAATCTGGAGTCAAACCTGGGGTTCATCCAGTCTTTGGTCAGGATATAAACGTTATAAAGAGATGAATAAATCTGGAGTCAAACCTGGGGTTCATCCAGTCTTTGGTCAGGATATAAACGTTATAAAGAGATGAATAAATCTGGAGTCAAACCTGGGGTTCATCCAGTCTTTGGTAAGGATATAAACGTTATAAAGAGATGAATAAATCTGGAGTCAAACCTGGGGTTCATCCCGTCTTTGGTAAGGATATAAACGTTATGAAGAGATGAATAAATCTGGAGTCAAACCTGGGGTTCATTCAGTCTTTGGTAAGGATATAAACGTTATAAAGAGATGAATAAATCTGGAGTCAAACCTGGGGTTCATCTAGTCTTTGGTAAGGATATAAACGTTATAAAGAGATGAATAAATCTGGAGTCAAACCTGGGGTTCATCCAGTCTTTGGTAAGGATATAAACGTTATAAACAGATGAATAAATCAGGAGTCAAACCTAGTGTTCATCCAGTCTTTGGTAAGAATATAAACGTTATAAACAGATGAATAAATCTGGAGTCAAACCTGGGGTTCATCCCTTCTTTGGTAAGAATATAAACGTTATAAACAGATGAATAAACTAGGAGTCAAACCTGGAGTTCATCCAGTCTTTGGTAAGGATATAATTGTTATAAACAGATGAATAAATCAGGAGTCAAACCTGGGGTTCATCCAGTCTTTGGTAAGGATAGAAACGTTATAAAGAGATGAATAAATCGGGAGTCAAACCTGAGGTTCATCCAGTCTTTGGTCGGGATATAAACGATATAAAGAGATGAATAAATCTGGAGTCAAACCTGGGGCTCATCCAGTCTTTGGTAAGGATAGAAACGTTATAAAGAGATGTATAAATCTGGAGTCAAACCTGGGGTTCATCCAGTCTTTGGTAAGGATATAAATGTTATAAAGAGATGAATAAATCTGGAGTCAAACCTGGGGTTCATCCAGTCTTTGGTAAGGATATAAATCAGGGGTTAAAATTTTCATTTTTCACTGAAAAGTCCTGGACCTTTACAACAGTAAAGTGGAAGGTCCACACCTTAGGATGAATGGTCCAAACATTGAGTTTTGATTAGATCAATTTTAAGATTTTGTGTCCCTCTCACTAAAGCACTATGCCTATCAGAGTGGGTTGGGTATTTTACATGGTTCCGGAAGCTTCTCCGAAGCACAGCCAAGGGCGATCTTTCTGCCAATGAGACTTGAATTTTCGCACACGTTTTTCGCGATCATAACTTTTATCCTTGTTTAAACTTTCATAGCTTCGTTGTCGGACTTCTTTTGTTTAGCTACTCCCGAAGTAGTCAGAATTTCAACTGCCTCGCCCGTTTTTCTCTTAGAAGACATCTCGCCAAAGCGAAACAAACTCATGGTTTAGCAACATTGACAACCACATGTGTTAATATGACGAACGTGGACCTCGACGAAAGCACCCATAAAAATTTTCATCTGACACGCTGTTAGCCTGTACTATTAATGAACTAGGAAGTAGGTCACTAAGTTAAAAATAAATTTCAGCACAAAGCTTATTTATCGTGACTCATTACCACATCAATTTACAAGTTATAACAAAGTGTTTCATACAGAAATTCATCATATATGTTTTCTGAAACTTGAAAATCTAAAGTCCGTCGGGTGCAGCTAATAAACAAATCGGAAGTCCGACCGTAAATCTTATAGGTCCCGGACCTCGGACCACCGCTAATTTGAACCCCTGTAAATGTTATAAAGAGATGAATAAATCTGGAGTCAAACCTGGGTTCATCCAGTCTTTGGTAAGGATAGAAACCTTATAAAAAGATCAATAAAACTGGAGTCAAACCTGGGTTCATCCAGTCTTTGGTAAGGATAGAAAAGTTATAAAGAGATGAATAAATCTGGAGTCAAACCTGGGTTCATCCAGTTTTTGGTAAGGATACACACTAAATAAGTATTCCCTTCTCATAATGGATTCCTTTGCATAAGAGTAAAACTAAATGTTGTCTTCTATAAGTAATTATCTTTGGTGTGTGTGTGATTTGGTGGTGGGGGGTGAAGTAGTTGCCGTTTCATAAACCCCTCCTCTCTAACATATGCTGTTATATTAGAATTTGTTCTAGGTATGGTGAGATGTATATTCCTGTTTAAGAGCACACCCTGGTTTTGTGATGGGTTTGTGTTGATCAGATTTTAGTTTATTTTATAATGTTTTTTGGACTGTTTTTAGCTCACCTGGCCCAAAGGGCCAAGTGAGCTTTTCTCATCACTTGGCGTGTAATCTTTTACAAAAATCTTCTTCTCTGAAACTACTGAGACAAATTTAACCATACTTGGCCATAATCATTATTAGGGTATCTAGTTTAAAAAATTTGTCCGATGACCCCGCCTTCCAACCATCATGGCCAACTTGGTTAAAAATAGAACATAGGGGTAAAATGCAGTTTTTGGTTTATATCTCTGAAACTAAAGCATTTAGAGCAAATCTGACAGGTAGCAAAAATGTTCTTCAGATTTAGATTTATCTGCCCTGAAATTTTCAGACGAATCCGACAACCCGTTGTTGGGTTGCTGCCCCTGAGTTAGTAATTTTTCAAAAATTTTGCAGTTTTTTGTAATTATCTTAGATATCATTATAATATCTAATATCTAATACTATTAATTATGATTTTAACCTTATTTTATATGATTTCCAAAGCATCAGTAAATACAGGTGAGCGACACAGGCTCTTGAGAGCCTCTAGTTTGTCTTTTCATAATTTATTCTTTTTAGCCAAGATGTATTTTTTTAAACTAAGGTTTTTATTACTCCCTTGGTACATCTATTTTTCCAATCAAAGGTTTATTTGTATACATTATTTAGGGGCCAGCTAAAGCCCACTGGGTGCTTGATTTTCTGGCTTTGTTGAAGACCCATTGGTGGTGTTGGGCTGTGTTCTGCTCTTTGGTCAGGTTGACTCTTTTTTTATACCCCCGCAACTGAAAGTTGGGGGGCATATTGTTTTCTCCCTGTCCGTCCGTTCATCCTTCTGTCCGTCCAACTGAATGTTGGGGTGCATATTGTTTTACCCCTGTCCGTCCATCCGTCCTTCCGTCTGCCGTCTTTCTGTCCATCCGTCCCATTATAGGTATATAGCTGTTCCACACAACTCCTCTTACAGTTTGAATGCTTGGAAGTTTTCACTTTTCTGGCTGTTTGTACATATATTGAAGGTGTGCATGTGGTCCGGGTTTTGACTTTATTGATATTTGCTCTTTTTATTGAGAGATAGTTAAACTTTGTCATTTTTGGAGTATTTACTTGCATAAGAGGTGCATAGCCATTCCAGATAACTCCTCCTACAGTTTGAATGCTAGGAAGTTTTCACTTTGCTGGCTGTTTGTAAGTATATTGAAGGTGTGCATGTAGTCAGGGTTTAGATTTTTATTAATATTTGCTCTTTTGGGAGATAGTTGAACTTTGTCATTTTTGGAGTACCAGGTATATACTTGCATAAGAGGTGCAAAGTGTTTCCGGATAACTCCTCTTACAGTGAACCATAGACCTATGTGCTTCCATGCTCATCTTTGTGTATTTTAAGATAACACTTTGCATCTACGGGGGCATCATTTTTGTATCCCAGACACAATTATATCTCAAAGAAAGTTCTACATTGACTTTGTTATAATACAGTTACTTCAGAGTGGAGTGCAGGGGCATCACTTAGTCTAGTTTTCTTTTCTATTCTATATTGATAATATAATAGAAGTATTGACATTTAACATGATTTATCCCATTTTATTTCAGGTGATTATGACAGTATAAAAGAAGATGGACGATTACAGTTGTTAAATGCTCTGAAGTCATACAAGGCCAACACGGTTAGTTTTATACAATAGTTTTACATTTACATTATTAATTTGATTGAAAGGAGATGTAGGGTATATGTCAATTAGACAGCAACCAAACAACTAAAAAAACACAATACATTCTATCTGAAGAGAAGCTAGTAAAAAAGGGTTACAAAAATTTGGAAGTAAGAGTTACGATATTTGGTTATTATTTTGTACAGACAATAAAACATGCATTGATTCTTAATGATACAGGATGTCTTTAAGTGCTATGTGTTAACATAAATTTGTGTGGTTGATGTATGTAAAATATTTTCACAAGGTAGTGTAAATTCAAAAATTATTGCCTACATTTATTATACAAACTTTAGCAAAACAACAAAATCGAAAATCCCGGAAAATACATTTTTTCCCTAATTCCATGAAAAATGGTACCCAAGAAAATAAAATTAATCCTCAGTAAAATTTGCTAGAATTTAGTTATTCAACAATTTCAGACTATATTTGAAGTAAATGCCACGTCTAAAACAAAAGCATTTGGTGTGATGAAGAAGAAACGTGGATACCATCAAGGAGTGATTAAACAACAGGTCAATAGGTTGGTAGGGGAGACGACTCCATCATACAGAGAAACTTTACACAAACAAGATGCAGCAGATGAGGATGACTTGACAGTGAGTAATGTTTCTTGTCAATAGAGTGATGTCCCTTGGATATATTGATTATATGGAAAATTGCATTGTAAGCTCTCTCACATGTTCAATGTTTTCCAGGTTTTTATCAAATTTATATCAAAGGTTTATATCAGCAATGTCTTGGACAAATTCAATAATCAGTGCTGATCAAATATTTTTAAAAGAGTTATGCCCCTTGGAAATATTAATTATATTGGAAATTGCATTGTATTTGCTTTCAAGCCTTCATTTCTCTAAGATATTTATAAAAATGTAGATTAAATATGTGCAAGGCAGGAGACATTGAAACTCTTGTTCTTTTATATACATGTATAATACGATTGGTGACATTATTAACAAAACTTACATGTAGTATAACACACTTGTATAAATTACAAGATGAAAGCGTAAAAACTAGAAAAGATTAAAAAAACAGTCTTGTTGATCAAAGTATATAAACTATGTGACAAATTTTCCATTATTTACAATGTAAATACTAAATTTGACTTGTTTTTTTTTCCATTTATTTTTTTTTTTTGTTATGGTTTTTTCCTGTCTTTCTTTGACTTAAGCATTTTTATTTTCCCTTTCGTATCTTTCACCTCATTTTAAATTATCCATGATTTATATTTTCCACAGAATACTTTCAATGTTGTGATTGGTAAAAAGAGACCAGGTCAGACAACTGTGGACTCGAGTACAAAGAAAAGGAAAGTGGAAATTAGAGATGAAGAGAATTATCTCCATTATACACCATCAGACTTTGATACTGAGAGCAGGTAATAAAAGAAACTAAAAAAAGGGGGGGGGGGAGGTAAAAACGAAAAAGGATTCAAATCAAATTTATTTTGTTAAATTTATATATCATAGCAACATCATTTATTTATTTTTAATATAGGCAAATGTTATTTCAGTTTCAGAGCTTAGGACAGTAAGGTTGTTCATTTTTTTTTTTTATAGAAAAAAAAAGCATTTAGACTATTTTCTGCTAAATTTAAAACAGGGGTCTGCCAAAGAATGACATTCTTGGTGGGCTAGCCTGAACCATTTTCTGATAATACTAAAAAGACACATGACTGTGAAGTTCAGTAATCTTCAGATTATAGTTAACTCTTGTTGTCAAGAACTCGGTTGACTGGAAATTTCAGATGAGTCTAAATTTTCCTGTGGTCCGAACTTTGTTCCTAACAAGTTTTTGTATATAGAATCCTGATGAATCGTTGGAATTGAATCCAATTTGGATGAAACCAAATTAACTGTCCCATAGTTAACATTTAATTTGAGTGAGTTGTGATGAACCAATACACATGTGTCAAGCATCACCTAAGGATTTATATGGATTGACCAGTTTACCTGACAATGTACCTGTAATTAAAAATGTCAGGTCATTGACCACTGTATTGATTTATGACATTGAGCTGCGTCATCGGATAGAAATAGTCCTTATGCGAACGAATATCAATACATCTGTAGGCTTATTTCGGGTTGGAAAAAATCTCTATGAAAAGTCTTTAACTGTTTGAAATTAAGTAGATATAAGAACCCTAAAAACAGACCATAATTCATCATTTATTTCGTATTTGAATGTTCTAAAATCAATCAAAGTCTTAAACATGTACCTGTATACGGGCACTTGCATAAGGTCGATTTCTATCCGACACAGATCAAATTCTTTTCCACTGAGTGTTCAATTAAGAATTTCTTTGATCACCTTGATAAATAATTAGTAGTGTTTTGTTATAGATTATGAACAATTATTTCAAGTGTTTTAGAATCAATTAACTGTTATCAAACATTAATGTGCTTGGTTGTGCTTGGTTGTGCATTTAGTGGAGATAAAGTGAGCAACTCAAATCTACTCAATAGGCGTCTGTAATCTTTTGTATTCTCTTGTGGAAAAAGATCGAAATAAAAGAAAATGAAAAGAAATCGAAATTTTCTAAAATCTGTGAAATTATTTACTTATGTTATATAAGGGTTGTGTTCTTTTCTTTCAACATGCCTTTGAAACAATGTTAAAAATCATTCTATTGGCCCCAAAAAACAGGAAAAATTGTTACTGTACAAAGCAATAACAAAGAGAAAAAAAAACTTTATTTTAATTATAAAAGAAAATTACATACAGGTACTTCAGCTCAGACCAAAATGTTGATCCCCAACCCATATATATCTGAATTTATTTTAGCCGTACCAAGCAAAGCAAGTGTTGTGTCCCTTGTTCTGTCAAACTTCTAGTATTTGTTTTAGTTGAAATTACGGTTATCTCAAAATATTTCTCAGGTCTGGCTGACTTTGAGATAACGAGAGTCCACTAGTACTGTATGCAGAAGAAAATTTACAAGAAGTTGAGACAACAGCAATAAAAAGGCTGTATTTCTGTTTCAGGACCAATTTGTTTACAGAAATATAGATCCGACCACTGCATCAAGTACGCTACCATATTTCTACACTCGAGACAGTTAAATTTTAAAATTTAAAAAGCAAGCTAGGCTTGCCAAGCTTTTTTAATATTTAGAATTTAGCTGTTGAGAGTGGAGAAATATTGTAATACATGAGATATAGTGGTGGAATCTGTTTCTCTAATGATTTTAAGACGATATCTAAACGAGTTTATCCTTCCTCTTCAAAGTTTGCAGAAAGTTGTGTTCTTTATATGTGACGTCATCGGGCATGATTGCCTTTTTTCATGACGTCACAATAGGAAATTCAGAAGAAGAAATAAAACAATTTGACATCAGACATAATTGAAATTTCGACCAATCATTTGCCGAGAACAAAGTTTTTTCTAGAGATGAGAAATATTTTCTCACACTGATCGAGACATGTGAAAATAGCATGAAAATTAGAGAAATGGCAATTTATATACTGTTATTCCCATTTTCTACATACTGTGAAAATAATACTTTTACCCACTCATAGCACCTGGGATTACCCCTTTTTTTTGGTGGGGTTGGTGTTGCTCAGTATTCAGATTTTTTATGTAGTGCTTGTAGATTGTTGTCTTTTTGTTGTTTTTAGCTTTTCGTCAGGATTTTATCTGTCTCTCTATTACTTACAAGTTTTGATTCTGTCTCTTTTTTACCCGTGTTTTGAGTCATGATCAGACCCACCTTCCACAATTTTCTCACCCTTTTCCAGAATAAAGGGCAAAAAAATAGAGAATAGAAAAAAATAGCCACAGAAAAATAAAGAATAGAGAATTATGCTGTGTTTAAATATAAAGAATAGAGAAAAATGTTATTAAAAATTAAATAATAAAGAAATGAGAGCCTCATATAATATTACCAGTTTGGTATCCCCATTATATGATAGAGTTATTAAAATATTGTATTTTTTCCAGAGTTATTGGACATAAATAAAAAATATTATGGAATTTAAAGTTTTGTACTAACTCAGACATACCTTGAACTGATTTACCTCAAACTTAAACAAATTATTGTAAACAGTAGGAGACTGGGGTCCGTATACTTTTAAATGAGTGTCACTTTTATAGTTAGGGAGGTGTTGATTTTAAAAAATCAAAGATATGAAAACAAATAATGATCATTAACTCCAGAATGCTTTGAAAGATTTAATTACTGTGGATTCATATATTTTCGTGGGTGACAATTTTCATGGATATAGGGACAGTTGCATTTTCGTAGATATTTGATTTCGTGGTATTGCCAAAATCTGCATATAAGCTTATTGAAAATTTGTACTTGGTTGAACAGAATTTTAGGAATTTCTGGTTCACCTTTACCTATGAAATCCATGAAAATAAATATCCCATAAATAATACTGAATCCACAGTATTCAATATTTTTCCAAGAGTTCACATTATTTTTATAGGCCTGTTTACGGGACGTATTATAGTACACTGATGTTCATCCGTTCGTCTATCCGTCCGTTGTCAACATGTCGGACAATAACTCAAAAACACTTTAACCAATTTGCATGAAACTTTGGAGAAATGTTAATACCTATTGACATGAGCTCGTTTCGATTTTTATAAATTTTAGATTTTACATTTCCGAGTTATGGGGTTTTATTCATTAAAAAAGGGGGATTTTCCAGTTTTCGGACAATAACTCAAAAATGCTTTGAGCAGTTTTCATGAAACTTTGGTGGATTGTTAACATCTATTGATGTAAGCTCCCTTTTTATTTTTATAAATTTTAGATTTTATGTTTCCAAGTTATGGGATTTTATTCATAAAAAAGGGGGGATTTTCCGGTTTTTGGACAAAAGGGATTTGAGCAGTTTTCATGAAACTTTGGTGACTTGTTTATATCTATTGAATAACCTCCCTTTAGTTTTTTATAAATTTCTGATATGACATTTTGGAGTTATGGAACTTAATTCTTTGAAAAACAGACGGACGTATCATGCGCTCATGGAGCAGCTCTTTATTTAGAATATAGGAAACTGACTTTATTAGAAAGAATATCCTGCTAGGGCAAGCTGATATTAGAGCTGATGAAGTCAGTATAAAAAAATTGAATGCCATTATTCTTTTTATAAGCATTTTGTCTTAACTGTATGGTTTTTTTTGGTTGAGAATATGAAGTAAAATGAAATAGTTAGTAAAACTACTTTTACGCTTTCAAAACGTTGGGATAGTTGTTCGGTTGTTTGAATGAAGTCGCATGCATTTCATTGATAAATTGACGAGGATGCACTTGAGCATGTGTCTTGTGACGTTGCTGCACTGATACATGACATCATTGCCTAATATTGTTTTGAGTATCAAGTCCTGTCTATGATCTTAAAAATATTAGGCAGTAAGATCAAAGAGAAAATGTGAAAATTGCCAATGAAGAGGATGTATAACTATGGATCCACTGTTTATTTATGTAATGTCATTATGAACAAGACAGCTTATGGAGTATTAACTCATGACAAAAATGATACTTGATATTGACAAAACTAGCATCAAAAGTACAGTGCTTTTGTTGTAGTTCTTCATCTCAAAAATACAGTGATGCCTACAACACAGAGCAAAAACTTATACCTGCAAGTTCATGACAGCCACTAGCATCGCAGTATGAGTCTCTTTTGACATTTTTAGCTCACCAAGTGAGCTTTTCTCATCACTTGGCGTCCGTCGTCCGTTAACTTTTACAAAAATCTTCTCCTCTGAAACTACTGGCCCAAAGTTAACCAAACTTGGCCACAATCATCATTGGGGTATCTAGTTTAAAAAATGTGTCTGACGACCCAGCCCGCCAACCAATATGGCTGCCATGGCTAAAAATAGAACATAGGGGTAAAATGTAGATTTTGGCTTATATCTCTGAAACTAAAGCATTTAGAGCAAATCTGACGTGGGGGTAAAATTGTTCATCAGGTCAAGATCTATCTGCCCTGAAATTTTCAGACAAATCAGACAACCCGTTGTTGGGTTGCAGCCCCTGAATTAGTTATTTTAAGGAAATTTTGCAGTTTTTGGAAATTATCTTGAATATTATTATAGATAGAGATAAACTGTAAACCGCAATAATGGTCAGCAAAGTAAGATCTACAAATAAGTTAACATGACCAAAATTGTCAATTGACCCCTTAAGGAGTTATTGCCCTTTATAGCCAATTTTTTTATAATTTTCGTAAATTTTTGTAATCTTTTACAAAAATCTTCTCCTCTGAAACTACTGGGCCAAATAGAATCAAACTTAGCCACAATCATCATTAGGGTATTCAGTTTAAAAAATGTCCCTGCCTGCCAACAAAAATGGCCGACATGGCAAAAAATAGAACATATGGGGTAAAATGCAAGTTTTGTCTATTATTCTGATAAGCGTTATAAAAAGAGGAAATCTGAAGAGGGTAAAATTGTTCAGAATGTTGAGCTCTACCAATTATCCATATAAGTCAAAACTGTAAGACAATTTTCTGTAGGAGTTATTGCCTTTAAATGACAAATTTTACCACTTTTTTTCGATTTTTGCCTATTATCATATCTTGAAAACTATAAAAGATCGAGAGAAACTTTAAATTGCAAAAATGATCAGAAGGACAAGTTCTTCAAATAAGTCTTATGGTTGAAATTATCAGTTGACTCGTTATTAGAGTTATTTCCCTTTGATGTCGATTGGTACATTTTTTTGCCGTTTTTGTCTTATATCTTAAAACTTATAATAGATAGAAAGAAACTTAAATATACAAAAATGATCAGCAAGACAAAATCTACAATTAAGACAAATGGGAGAAATTGTCCAATGACTCCTTATTGGAGTTATTGCCCTTTAATTATGATTTTTACCATTTTTTTGGTGTTTTTCCTTGTATGATATTAATTATAATAGATAGATAGAAACTTATATAATCAAAAATGATAAGCAAGACGAGACCTACTAATAAGTCAAATTATGCTGATATAATAAGTAGACTGTTACTCTTTATAGGAGTTTTTTTACCCTCTTTTGTGTTTAGAGCAAAATCTAAATAAGATCATGAAGATAGAGAGAAATTAAACAGACTTCAATGATCAGCAATATAAGATACAAAAAAAAACAGAGATTTTTGTCATTAATTCTATTGAATTGAATATGCATATAGACCAAGGTGAGCGACACAGGCTCTTGAGAGCCTCTAGTTTTATTCCCCGCCTATGATAGAAAGGGGGCATATTGATTTTGGTTTGGTCTGTGGGTTAATCCATCCATTAGTCTGTCTGTCCTGTACTGTGGATTCATTTTTTTTTCGTGGGTACCAATTTTCGTGGATTGAGGAAAACTTGCATTTTCGTGGATATTTGATTTTCATGGTTTTGCCAAAGTCTGCTTATCAGACTATAGGAAATATGTTATTCGTTCAACATTTAATTTCGTGGTTCACCTGTAACAACGAAATCCACGAAAATTGGTATCCCACGAAAAATAATGAATCCACAGTAGTAGGTTACAGTTTGAGGTAGTATATCATAGAGTTGTAGTCACATTAACTCAGTCAGTTATTTGTTTGTTGGCAGGGCATGTTTTCAATGGAAACATATTCTTGTTAAAAAGAATGATGATCAAATGAATTAAAGAGAAATTTACATATTTATTACATTGTTTTTAACTGTTTTTCACTTTTAGCACCGACACAAAAATCATTGTCCAAGTCATTATTCACAAAATCAGTTCATAGAACAAACACTTTTTATGAGCATTAAAACATGATAACATTATGAATCACATGATAACATTATGAATCACATGATAATATTATGAATCACACAATAACATTATGAATCACACGATAACATTATGAATCACACGATAACATTATGAATCAGATGGTTACATTATGAATCACATGGTAACATTATGAATCACATGATAGCATGGAAAGGTTTATATCCCAGAATGCATCATGAACACAATAAGATTATGCAGCATGTGTTATGCTTCATGTCCCATAGTCCACCTTCGGGATGGAGCTATATATTTAATACAGCTGTTATTCCACGTATAGAAAAATTGAACACACTTCCATTCAAATATCAACAAAATCAAATAAACATTGGCTCCCAACACATATCAAGTTTTGATTATTCCCATGGAAACAAACTCATTGTTATTCTTTTCTTTCTTGCTCCATGTCTGTTGCCATTCCTGTATCCACGATACTTTGACTCCGTATTTCCTTCCCGTTCTCTCTATATTACCCATCTCTGCTTCGGCAACAATCATTTTCTGGAAGGCAGCTGTATACACCATGTTGTAATCGATCGCAATTGTAGCCATTTTGAAGGGTAAGGTCGTTTGGTTGTCTTGGTTACAATTTTCTATAGCACACCTTGATATTATATTTTCTTTCGTTGATAGATGTCCTTACGATAAGTCCTTCACAAGCTGGACTAGATTATATTTTCTTTCGTTGATAGATGTCCTTACGGTAAGTCCTTCACAAGCTGGACTAGATTATATTTTCTTTCGTTGATAGATGTCCTTACGATAAGTCCTTCACAAGCTGGACTAGATTATATTTTCTTTCGTTGATAGATGTCCTTACGATAAGTCCTTCACAAGCTGGACTAGATTATATTTTCTTTCGTTGATAGATGTCCTTACGATAAGTCCTTCACAAGCTGGACTAGATTATATTTTCTTTCGTTGATAGATGTCCTTACGGTAAGTCCTTCACAAGCTGGACTAGATTATATTTTCTTTCGTTGATAGATGTCCTTACGATAAGTCCTTCACAAGCTGGACTAGATTATATTTTCTTTCGTTGATAGATGTCCTTACGATAAGTCCTTCACAAGCTGGACTAGATTATATTTTCTTTCGTTGATAGATGTCCTAACGATAAGTCCTTCACAAGCTGGACTAGATTATATTTTCTTTCGTTGATAGATGTCCTTACGATAAGTCCTTCACAAGCTGGACTAGATTATATTTTCTTTCGTTGATAGATGTCCTTACGATAAGTCCTTCACAAGCTGGACTAGATTATATTTTCTTTCGTTGATAGATGTCCTTACGATAAGTCCTTCACAAGCTGGACTAGATTATATTTTCTTTTGTTGATAGATGTCCTAACGATAAGTCCTTCACAAGCTGGACTAAATTATATTTTCTTTTGTTGATAGATGTCCTTACGATAAGTCCTTCACAAGCTGGACTAAATTATATTTTCTTTCGTTGATAGATGTCCTAACGATAAGTCCTTCACAAGCTGGACTAAATTATATTTTCTTTCGTTGATAGATGTCCTAACGATAAGTCCTTCACAAGCTGGACTAGATTTGATATTGTATCCCTAGTATTCTTAAAATTTGATTTAATATCAATAATTGAAAACTTTGGGTCCCTCGTTTTTTGATGTCTAGTAGCTTATGTCTATTCCTTGGAGTAATTCTGTGTCATAGGTCTGCAAAAAAAAAAAACATAAATCTGTAAACACAATTTTCAAAGACATTAGTAATCTGTACTAAACATGTGCTCTAAATTGGGGTAAAGAAAACAAACAACCATCCATGTTTAAATCTTAAAATTTATTTAGAGATAAAACTATCCTGTCTGCGTCTTGCTCATCAATACATAAGACTCAGACTCAAAGGGAGGTAATACAATTAAATACAATTTGTTTAACGAAAAAAGGTATCTGTTCCTCCAAAAAAATATACCTTCTCCTTAGTTTAGGCAAGATTCTATTTTTTTTAAATTTGAATTTAAAATCCTTTGTAAGTTTGCACTATTTTTTTTTATTTATTTTTTTTTTTTGAGAGAGAGAGAGAGAGAGAAAAAATCGTTCACCTCTTGTACATGTTCTAAAAAACAAGGAAATTTTTTACAGTTAGGGAAAAGATTTTTTTTTTTAATCATGTAGCAAATAAAGTCATTTCATTAAAACCTTTTCTTAAACTTGAACTTTACAAACCTGTATAGTTTATATCACAGACAAGTAATTGTTAGTCTGTTGTGGATATTTAAAGGTTTTCCACTTTATATCAAAATGGGGTTAAATTACTTCATTTAGGGGAAGTCCTGTTAATCAAAACAAATTTGTTTAATGATAAAAATAGAATAAACCTTGACGGAAATTAGATAAACAAATAAATATGATTAAAATAAAATTCACATGAACTTGAATAACAGGAAACTTTGACTAATACATAGTGTACATAGATATAAGCAAATAAATATTTGTTCCCACAACTTCATGGCCCTGTCCCAGGTCTGGAACATCGTCAAAAGTTGTCTTAGGAATTAAGTTTTGAAAGTCAAACATTTTTTTACGATTTTTGGTGTTTTAGAGCATGACATATTAAAGGACAATGTTGTTATTGTATAAAACTCCACATAAATACTCTTTTTTGTTGTTTTAGAGTAGTTAACTAATCTGTGATTCTTTTCTCGAAAATTTTTACAAAGAACAAATACTTGTAAGTCATGAAAATATCATACTTATGAGCAGATTTAATCATCAGAATTTTTGGTGAAAAATGCTGCTTGATTGTATAAAATACTCAAGTGTACAGTAATCAGTAAATTGATTGATTGATTGACACCAGCACCAATTAATCATTTTTTTTAATTTTTTTTTTTTTTTGGGGGGGGGGTTAATATTAGGAATCTTTTTGTTTAGGAATGTACATGAAATATTATAAAAATCTTCCAGTTTCATGAATATATTGTCAACTGTACAATTTGAATTGAATTGAATACTATAAAAAAAATATGGTTCTCTCATAAAATGAAAATAATAATAATAATGATCATTTATTATTACTTACACAAATATATAATAATAATTTTATTATTACTTACACAAATGTATAATAATAATAAAAATAATGTTTAATATTTTACCTGTTTAATGATTTATTGAAGATAAAAAGATAGAAAAAAGTAATCAAACAAATTCCACAGTAATAAAATAATAATAAAAAATATAGGTTACCTTGTTTGAAACAAGTTTTTATCTATATATTTATGTAGATCCAACCATATATATATACATGATATATAGACAGGCTTATCTTTTAACCTTTTGTAACCTTTAATGTGAATAAATCTTTACAAACTGATTATCTCTTGGTTAGGAAGTGTTTTATCTGATAATGTAGAGGGCAATGTAATTTGTGGAGTAGACTTGACACAGATTTTTATTGTTCTAACCTAATTGCTTGGAGGACGTTATTATGAGTGGGTGTAATTAGGTTATTTGCAAATTCATAAAATTGATTAATAATATTTGATTGTCATATAATTAGAGTAATACTTTATTTTGGCAGCTGTTCATTATTTTGTAATTATTAATCTTGATTCTGGTTTGTTTTGTTGAGAAAAAACTTCTACTCGTTTTGTGTTCCTCAGTAGAAGGTTCATTTCATTAAATACAGATATTAAACTTCTTATGGCTTTTTTAAGTAGAAAAACTATGTGTGGTTCCTTACTTAAGATGATTCCTCTTGTTATTTAAGATATCTCTTGGATTTGATTAGGAGAGAAAAATGTATTATTCTAGCTTGCGTGTTGTTTCTAAAAAGGGTTAAAAACGACTTTTTTCTAAGTTATATGGAAAGTAGATACTGTTAATTCAAAAATTATTGTGATGGTTTTATTAATGCAAAAAATGTGAACATATTAGGTTCACAATAATAACAACTCGCATTCATAATTTATGTAGTAATTTTCCTTCATTACATATTTTTGCCAATAGTTATAATAAATGCATACATTAATTTCTGATTGTACAGTTTTACAGTGTCATACCTTGTAAACTTTTTAACTAACGTTTAAAAGTTTAACACTATCAAATCCAACGTGAGTGGGAATACTATAAGATATGAAATGTCTTGTGTAAACACTATCATGACTATAGTGGGATTGAAGTAGGATTACACCACAATACTTTTTGGTTGTAAAGATTATGAAATTAAAAGGAATTAGCCTTGCAAAATGTATTACTTCCTTCTTAAAAAACATTAATATAAAAAATCCTTTTGTTCCTTTGAATTGAATAGAGTGTAGGCTTTTAATACTTCTATTCAATCATAAATAAGTGTGTTTAATGATGCTTGCATCAGTAATTTAATAACATATTTGCAAGCTTAAATAATCCAAAATGTATTAAAAAGATTTAAACAGAATGCTCTGATGAAAAAGTTGATAAGTGATTGTCTCCAAAGATCTGCAAATTTTTTCCTACAATTTTGGTCCTTTTGAGATGACTTGAAACTTAGGGTCCTTTTTTCAAACTTTCCAAATTATTCATAAATTTACGGCATCAACAAACATGTATAGACAGTTTCATTGCATTTACTTCATGAAGTTAACTTGTACTGTTTTCAAAAACGATTAATGGAAAGTAACAGTTTAAAATTGAAATTATTTTAATGACTTAAAACTTGTCCCTGTCTTTCTGTTTTTCTTGTTACTAGTAGTTTAGATTTTGGTGTTGATGTCATTTCTCACTGACCGCTGTGTTTCAGCCAATAGTGATGAAAGTGGCATTAAACACCAACAATCAATCAATCATTACTTGAAAAAAAAAGTCTACAGAAGCTAAAGATAGCACCCTGAGCAAACCTTTTTTTTTCGTTCTTTTTCTCTTAAATGAATTTTTTTTTGACAGTCAACATTACACTTCTTTTTCTATGACAGAAGTCATAGGATTTTAAAGAACAATGTAGAATTTTTATACCATATCTTAACGATAGAATGAGTACTGGACGTTACACATTCAACAGTCCATCAATACTGTATTGTTTTTACAAAAAAATATCATGGAAGTTCACTGTCACTTTTTTCGCTCAATTAAATTTTCTGCACTGCGTTTACAAAAATGTCATTTACATTGGACCCATATGTGAATTTCAACCATTCACGCTTGTGCAAGTAAAATAAAATGTAAAAAAAAACAAAAAACATGGCTGCACTTAAGAATGATAATATTGTTACTCAACAGCACACAATTTTATTTTGAAAAGGAAAAGACAACCACGTTCAGAGGTTTAAAGTGTTAAAGTACATAATGAAATTCAAAACATTGATAGGCGATTCATGAAAAAAACATTTCTTTTAAATTTCCTAGTATTTTATTGATTCTAGTAAAACTTGTGATTATTTTTATTCCTTTGGTCACTTTAGGCAATTCATGAAAAAATGATTTCCTCTAAAATTCCTAGTATTTTATTGATACTAGTAAATCTTAGATTATTTTTATTCTTTTGTTCAGTTTTATCCACCATCCAGTCTTTTATTTACCTTTAGTTTAAACCAACTTCTATCCACGTCTAGATATCCAATACTAACTAATATAAATAAATAATGACCACAAATTACCTGCTGACAAATTATTGTTTCCATGGTTACCGCATTAACGATATGTCACATTATAGTACCACCTGTCAGTCTTTTCAATCATTGCTAGGTAACGATTAGCGCAAGAACTACTTTTATACTATATGTTATAAAGTGTTAATTAAAACAGCACCACTGCATCATGAGGCCATAATTCCTTATATGGTCGTTAACACCAAAAAGTATTTATAATATTAATTTCTTAAGGTATACAGACTATAGATATGTATATATGTCATATGGGAGAATAAACAAAAAAAATTATCATTTTTTTTCGTTTTAACAAAGTGTTATTTGTAGTGCTGCTATTTAAAGAAATATGATGGAAATGTATAAGTCACTGTGCTTGTTCTCATTTAAGGTGGTACATAACACTACAGGGAGATAACTCTGTAAAAATCAGCTGAACATTTTAATCACATTAAAAAAAAATATGGTTTTTACCCTAAATATTTCTTTTGGACCAGTTGTAGGAGTTGCAGTATATAAAGAATAACCATACATTGTCCCGAAATATAAATGTATTTGTACTCGACTCAAAAGAGGATTGAAATGCTCGGCAATTAGCCTCGCTTTCTACCTGTTTCTAAGCTTTGTACAAATAAAATTTATAATTCGAAACAATGTATGGTTATTCTATATGTACTGCACATTTTTTAAGAAAGAACAAAAAAAATATCTAGGTAATCTCCCCTTATAAGGCATTTTTTTCAAATTTTTGTAACGAATGAAAAAATTTATTTTCCAATTTTTTTTGTTTAAATATAAGGTCAAATCATATAAATTTTTTCATTGAAATGAAAAGTCCAACAAATTAATCACATTTCTCCATCAAAGCTAATACATGAGCTCCATCATTACATTAAATGTGTATTATGGAATATTGTTATATTTAAGGTTTAAAAATAGAAACAATTAACTTTCAATCGATCTATGTGTGGATGAATTTGAAAATAAACTGATATCATATGGTTTCCTAATTAGAATTATATAAATACCTAGGAATGTCACTTTAACATGCTAATAAGTGTTATAAGAATACTCGCTATATTTTATATAGATTAACACAATATTCAGATAGACAAGCTTCATGAGATGGCCAGCTGTCCTGGTGATAATCAGATGCTAATATTAAACTTTTGTATCTCAAACAAGCTGATCTAATTGTGCTGTTAAAAATAGTATGACTTCAAGATGTTTTCCTTTGACTTATAATAAAACTGTTTTTATGCCCCATTTATGGGCATTATGTTTTTCGGTCTGTGCATCCGTTCGTTCCTCCGTCCGTTCATCTGTCCGTCCGTCCGTCCGTCCGTCTGTCCGTCTGTCTGTCACGCTTCAGGTTAAAGTTTTTGGTCAAGGTAGTTTTTGATGAAGTTGAAGTCCAATCAACTTGAAACTTAGTACACATGTTCCTTATGATATGATCTTTCTACTTATAATGCCAAATTAGAATTTTGACCCCAATTTCACAGTCCACTGAACATAGAAAATGATAGTGCGAGTGGGGCATCCATGTACTATGGACACATTCTTGTTTCATCTCTCTCATGGTGTCCATGAGATCCTAAAGTATGAAGCTGATACCTCCAAAATCTCTCTCATGGTGTCCATGAGATCCTAAAGTATGAAGCTGATACGTCCAAAATCTCTCTCATGGTGTCCATGAGATCCTAAAGTATGAAGCTGATACGTCCAAAATCTCTCTCATGGTGTCCATGAGATCCTAAAGTATGAAGCTGATACATCCAAAATCTCTCTCATGGTGTCCATGAGATCCTAAAGTATGAAGCTGATACATCCAAAATCTCTCTCATGGTGTCCATGAGATCCTAAAGTATGAAGCTGATCCAAAATCTCTCTCATGGTGTCCATGAGATCCTAAAGTATGAAGCTGATCCAAAATCTCTCTCATGGTGTCCATGAGATCCTAAAGTATGAAGCTGATACATCCAAAATCTCTCTCATGGTGTCCATGAGATCCTAAAGTATGAAGCTGATCCAAAATCTCTCTCATGGTGTCCATGAGATCCTAAAGTATGAAGCTGATCCAAAATCTCTCTCATGGTGTCCATGAGATCCTAAAGTATGAAGCTGATCCAAAATCTCTCTCATGGTGTCCATGAGATCCTAAAGTATGAAGCTGATCCATCCAAAATCTCTCTCATGGTGTCCATGAGATCCTAAAGTATGAAGCTGATACATCCAAAATCTCTCTCATGGTGTCCATGAGATCCTAAAGTATGAAGCTGATCCAAAATCTCTCTCATGGTGTCCATGAGATCCTAAAGTATGAAGCTGATCCAAAATCTCTCTCATGGTGTCCATGAGATCCTAAAGTATGAAGCTGATCCAAAATCTCTCTCATGGTGTCCATGAGATCCTAAAGTATGAAGCTGATACATCCAAAATCTCTCTCATGGTGTCCATGAGATCCTAAAGTATGAAGCTGATACATCCAAAATCTCTCTTATGGTGTCCATGAGATCCTAAAGTATGAAGCTGATATCCAAAATCTCTCTCATGGTGTCCATGAGATCCTAAAGTATGAAGCTGATATCCAAAATCTCTCTCATGGTGTCCATGAGATCCTAAAGTATGAAGCTGATACATCCAAAATCTCTCTCATGGTGTCCATGAGATCCTAAAGTATGAAGCTGATACATCCAAAATCTCTCTCATGGTGTCCATGAGATCCTAAAGTATGAAGCTGATACATCCAAAATCTCTCTCATGGTGTCCATGAGATCCTAAAGTATGAAGCTGATACATCCAAAATCTCTCTCATGGTGTCCATGAGATCCTAAAGTATGAAGCTGATACATCCAAAATCTCTCTCGTGGTGTCCATGAGATCCTAAAGTATGAAGCTGATACATCCAAAATCTCTCTCGTGGTGTCCATGAGATCCTAAAGTATGAAGCTGATACATCCAAAATCTCTCTCATGGTGTCCATGAGATCCTAAAGTATGAAGCTGATACATCCAAAATCTCTCTCTTTGTTTTCTACCTTGTTTGTCCCAATTTATGTTAGCCTTTTATTATTTGAAAATTGATACATGTGTTTTCAAAAGATTGCACTGTTCTTAGGAGGCGCCTTGTGATTAGTCAATATCTTCCTTGGGAAATGTATGTCAGTTGCAATCTGGCATGGTTTATAACTTCATCTGACCTCATTTTCATGGTTCATTGGTCAATGTTTGTTTTCCCAGTAAGGTTTGTTTGTCAGATACTATAAGTAAATTAGTAATAGATCAACCATATTTGGTGTATATAATGGTTGTAAAGTGTTCATGTCTGTCTGGCAGGGTTCATATGACCTTGGCTTCATGGTCATGGTTCATTGGTCAAAATTAAGTTTTCTTGTTTAGGTCTATTTCTAAGATACAATAAGCAAAAGGGCAGCTATATTTGGTGTCATCTTTGCTAGCCAAGGGTTACGATCCAACATGCTTCTCTTCACCCTTGCCTGGGAAGATGATTTGGCGTGTGGATTTATTGTAAGGTGTACATGTCCGTCTGCCATTTTCTAGATTGACCTTCATCAGGAACAGTCATACCCCAAAAATGTGAAAGCTAAGTATGTATAAGTACTTGAATAAGTCAGGAGCAATATGACCAAAAGAGACAGATAAAAGCCAAATCCAGATTGGTCATTTGGACATGTAAGCAGCATTGTTGCCATGGATACTGTATGTTATTGTTTTTTACTTTTAGACTTGGCATTGGTACAACGTTTGAGCAGCAGGCAGCAGGTGTTTCTATGGACATAACAGGGGATGAAGATAATACACTACAGAAAACAAAATCAGCCTTCAGATGGTAAATATTGTACTCAATGATGACATTGTCATCCCATAGGCCTTCAGATGGTAAATATTGTACTCAATGATGACATTGTCATCCCATAGGCCTTCAGATGGTAAATATTGTACTCAATGATGACATTGTCATCCCATAGGCCTTCAGATGGTAAATATTGTACTCAATGATGACATTGTCATCCCATAGGCCTTCAGATGGTAAATATTGTACTCAATGATGACATTGTCATCCCATAGGCCTTCAGATGGTAAATATTGTACTCAATGATGACATTGTCATCCCATAGGCCTACAGATGGTAAATATTGTACTCAATGATGACATTGTCATCCCATAGGCCTACAGATGGTAAATATTGTACACAATGATGGTATTGTCATCCCATAGGCCTTTAGATGGTAAATATTGTACACAATGATGACATTTACATCCCATAGGCCTACAGATGGTAAATATTGTTCACAATGATGACATATTTTTTTAATGTTGTTTTTTTTTCATTAGAGAATGTATTGACCATCAGTATCAGGCAAATATATATAGACAAGTGTTTGTACTTTCAAAATACTGCTTTCATTTACAAAACTTGTGAACTTTCCTATATACACCATCAGCTAAATGGAAGACATTTTATGCCCCCGCCCTAGGGGAAGGGGGCAATAAGTGTTATCCTTGACTGTCCATCCGTCTATCCCGTCCATCTATCTTTTCCGTACGTTCCATTTTTGTTTCTGCACTCTTAACTTAAGTTTTCCTCATCAAATTTTTATGAAACTCATACACAGTGCTAAGAACAAAAACTCACAGAGTTCGAATTTTGGCAGTGAGTCACAGTCACTTACCGTTCTAGAGTTATGCCCCTTTATAACTTGGAAATTTGCAAAACAAAGTTCCTTAGACACTTTCTTCTTTTATTTTCTCTCCTTGTGGTCCCTTAACATATAAATTTGACCATATTGAATTTTCTTCTGTTTAATAAGATTATTTATGAATGGTATTCAATAGAAAATATATTTTTCAGGGATAGAAAGAAGAAGAAATTTGTGAAGGATGGAGGATTGGATCCAAAGAAGAAGAAAATCCGAACAGAAAGTGGAGCTCTGATCTCAGCATCATTCAAATCTACTGCATATCCTTATTCATGCTTATATCATAAGCCAAAACATATAAAGTCCTGGCTTTTATTCCCAGGCCCAAAAAGTCTACTCCTTCAATGATTGTAACTGGGTTCCCAGATTACAGGGATAACACAGTGAAACCACATATGCGGATTAAGGATTTTGCAAAGGGGGGGGAGCAAAACTGGGCAACGTTAGGAGTGGAACATATAAAAAGTCTATACATTAGCTATATGAATAGCTCCTTAAGCCAAGGCACCTCCACCTAAATCCACCTCTGAAGCAGGAATTTCATTCTGCGTATTCCAGGTCCAGAAAGAAGTCAATTTCATTGAATATGAATAAGTCCCAGAAGTTAATATTACTTGTGAAGATCGGTGAAAGCTGGTCCTGTTCCTTTACAGACAGGTAACCTGCTCAATCACTTAGAACATTTTTGCACTTAAATCAAAGACGTTCAGGTCCTAGAATCGATGCTATCATTCATGGAACTTTTTGAGGAATTCTAGTGTGGATCCAGAAAGCTTTTTGTTTTTTTTGTTTTTGCTAGCCCGAAAAAAAAAGGGAGTTACTCTCCATGCCTCTACATTGCCCCAGATTACTTAAGTTTCCCCCTTGCATTGCTCCAATGTCCAACAGTTTATTTACCTTTCAATCATGACTACATTTGATAAAATCTTTTAATAAATAATTTAATAAAAAATAGTGGTATTTGTTCAACATCCAGATTGACCTTGTCACTTATTTAGCATTTTTTATATTTTGATTATTTATCAATGACTTATGAAAGTTATTAATCAATTAATGATTGAATTATTTAGGAATATTTGAAAACAGGCAAAAAAACATTTCTATTAAAATAAACCTTTTCACAATAAAATGACAAAATTTATTTCTGTTCTTTTTTTTTTACTTGAAAGAAATCTCCAGCAAATATGACCATTTGGCAGCCAGATATAATTTCCAAATCAAAACTATGACATCCTGTAGGCTTAGCATGTGTTTAATAGTTAGACCTTAACTTTGTTTACTTATGAAGAGTGGAAAAACAAAACAAAGGTAGACGACCAAGACAACCAGAATGACGACGATGATAGTGATCATGAGAGGAAACCTGCGTTACCACAGCAACGGTCTGAAAGATTTACAGTCTTAGGAACTAAAAGACGAAGATGTATGTAATATAAAGAGAGGAAAAAGAAAATTTGGTTTTAAATTAAGTTTTGAGGAAAAATAAATTTATAATAATACACTATTGAGGGTCTGGATGGGGTTTACAGAATAGAGAATATTGGGCAAATCATACAGAATCAATAATTTGCATAACAAGTAAGAATAGAGAAAATGGACCAAAATTATAAAGAATAGAGAATGATGGGGTGCTTGAATAAAGAATATAGAATAAAGGGCTTACAACAACAAAAAATGGACCAAAATCATAGAGTAGAGAATAATGGGTGATAGCATTTCTAGTCTGTTGGTCTGTCTGTCACATATCAGGTTATAGTTTTAAAGTTTTAATTAAAGGTATTTTAAAGTTTTGGTTTATGGTAGTTTGTGGTCACATCAACTTGATACTTAGTACTCATGTTTATTATGAATGATATTTAATATATAGGCCAAAGTGAGGTTAAGACCAATATTTAAAAATTCGCTGAACACGAAATAAGTTAGTTTGAGCATGGCATGGTGTCCTATGGAAACATATTCTTATAGTCATCAACTGTTCATCTTATGGTTTCAAGCTGACTTTTTAGCTCACCATTCCGAAGGAACTGAGAGCTTTAGCCATCACTTGGCGTCCGTCTTTGTCCGTCGTCGTCGTCCGTCTGGTGTAAACTATTTCTCCTCTGAAACTACTGAACCAATTCCAACCAAACTTAAGCTGAATGATCCTTAGGGTATCTAGAATAAAGTTTGTGTTTTATTTTCTGTTTCGTCAAAAAACATGACCACCATGGCTAAAAATAGAACATAGGGGTAAAATGCAGTTTTTGGCTTATATCTAAAAAAACCAAAGGAGTTAGAACAAATCTGACATGAGGTAAAAGTGTTCATTAGGTGAAGTTCTATCAGCCCTGAAATTTTCAGATGAATCTAATAACCAATTGTTGGGTTGCTGCCACTAAGTTGGTAATTTTAAGGAAATTTTACAGTTTTTGGTTATTACCTTGAATAGTATTAATGATAAAGATAAACTGTAAACAGCATATATGTTCAGCAAAGTAAGATCTACAAATAAGTTTATATGACCAAAATTGTCAGTTGACCCCTTAAGGAGTATTGCCCTTTGAGGACAATTTTACACAATTTGTTTATCATGTTTTCTAACTTTAAAAAATCTTCTCCTCTGAAACTACTGAACCAATTCCAACCAAACTTAAGCTTAATGATCCTTAGGGTATCTAGAATAAAGATTGTGTTTTATTTTCTGTTTCGTCAAAAAACATGGCTGCCATGGCTAAAATTAGAACATAGGGGTAAAATGCAGTTTTTGGCTAATATATCTCAAACACTTAAGCAATTAGAGCAAATCTGATGAGAGGTTAAAATGTTCATTAGGCCAAGTTCTATCAGCCATGAAATTTTCAGACGAATCTAACAGTCCATTGTTGGGTTGCTGCCACTAAATTGGTAGTTTTAAGGAATTTTGCAGTTTTTATACGACCGCAAAAAATTTTTGCGGTCGTATATTGGTATGACATCGTTGTTGTCATCGTCATTGTCGTCGTCGTCCGAAGACACATTAGTTTTCACACTCTAACTTTAGTTTAAGTGAATGGATCTCTTTGAAATTTTACCATAAGGTTCATTACCACAAAAGGAAGGTGGGGATTGATTTTGGGGGTTATGGTTCCAACAGTTAAGGAATTAGGGGCCACAAAGGGGCCAAAAATAAGCATTTTCTAGTTTCCAGACAATAACTATGGAACGGTGTATGGATCTCTCTGAAATTATACTACAAGTTTCCATACCACAAAGGGATGGTTAGGATTTGCTTTGGGGGGTTATGGCTCAAACCGTTTAGGAATTAGGGGCAAAAAAGGGGGAAAAACAAGGTTGTCCTGGTTAATGGACAAATACTTTAGTACAAAACATAATTTAAAGCAGTGTAAGGGAGATAAATCAAATACATCATTGAAATTATCTCCCTAACACTGCTTTTAAATTATGAATAAAGTAATGGTTAATGAACAATTAAGATAATTTAAAACAGTGTAAGGGAGGTAATCCAAATACGTTTTGGTTACTTCCCTTACACTGCTTTTAAATTATGTTTAAAGAAATGCATATTTATAAAGGAAGACCAGTAAAAATATCTGCAAATGTTGCATCTTTTTTTTTTACAAAAAAAATCCATATGAAAGATTTGACACTAAATTTTAAATTCTATTATAAAATAGATTAAGTTAGCACTATGGTAAATTTAAATGGGTAATTATGGTTGCAAACTCCATTGGAAATTTGATTGAGATTATGACCATATTTTGAGGGAAAGAATTTTTTTGGGGAAAAAAGGGGGGGGGGGGGGGTAAAAAGAAATTGTGGGGGGTCAAGTTTTTCTCATTTCAGATTTCAGAAATTAAAAAGAATTATTCTTCAAATATTTTTTTTTTTTTCAAATTTCAAATATTGAAAAATTTCAAGAAGTAATCTTTAATTGCACAGTATGGCGCATTAGATTTTTAAAATCTTTGACCACATTTATTTATTTGTTATGCCGAATCTAACCGTGTATTTAGATTTTTAATTTTGGGTCCAGTTTTCAAATTGGTCTACATTAAGGTCCAAAGGGTCCAAAATTAAACTTTGTTTGATTTTAACAAAAATTGAATTTATGGGGTTCTTTGATATGCTGAATCTAAACATGTATTTAGATTTTTGATTTTTTGCCCAGTTTTCAAGTTGGTCCAAATTGGGGTCCAAAATTAAACTTTGTTTTATTTCAACAAAAATTGAATATATGGGGTTCTTTGATATGCTGAATCTAACCATGTATTTAGATTTTTTATTTGTGGACCCTGCTATCAAATTGGTTCATATTGAGGTCAAAAGGGTCCAAAATTAAACTTCGTTTGATTTCATCAAAAATTGAATTATTGGGGTTCTTTGATATGCCAAATCTATCATGTATTTAGATTTTTAATTTTGGGTCCTGTTTTTTAAATTTGTCTACATTAAGGTCCAAAGGGTCCAAAATTAAACTTAGTTTGATTTTAACAAAAATTGAATTCTTGGGGTTCTTTGATATGCTGAATCTAAACATGTGTTTAGATTTTAGATTTTTGGCCCAGTTTTCAAGTTGGTCCAAGTTGGGGTCCAAAATTAAACTTTGTTTGATTTCAACAAAAATTGAATATATGGGGTTCTTTAATATGCTGAATCTAACCATGTATTTAGATTTTTTATTTGTGGGCCCGCTATCAAATTGGTTCATATTGAGGTCAAATTAAACTTTGTTTGATTTCATCAAAAATTGAATTATTGGGGTTCTTTGATATGACAAATCTAACCGTGTATTTAGATTTTTAATTTTGGGTCCAGTTTTTTAAATTGGTCTACATTAAGGTCCAAAGGGTCCAAAATTAAACTTAGTTTGATTTTAACAAAAATTGAATTCTTGGGGTTCTTTGATATGCTGAATCTAAACATGTGTTTAGATTTTTGATTATGGGCCCAGTTTTCAAGTTTGTCCAAGTTGGGGTCCAAAATTAAACTTTTGTTTTATTTCAACAAAAATTGAATATATGGGGTTCTTTGATATGCTGAATCTAACCATGTATTTTGATTTTGGACATTGGACCATAATAGGTAAATAAAAAAAAATCATGTTCTTAGACCACATTCTTTCTGTGTCAGAAACCTATGCTGTGTCAAATATTTAATCACAATCCAAATTCAGAGCTGTATCAAGCTTGAATGTTGTGTCCATACTTGCCGCAACTGTTCAGGGTTCGACCTCTGCGGTCGTATCAAGCTGCGCCCAGCGAAGCATTTTATTGGTTATTATCTTGAAAATTATTAATGATAAAGATATACTGTGAACAGCAAAAGTGTTCAGCAAAGTAAGATCTACAAATAAGTTAAAATGACCAAAATTGTCAAATGTGTCCTTAAGGAGTTATTGCCCTTTAAAGACAATTTTTCACAATTTGTTCATCTAGTTTGCTTACTTTAAAAAATCTTCTCCTTTGAAACTGCTGAATCAATTTCAGCCAAACTTGGGCTGAATGAGTTTCAGAGTATCTAGTATAAATTTTGTATTTTATTTTCTTGTAGTCAAGAAACATAGCCACTATGGCTAAAATGGAACATAGGGGTAACATGTATTTCTTTGCTTTTGAAGAAAATATGACAGATACAAAGAACATCTCAATGGAATTTTTAAGCCACTCATTAATTTATATTAAAAAGCACAATAATCATTGATGAAAGATTTAAGCAAAAAATTACAGGTGAGCGATTCAGGCTCTTGAGAGCCTCTTGTTTTGTAATGCATCATTGATAGCAGTAACTTGCCATTTGCAACATTGAAACATAGATATATGGAGACAAATATTGAAAAACTGGTGTTTTTACCATTTGTAACTTTGGTATATTTTTAAGAGTGAACAAGAAAGTAAGACAAAACACATACAGAAATGCCATCTACCGATATCATGAAATGTTAAAGATCTTACTGTAAACCAACTTATTTTCGCGAGTGATTTATTTTTGTGACTTTCATGAGCAAAAAATAACACAAATATATAAACTTTGATCTTTCCTTATTTACCTACATCGTATAAATTTGAAAATCGTGAAATTAAATCGTCGCGAAGTGGGCTAGGAAGGGTGTAGCGTAAAATAAAGTATCCGCGAAAATAAGTTGGTTTACAGTATTCAAATTCACATTTCAAACATTATAAGGAGGCCTCTGTGGCCAAAATAGTTCAAACATCTCTGTGGCCAAAATAGTTCAAACATTATAAGGGGGCCTCTGTGGCCAAAGTAGTTCAAACATTATAAGGGGGCCTCTGTGTCCGAAGACGTTCAAACATTATAAGGCGGCCTCTGTGGCCGACGTAGTTCAAACATTATAAGGGGGCCTCTGTGGCCGAAGGAGTTCAAACATTATAAGGGGGCCTCTGTGGCCGAAGTAGTTCAAACATTATAAGAGGGGTCTCTGTGGCCGAAAAAGTTCAAACATTATAAGGGGCCTCTGTGGCCGAAGAAGTTCAAACATTATAAGGGGGCCTCTGAGGCCAAAGTAGTTCGAACATTATAAGGGGGCCTCTGAGGCCAAAGTAGTTCAAACATTATAAGGGGGCCTCTGTGTCCGAAGACGTTCAAACATTATAAGGCGGCCTCTGTGGCCGACGTAGTTCAAACATTATAAGGGGCCTCTGTGGCCGAAGGAGTTCAAACATTATAAGGGGGCCTCTGTGGCCGAAGTAGTTCAAACATTATAAGGGGGGTCTCTGTGGCCGAAAAAGTTCAAACATTATAAGGGGCCTCTGCGGCCGAAGAAGTTCAAACATTATAAGGGGGCCTCTGTGGCCGAAGTAGTTCAAACATTATAAGGGGACCTCTGTGGCCATTATAAGGGGGCCTCTGTGGCCAAAGAAGTTCAAACATTATAAGGGGGCCTCTGTGGCCGAAGTAGTTCAAACATTATAAGATGGCCTCTGTGGCCGAAATAGTTCATCTGCAGTGATCACAAGACTGTCAACTCTTGAGGTTGTGAGTTCAAACCCAGCATGTGGCAAGAAATTTTAGACTTTAATCTACATTGACAATTATTGCCAGTTTTCCTGCAGAAAATAGGTGGATCTCTCCAAGTACTCTGACTTCCTCCACCAATAAGTTAAAATCAAGGTCACTGGAACTAGCATATAACACCAACGAACAAGGATCAAACATTTTAGTTTCATTTTGCCATTCCCATTACTGTTAATTCAGAAATTATTGCGAGGTTTTTATTAATGCTAATAATGTGACTGGGTCAGTATTGCAATAATAAGAACTCGCATTATAATATATGATGCATATATATGTATGCAGATTTTTCTGAAATTGCAATAATAAATGCACGCAATAATTTCTGAATATTCAGTACATTTTATTTACATTTCAGGGCACACTCAAGGTATGGAGGAGAGTAACCAACAGAAATCTGGTGGAGGAAAAAAGAGAAAATTTAAAAGCGAATTGAAAGGAAAAGAACAGATTCTTAAACAGAGAAATATAAAAGAGAAAAAACAAGCTTATCAAAGTTACAGACATCATAGCAATCAGAAACGTTCAATATTTAAGTCCAAGAAAAACAAATAAAAGTGGATTTCCATTATATTATTTTATTTCTACCTTAAGGTGGTACCTAACACCTTGACTAATATTAATTTGGCTCGTTTAATTTTCCTAAAATTTTGACAAAATGTTTACTTTGACCCTTTGACAAAAATATAAAAATTTCAAATAATTTGAACCAATCACTTTATCAGAAAAATTTCACTGGTTATATAGCAGTTTGACAAACACTAATTTTGATCATTGAGAAGCTTAATATTTCCTTAACAATACAACGTGATTAAAAAGTTTAGTTGATTTTTTACAGAGTTATCTCCCTGTAGTGTTAGGTACCACCTTAAATTTATTTGTTTGAACCTTGCCTCTTTGTCTTTATTAATATCAACTTTTCATAACTCTGGGTAAATGAATCCACAGTAATAGAAATAAAATGCTTCGCTGGGCGCAGCTTGATACGACCGCAGAGGTCGAACCCTGAACAGTTGGGGCAAGTATGGACACAACATTCAAGCTTGATACAGCTCTGAATTTGGATTGTGATTAAATATTTGACACAGCATAGGTTTCTGACACAGAAAGAATGTGGTCTAAGAACTTCAATTTTTTTAATTTACCTATTATGGTCCAATGTCCAAAATCAAAATACATGGTTAGATTCAGCATATCAAAGAACCCCATATATTCAATTTTTGTTGAAATCAAACAAAGTTTAATTTTGGACCCCAACTTGGACAAACTTGAAAACTGGTCCCATAATCAAAAATCTAAACACATGTTAAGATTCAGCATATCAAAGTACCCGAAGAATTCAATTTTTGTTAAAATCAAACTAAGTTTAATTTTGGACCCTTTGGACCTTAATGTAGACAAATTTAAAAAACGGGACCCAAAATTAAAAATCTAAAAACACGGTTAGATTTGTCATATCAAAGAACCCCAATAATTAAATTTTTGATGAAATCAAACAAAGTTTAATTTTGGACCCTTTTGACCTCAATATGAACCAATTTGATAGCGGGCCCACAAATAAAAAATCTAAATACATGGTAAGATTCAGCATATCAAAGAACCCCATATATTCAATTTTTGTTGAAATCAAACAAAGTTTAATTTTGGACCCCAATTTGGACCAACTTGAAAACTGGGCCAAAAATCTAAAATCTAAATACATGTTTAGATTCAGCATATCAAAGAACCCCATATATTCAATTTTTGTTGAAATCAAACAAAGTTTAATTTTGGACCCAACTTGGACCAACTTGAAAACTGGGCCCATAATCAAAAATCTAAACACATGTTTAGATTCAGCATATCAAAGAACCCCAAGAATTCAATTTTTGTTAAAATCAAACTAAGTTTAATTTTGGACCCTTTGGACCTTAATGTAGACCAATTTAAAAAACGGGACCCAAAATTAAAAATCTAATTACACGGTTAGATTCGGCATATCAAAGAACCCCAATAATTCAATTTTTGATGAAATCAAACAAAGTTAAATTTTGGACCCTTTGGACCTCAATGTGGACCAATTTAAAAACGGGGCCCAAAATCCAAAAACTTAATACACGGTTAGATTCAGCATATTAAAGAACCCCAAGAATTCAAGAATAAAACCCCATTGAAATTGATCAAGAAATAAGCAATTTATACGAAGTATCTTCTTTTGCACAATACTGTGCAATTGAATATTTCTTGCTATTGCGCAATACTGTACAATTGACAATTTCTTGCTATTGCGCAATACTGTGCAATTGAAGATTTCTTGCTATTGCGCAATACTGTGCAATTGAAGATTTCTTGCTATTGTGCAATACTGTGCAATTGAAAATTTCTTGCTATTGCACAATACTTATTATATAATAATTTACACATCCTGTTTGGTGTGTATCTCCTACCCTATCATTATTATTTGCTTTTAAATATAAATCAGAAATAACCAACTTAACATGGAAAATTTTAAAAGAAAAAAAAAAGAAAAAAAAAAAAAAAAAATCCCCCCCCCAAATTTTTTTAACCCCCTTATGATTCATCACCCCCAAACTCAATCCCAGCCTTCCCTTTGTGGTATGGTACCTTGCAGTACAATTTCAGAGAGATCCATACACTTGAACACAAGTTATTGTCTGGAAACTAGAAAAATGCTTATTTTTGGCCCCTTTTTGGCCCCCAATTCCTAAACGTTTCGGGCAATTACCCCCAAACTCAATTCCAGCTTTCCCTTTGTGATATGGAACCTTGTAGTACAATTTCAGAAATATCCAAACACTTACACACAAGTTATTGTCATGAAACTAGAAAAATGCTTGTTTTTTGCCCCTTTTTTGGCCCCTAATTCCTAAAATTTTGAGGCAATTACCCCAAAAATCAATTACAGCCTTCCCTTTGTGATATGGAACCTTGTGGTACAATGTCAGAGAGATCCATACACTTACACACAAGTTATTGTCTGAAAGTTACAAAAATGCTTATTTTTGGCCCCTTTTTGGCCCCTAATTCCTTAACTGTTGGTACCATAACCCCCAAAATCAATCCCAACCTTCCTTTCGTGGTATTGAACCTTATGGTGAAATTTCATGGAGATCCATTCACTTAAACTAAAGTTAGAGTGCGAAAACCAATGTGTCTTCAGACGACGCCAGACGACGCCGGACGACGACGACGACGACGACGACGCCAACGTCATACCAATATACGACCAAAAAAATTTTAAATTTTGCGGTCGTATAAAAACAAAGGGTATGGGGTATCCATCCAAAGCAAAGGAACAGAGCTTTTATTGCTGTTCTTCATCTCAAAGTCACAGTGAGGCCTTCAACACGGAGCAAAAAAAACTCTCACCTCACTGCTAGTTTCAGTGGTTGTTGTTGGTCCATATGCTTCATTTTTCTCATTGTTGAAGGCCTTAAAGTAACCAATATTCACTTACATCCATGTCATTCAAACACCTCCAGATTTTCATATTAAACTTCTTTTTTGAGATCTGAACCCTACCACTTTTAAATCTTGGATCAATGGACTAACAAAATGTACATTAAAGAATTGGCAATTAAATTCAGTACAGGAAAAGTACTTAACCCTTAAATAAAAGATAACAAAAACACAAAACAATTATACTATAATAAGCATTCTGAGAGTATTGCATGGCTATACATAGTTCCCTACTGGTTAAAATTTCATTGAACTGGAACACAATGCTAACTTAATCAGTAATTTGTAAAATATTCTATTGAACACTAAATCTGTTTATACTAAAATATATGAAATTTTTTTATTGTGAATAAAGTTTCACTAAAGGAGTTGTATTAACAAGAAAACTAGACAGATCAACAGACAGTGTGATTTCTATTGTTTCGAAAGGTTTATTATGCATGAATTTTCTAAGTCAGAGGACCATAACTCTGCAAATAAAATGCCCAGCTGAGGCACAGCTTGATACGACCGCAGAGGTCGAACCCTGAACAGTTGGGGCAAGTATGGACACAACATTCAAGCTTGATACAGCTCTGAATTTGGATTGTGATTAAATATTTGACACAGCATAGGTTTCTGACACAGAATGAATGTGGTCTAAGAACTTAAAAAATTTTAATTTACCTATTCAAACCATATCATTATTATTTGCTTTTATATATAAAACAGAATTAACCAAGGCCATAAAAAAAAATATGTTTGTTTGCCCTAACCCTACTTTCCCAGAAAATATCTGCCTACTCAAAATCTTTTATTGTCTTGATGTGAAATTTTTTTTTTTAATCAGATAGGCATGAAGACTAAACACAATCTGACACTTCAATTTCTCTTTACCGAAAAAAGAAAAGAAAATGCCTACCTACCTACCCACTGTCTTTACCTTTGGGTAGGGTTTAGGCAAACCAAAATATTTTTAGATGTGATCAAATTTAAAATAGAAAATTTTAAAGAAAAAAAAAAGGAAAAAAAGGGGAAAAAAATCCCCCCCCCCCCTCCAAAATTTTTTGAACCCCCTTATGATTCATCACCCCAAAACTCAATAACAGCCTTCCCTTTGTGGTATGGTACCTTGCAGTACAATTTCAGAGAGATCCATACACTTGAACACAAGTTATTGTCTGGAAACTAGAAAAATATTTGTTTTTTGGCCCCAAATTCCTTAATGTTTAGGGCAATTACCCCCAAACTCAAACCCAGCTTTCCCTTTGTGATATGGAACCTTGTAGTACAATTTTTACAAAGATCCATACACTTACACACAAGTTATTGTCCTGAAACTAGAAAAATGCTTGTTTTTTGCCCCTGTTTGGCCCCTAATTCCTAAAATTTTGAGGCAATTACCCCCAAAATCAATCCCAGCCTTCCCTTAGTGGTATGGTACCTTGCAGTACAATTTCAGAGAGATCCATACACTTGAACACAAGTTATTGTCTGGAAACTAGAAAAATGCTTATTTTTGGCCCCTTTTTCCTAAACGTTTTTGGACAATTACCCCCAAACTCAATTCCAGCTTTCACTTTGTGATATGGAACCTTGTAGTACAATTTCAGAAAGATCCATACACTTACACACACAATATTTGTCATGAAACTAGAAAAATGCTTGTTTTTGCCCCTTTTTTGGCCCCTAATTCCTAAAATTTGGAGGCAATTACCCCCAAAATCAATCCCAGCATTCCGTTTGTGATATGGAACCTTGTGGTACAATGTCAGAGAGATCCATACACTAACACACAAGTTATGTCTGGAAGTTACAAAAATGCTTATTTTTGGCCCCCAATTCCTTAACTGTTGGTACCATAACCCCCAAAATCAATCCCAACCTTCCTTTTGTGGTATTGAACCTTATGGTAAAATTTCATAGAGATCCAATCACTTAAACTAAAGTTAAGAGTGCGAAAACCAATGTGTCTTCGGACGACGACGCCAACGTCATACCAATATACGGTCGTATAAAAATCATTCAAACCAAACAAAATTCGAACTTGATCTGTAAGTTGTGATGGTAAAACTATATACCAAATATCAAATCAATATCTTCAAGCATGACGAAAATAAGTGTGAAAACCAAGGACCATAACTCTGCTCAATATCATCCGACTGGAACAAAATTCAAACTTGATCTGTAACTGGTCATGCTAAAACTGTATACCAAATATCATAACAATATCTTTAAGCATGAGGAAAAAAATGGAAAACTGATTTGCCGGACTGACGGATGGACAGACGGATGGAGTGCAAACCTAAAGTCCCCTTCCACTTAGCCAGTAGGGGACTGATAAAGACTGCTTCCAGCTATTATAAAAAAATATTCAATGTGGTATAAAACTTCTTAAATTACAACTTTGTGTTGGTTCAGTGAAAACAATGTTGATACTGTGTGTGGATTCATTATTTCTAGGGTACTAGTTTTTATGAACATAGGTATACTACAAATTATAATCTTCAAAACACAAAATTTCAAATAGGCTTGTTGGTAGATTATTTTGCAATCCATGAAATCAAGTATCCAGGAAAATACAATTTTTTTTTCTGAATGAATTCACAGTAACAGAAAAACTATCAAAGGAGCATTCCTACAATATATACCTCTGCTGGTGGACTGTTAGTCCCGAGGGTATCACCAGCCCAGTAGCTAGTACTTCGGTACTGGCATGAAAATACGTATATTATGTTGATTGAAATTTACTGTTATAAAATTTTAGAAATCAATTCAAATTAAGGAATATATCTCCCTCATGCAAAGCTCTGATTCCTTGTCCGATTTTGGCTATACATTAGGTTCTTTTGGTTGATCAGCTCTTCAACATTTGTATTAGGTTTTGGATTTTAAAATATTTTGGCCTAGAGCATCACTGAAGAGACATTAATTGTCGAAATGTGCATCTGGTGCAGTAAGATTGGTACTGTTTATATCTGATTGTATTGGCTAAGTACTGTTTATATCTGATTGTATTGGCTAAGTAGTTCTGGATATTGTAAATTATGTCAGTTAAGGATGTTCGCTACTCTGTTTCAAAATAACAGGCTTTTTAAAAGACTGTTATAAATTGATAGTATATAAATAAAGGAACTAAAAAAGCAGAAAAAAATTAAGGGTCCGTGTGCTTGTTTTCGAGATATAGGCCATTAAAAATTTGGCGGGAAATAATTCTCTCTAGACTTTTCATACATTTAACATTGGCACCCTTTTTCTTTAAAAAGATATGAAAAAATAACAAGGATTTTATAGCATTTTCAAATATGGCTATTCAAACCATATGTTATAAAATTATAAAAAGAAAAATAGGGGTTAGCAGGCAAATTTTTTATTGGCACTAACATGGATAAAACTAGAGGATTCCGAATATCTGACAAAAAGTCAGAAACAAGAGTAGCAAACATCCTTAAATGGATGTCAGTAACAGACATATTAAAATACCAGTGGTGTCATTAGGATGACAAAATAAGTAATATTTCTGGAGAGTATTGGCCAGGTGGTTGCAGGTAGGAGTAAAAACACTTGTAAAGGTTAACATCACTTGAACTTATCTAGCAAGTTTAGTTTCAATTGGTTTGGTGATTCTTGAGGATTTTTATACGACCGCAAAAAAAATTTTTGTGGTCGTATATTGGTATGACGTTGGCGTCGTCGTCGTCCGAAGACACATTAGTTTTTGCACTCTAACTTTAGTTTAAGTGAATGGATCTCTATGAAATTTTACCATAAGGTTCAATACCACAAAAGGAAGGTTGGGATTGATTTTGGGGGTTATGTTACCAACAGTTAAGGAATTAGGGGCCAAAAATAAGCATTTTTGTAACTTCCAGACATAACTTGTGTGTTAGTGTATGGATCTCTGACATTGTACCACAAGGTTCCATATCACAAAGGGAATGCTTGGATTGATTTTGGGGGTAATTGCCTCAAAATTTTAGGAATTAGGGGCTAAAAACAAGCATTTTTCTAGTTTCATGACAATAACTTGTGTTCAAGTGTATGGATCTCTCTGAAATTATACTGCAAGGTACCATACCACAAAGGGAAGGCTGGGATTGATTTTGGGGGTAATTGCCTCAAAATTTTAGGAATTAGGGGCAAAAATCAAGCATTTTTCTAGTTTCAGGACAATAACTTGTAAGTGAATGGATCTTTATGAAATTGTACTACAAGGTTCCATATCACAAAGGGAAAGCTGGGTTTGAGTTTGGGGGTAATTGCCCTAAATGTTTAGGAATATGGGGCCAAAAAACAAGCATTTTTCTAGTTTCCAGACAATAACTTGTGTTCAAGTGTATGTATCTCTCTGAAATTGTACTGCAAGGTACCATACCACAAAGGGAAGGCTGGGATTGAGTTTGGGGGTGATGAATCATAAGGGGGTTCAAAAAATTGGGGGGGGGGATTTTTTTTCCTTTTTTTTTCTTTCAAATTTTCCATTTTAAATAGGTTATTTCTGATTTATATATAAAAGCAAATAATAATGATATGGTTTGAATAGGTAAATTAAAAAAATTTAAGTTCTTAGACCACATTCATTCTGTGTAAGAAACCTATGCTGTGTCAAATATTTAATCACAATCCAAATTCAGTGCTGTATCAAGCTTGAATGTTGTGTCCATACTTACCCCAACTGTTCAGGGTTCGACCTCTGCGGTCGTATCAAGCTGTGCCCAGCGGAGCATTTTATTAAGTATGGACCAATTGGACATTTTTAGGTCCCTTGAAGCTATATATTGGACTTTTCATGCAAGTATCTTTACAAATACTTCTGCAAGGTTTATTTACAATTTCCTTCATCTGTTTTTGAAAAGGAAAGCAAACTGCCATTCCGATAGGATTTTTGTATAACATTTACCTCTGCCGGTGGCCTTTTTGAATGTCTGATAAATACCAAAGTAACAACACTTGTTAAGGACCTTCACATGAACATCAAGAAGGGTTTCAAATGGTTCAGCTGTTCTATAAATAGGTTTTTCAAGTTTCCTTAAAACAATTCTTTGTAAACGAATGGGAAACCAAAGAAACAACATTCAGAAAGGACCTTGTAACCAAAATCTCTGCAATGTTTGGTTACATTCTATTCAGTGGTTCTCCATAAAAAGATGCAAATGTGAAAATTTAACAAATAGACAACAGATGAAAAGTGATGACAAAAGCTCACATGCCCGTCAGCTACATGACCTAATCTGAGCTAATAAAACAGATTAATATCATCTTTGTAAAATTGTCTCCCTTTAACTGACACAAGAAGTCATTTTTTTCTATTTTTTTTTAATTAAAACAAAACAGTTATGTATCATCTTCATCCTCGTCAATGCTTTCCTCTCCTTCATCATCATCTTCAATTTTCGTTGAATCTTCATCTTGTAGTTTTGCTGAAGAAAAAAAACATGAAAATTGAGAATATATATTATCACGAATAGCAAATAATGCAGTGTTAAAAATTGCTGGTTCAATAGTTCTCAATTTCATTGTTTCAAAAATTTGTAAAGGGTTCTGTAGTAGGAAGTACTCTGTATCTTGTCTTTGATTGCAGCTGTTAGTGTAAGTGTGATGTTGACTGCCAAAAACTAAGCCCATTTATCAGTCAAATAAGGAAATAAGGAAAAAATTTGCTAAGGATACTGTCTTTTATACATCAATAAAAAGCTTTTGTTGAAATTTCATAAAATTCAATGAAGGTTTGACAAAGTTATTGATGTCTAAAAACTTAAATCTTAGACAGTATCCTAATGCTTACTGCCAAAAATCTGAATACTGTCTTATGATCATAAAAATACATCTGTCCATGTTTCATAAAATTCCATGAAGGTTTGTCAAGTTAATAACTACAGACTGACAGACCTTAATGTAGATGTGTCCTATGACAAATGTAAGATTATTGTCTTAGCTTCTGTCACACAATTTTGCAGGCTTGACATAAACTGTTGACACAGAGATGTGTCTCGACTTTTTGTGATTTTAATATTATAATTCAAATGTTGAAATTAAAATGGTAATATTTAGATATGTAAACCTTGGAAAACATTCAATGTCAATGAACCATGACTAAAGGTGCAGGACAAAATAACCTCCATGAAAATGAGAAATGCCAATGGTAAAACCAACTGCATACCAAACATCATTGACCTACCATTAGTGGCTCCCCTTAACATGACCCAATAACAAACTTATACAGTGTTGCCACCACCGGAAACAGAACGCCTAAGTCTAGCTTTTTCAAATTAGTTAAGGTTGAGACAAAAAATTGTGAAAAAAAATATTATAATGTTGGATTAATATTTTTACAATTTACTTTTTTAACTACTGATGCATGCATACTGGGTTATTTATAATAAAAATTAAAAACAAAGAAGGATAAATTTCTTAACAACAAAAATTATATCTTCAATCATTATAATAAATGTGCATACCCTTTATTGGAATTTAAAGAGGAACTATTGGCTCTGGTCTTGTCATTTAGAAAGGGTTTAGCTGTACATTTTTTTTTTTAATTTTAAGAGGTACAATCGGTTCTGGTCTGTCAGTTAGATAGGTTCAACTGTACATACCTTTTATTTGAATTTTAGGAGGAACAATCGGTTCTGGTCTGTCATTAAATAATTCCATTTCACCTTCAGGGGTATACATTCCCTCCACACTGATGTGAAAGTCTGCCATCTGGTGGCCAAACAGTTTCTGAAATAAAATTCACAAACGCTCATTCATATACATTTACAAGAGTAGATATATACCAAAGCATGAAATCCATACTACATGTATACTGTAAATCACAAATTTTAGTGATGTTTTAATGCGAAAATTGCGTAGGGGTAGATTTCGCCAAAATAAAATTTTGCATTTGTGTCCATTGTTCAACAATCACAATAGTATAAAATGCAAGCAAAAACTTTTGATTTTACAGAATTAATATATCAATTATTGTTGCAATCCTAGCACAGAAACAATCTACATATTATGCACAACAACTGTGTTAAATTGCATTGATGTCCAACAGTAAGTTATGGTGTTTAAGGGTTTACAAAATTTGTTAACAGACAGACAAAATAAAAACTAGTATTATGGTGCTTACCAAAATTTCAGTGTCATGTACTTGTACTGGCTTGTTCTGGAGTGTGTCATGTACTTACCAAAATTCTGGTATGTTCTGGAGCGAGTGTGTCATGTACTTCCCAATATTCTGGCTTGTTCTGTAGTGGAGTGAGTGTATCATTCACTTACCAATATTCTAGCTTGTTCTGGAGTGAGTGCGTCATGTACTCACCAAAATTCTAGCTTGTTCTGGAGTTAGTGTGTCATGTACTCACCAAAATTCTGGCTTGTTCTGGAGTTAGTGTGTCATGTACTCACCAAATTTCTGGCTTGTTCTGGTGTGTGTGTCATGTACTCACCAAAATTCTAGCTTGTTCTGGAGTGAGTGTGTCATGTACCCACCAAAATTCTAGCTTGTTCTCGAGTGAGTGTGTCATGTACTCACCAATATTCTGGCTTGTTCCCGAGTTAGTGTGTCATGTACTCACCAAAATTCTGGCTTGTTCTGGAGTTAACGTGTCATCTTTTTCACAAACTTGATACTCTCTTAATAATGTGATCACACCTTGAAAAAAAAGGAAAAATAAAAAAAAAATATTTATCAAATGAAAATCTGCGAACTAATTTAAAAATATACCGACATATCTGTTTATCTATTGATGTTAACCGCCACTTTCAGCGACCTTGACTACATCATGGCAGACAGTTTTTATTGACGGACATGGTGGAGGAAGCAAGAGTAACAGTTACCTCCAGAAGGAGATCAACATATATTTATTATCACAAATAAGACCCCATTCACACTTGGACATTTAGATCAATTTAAACTAGATCGGTTCACTTTAGATCGATTTAAGCCCAATGTGAACGCTTTGAATCGATCTTGAATCAGTCTAAACTAAAACACCAAAAGAGGTAGTTTAGTTTAAATCGATCTAAAGTGCACCGATCTATCTTTAACTGTGAACGCAGAGATCGATCTAAACTAGTATGATTGAATTGAAAATAATTTGTGTGCATGTATGGCGGAAAAATTACACGTGCAATTTATTACAATATTGATGACCAACATAAAAGGGCTGAAAATTAACCAAAACTATACGAACAGATGTATCAACAATTGAACTTGTAATTCAAGTGAAACAATTACTTCATACATTATTTTTTTGCAAGCATGTGTATCAACACATTAATTTGATTAAATATTTCTATGTATACACAGTGTTTACAATTTCCCTGGTAATTAGATCAGATCGATTGCATTTCTACTTGTAGTGTGAGCGCAGTGGTTCAGATTAGAACGATAGAGATCGTTAGGATTAAAGATAATGTGAACGCTAACTGGTTTTATTTAGATTGATTCAAATTTAGATGGATTCAAAAAATGCTAGTATGAACGGTGTCTTATAAAAGGGGATCTTTTTAAATTAAAGAACCTTTAGTGAATAAGCTCATATACCCCTATATGTATTAAAGTTTGGTTAGGTGCAGGTGATTAATGTAAATTCCGAAATTGCATGCATTTATTATTGCATTTGTTGAACAATGAAAAAAAAAAAGGTAAAATTATCTATTGTGATTAAAGAATGCTCTATACAATACGAATAATGATATCAAAATAAAATCAAAATTTTTACTTTTGCTAAACCTTTCCTGTTAATAATAAGACCATCTAAAACATTTCTGAATTTATAGTATTACATTGATTTTTAATGTACTCATACGTCATTAAAACACTTTCAATAGTTGGACAAAAGCCTTAAATTCCCCAATCTTTCTCAACATACACACATTAAAACACTTTCAATAGTTGGACAAAAGCCTTAAATTCCCCAATCTTTCTCAACATACACACATTAAAACACTTTCAATAGTTAGACAAAAGCCTTAAATTCCCCAATCTTTCTCAACATACACACATTTAAACACTTTCAATAGCTGGACAAAAGCCTTAAATTCCCCAATCTTTCTCAACATACACACATTAAAACACTTTCAATAGCTGGACAAAAGCCTTAAATTCCCCAATCTTTCTCAACATACACACATTAAAACACTTTCAATAGTTGGACAAAAGCCTTAAATTCCCCAATCTTTCTCAACATACACACATTAAAACACTTTCAATAGTTGGACAAAGCCTTAAATTCCCCAATCTTTCTCAACATACACACATTAAAACACTTTCTATAAGGTACAAGAAGATTTACATGGTGTTGAGGAATGGTGTAATGATAACAATATGTTCATCAATAAAAATAAAACAAAATATATGATTATTGGAACAAAGCAAAAAGCAATGTCACATTACAATGAGAGTTGTTTAACTATTAACAATCAAGTGATACAATCTTCCACATGCAAAAGTCTCTTAGGCATTAAAATTGACCCTTTCCTCACATGGACAAACCAAATTGGATGTGATCTGCTCAAAAATTTCATCTAGGCTATATCTACTATTAAAGATGAAGAAATGTCTAAATCTAGACTGCAGAAAGTTGTTCTATAATGGTTATATCTTGCCACTAATTGATTATTGTTGTATAGTGTGGAGTAGTTGTAGCAGTGAGTGTTTAAATAGGATATTAAAATTACAAAAGTGAGCTGCTAGATTAATACTAGAAACAGACCCTTTTGCTCCTTCCGAGCCCTTATTCAAACACTTAAACTGGATGACAGTTGAACAGGGAATAAAATATCACAGGTTTGTGATGACATTTAAGTGCATCAGGTGCATCATATCTTACTAACAAGTTTCATTATGTTTCAGACAGAAATCCATACCCCTTGAGAAATGCTATTCAAGGAAACCTCATACTCCCTAAACCAAAAACAGAATTGTTCAAAAAATCTTTTATGTATTCTGGACCATATTTGTGGAATAATTTGCCAATTCCGTTAAGAAATATTACAATAGTTAATTCTTTCACATACAAAATAACAGATCATTTATTGAATCAACCTAGCTGTATAAAAAATATTGAAAACTGATTATGTCATCACGTTATTTTTTCATAATTTAATTTTGGATGTAATGCGTCTTCTGATTGGCTGACGTTGTTTTGTTTATCAGCTCATAGACATAATTTTGTCATGTGACCGTGACGTCATCGACGTTTTTTCATGGTTTACTCCGGTTTAAAATGGAATTTAGAATTAAATTATAAGAAATGACTGTAATATTTTTTCTGTCTATTCGAAATAACATAAAAAATGTGGTGCACACTTTAAAATAACCCGCTACGCTGGTTATTCAGTGTGCACCACATTTTTGATGTAATTTCTTCATAGACAGAAAAAATATTACAGTCATTCCTTAAATAACATTTTATCAAGTTGTATTGAACATTATTATCATACTTGTCTTTTTATACTAATGTATGCAATGTATATGTTTGCATTTTGTTTGATTTTTATGATGAGGGCCTCGGGGAAGATTAGTTATATAGCTAACTGTGTAACCCTCTTAAAATAAAGTATTGTTATTGTTGTTGTTGTTGGACAAAAGCCTTAAATTCCCCAATCTTTCTCAACATACACACATTATCAACACTGTTGAAATTTAAGTAAAATTAACCTTTATTTAATGTTGTAGGTAACCCTAGCTTTCTCAGCTGTGGTTCCATTGAATGAGAAAATTCTGGGATAGGACCGGTTTCTATGACAACAGTCTGTGTTGCTTGGTTTCCTGATCTGGCATAGTCTTTAATTCTGTAGTCATCAAAAAACCTGAAAAATAATTATTTACAAAGTTGTACTATTTCCTATTTTTATTAGAGTTATTTCCCTTTGTCTAGATAATTTCCAAGTCTGTACTTCATCTGACAGGCAAATTTGAACTTTTAATGATTGTGAGGCTGTTATGTTATTTTTTATTTAGCTAGGCCAAGTAAAAGTAATATGTACACTATCATTCACTGTTATCAAAATAAATGGGGCGATGGATTATATGTTATTTTTTTATTATTAATTTTTCAATTTATAACAATTGTTCAATTCATAAGCAGCTCCCAGCATGGACAAGAAAAAAGGTTTGGACATTTATTTTAAATGAGGTGTGTCAAATTCATATGAGCCTGGTATGATAATCTCATCTTAAAATGTATTTGGCCTAACCTAAATTTTAATCCCAAGTATACATGAATGATGAAATAGGTCCAATATTGGTAGCCCTCTTAAAAATGACCTTCTGTGTACAGGGGGGGATTCCGGGGGTTGGAACCCCCCCCCCCCCCCCCCTTTTTTTTTGATGATCAATGCTTTTGAATGGGGACATATGGTTGGAACCCCCCTTTTAAAAATGGCTGGATCCTCCCCTGCTGTGTTTCATTTTTGAAACTACATGCATCCCCAGGTTTTTAGGGTTTTGAAAATATCCCATAGATATTTATAAAAAATACATTAGATTTTTATAGTTTTGAGACTATCCCATTTAGTATGTTGAAACTATCCTCCAGATTTTTTTTCTTTTGAAACTATCCCCTAGATTTTATTTTTATAAATATCCCCAATTTTCATATCCCAAGATTTGTATACTTTTGGAACTATCCAACTTTACTTTAATACATCATCTTTAGTTTTATTTGTAAACAACAGTCCTGTCTGTCCACGTAGATGTTTACTCAGTTTATGAAGATCTTCCTTATATTCATCCTCTGCTGTTCTTCCCAATGCAAGGGCCATAACTTTGTTTTTACCAAAAAAGAATCTGAAAAAAAATTATTCATGAAGATTTTTGCACATAAATATTATCAATGATTTTCAAGTGGTAAAACATTTATAAGGCTATTCAAGTCGACTAAAATTTAGAAATCATTTATGGCAACCATTGGTTGGTTGGAGATTTTACAATGGGTATGCCTTGTTTTCATTTAAAGTTTACCCTGTTAAGTGAACCACAAAATCTGGCACAAAAGCTTAATTCGGTATATATTTTAAAAAGTTCAAATCATAATGAACAAATGTTTCAAACTGATGTGACTACATCATTATAGGATAGGGTTTAGATAGTATTAATTGTGAAATCTTAAAAATTTCAATATGTATCCCTGCTCTGCCCGTAAATTTCATAGCATACTGGTTAACTAGGAAAAATCCTTTTTGAGAAATAACAGTTTTATCCATAAAGAAATCTATAAAAAAATCATTTCAGATAGCATCACATTCAAGTTACATAATATCACATTAGCATGATGGTAAAACGCCCATAGGAGAACACTAGAACTGCCTTGTAAACTTTTGAAACTTTAATAAAATGCTCCGCAGGGCGCAGCTTGATACGACCGCAGAGGTCCAAACCCTGAACAGTTGGGGCAAGTATGGACACAACATTCAAGCTTGATACAGCTCTGAATTTGGATTGTAATTAAATATTTGACACAGCATAGGTTTCTGACACAGAATGAATGTGGTCTAAGAACTTAAAAATTTTAAATTGGACATTCACCTATTATGGTCCAATATCCAAAATCTAAATACATGGTTAGATTCAGCATATCAAAGAACCCCAAGAATTCAATTTTTGATGAAATCAAACAAAGTTTAATTTTGGACCCCAATTTGGACCAACTTGAAAACTGGGCCCATAATCAAAAATCTAAATACATGTTTAGATTCAGCATATCAAAGAACCCTAAAAATTCAATTTTTGTTAAAATCAAACTAAGTTTAATTTTGGACCCTTTGGACCTTAATGTAGACCAATTTAAAAACGGAACCAAAAATTAAGAATCTAAATACACGGTTAGATTCAGCATATCAAAGAACCCCAATAATTCAATTTTTGATGAAATCAAACAAAGTTAAATTTTGGACCCTTTGGACCTCAATGAGGACCAATTTAAAAACGGGGCCCAAAATCCAAAAACTTAATACACGGTTAGATTCAGCATATTAAAGAACCCCAAGAATTCAAGAATAAAACCCCATTGAAATTGATCAAGAAATAAGCAATTTATACGAAGTATCTTCTTTTGCACAATACTGTGCAATTGAATATTTCTTGCTATTGCGCAACACTGTACAATTGACAATTTCTTGCTATTGCGCAATATTGTGCTATTGGATATTTCTTGCTATTGCGCAATACTGTGCAATTGAAGATTTCTTGCTATTGCGCAATACTGTGCAATTGAAGATTTCTTGCTATTGTGCAATACTGTGCAATTGAAAATTTCTTGCTATTGCACAATACTTATTAGATAATAATTTACACATCCTGTTTGGTGTGTATCTCCTACCATATCATTATTATTTGCTTTTAAATATTAATCAGAAATAACCAACTTAAAATGGAAAATTTCAAAAGAAAAAAAATAGGAAAAAAAGAAAAAAAAAAATCCCCCCCCAAATTTTTTGAACCCCCTTATGATTCATCACCCCCAAACTCAATCCCAGCCTTCCCTTTGTGGTATGGTACCTTGCAGTACAATTTCAGAGAGATCCATACACTTGAACACAAGTTATTGTCTGGAAACTAGAAAAATGCTTATTTTTGGCCCCTTTTTGGCCCCCAATTCCTAAACGTTTCGGGCAATTACCCCCAAACTCAATTCCAGCTTTCCCTTTGTGATATGGAACCTTGTAGTACAATTTCAGAAATATCCAAACACTTACACACAAGTTATTGTCATGAAACTAGAAAAATGCTTGTTTTTTGCCCCTTTTTTGGCCCCTAATTCCTAAAATTTTGAGGCAATTACCCCCAAAATCAATAACAGCCTTTCCTTTGTGATATGGAACCTTGTGGTACATTGTCAGAGAGATCCATACACTTACACACAAGTTATTGTCTGGAAGTTACAAAAATGCTTATTTTTGGCCCCTTTTTGGCCCCTAATTCCTTAACTGTTGGTACCATAACCCCCAAAATCAATCCCAACCTTCCTTTCGTGGTATTGAACCTTATGGTAAAATTTCATGGAGATCCATTCACTTAAACTAAAGTTAGAGTGCGAAAACCAATGTGTCTTCGGACGACGCCGGACGACGACGCCGGATGACGATGACGACGACGCCAACATCATACCAATATACGACCAAAAAATTTTTAATTTTTGCGGTCGTATAAAAAATGTTAACCTTGGAAATTAAAATATGAGCTACGTCTGATAGAGATTGACCTTATGCAAGTGCATATATATACATGTACATGTATGAGACTTTCATTTTGGAACACTCAAATACAAAATAAAAGAATGAATTTTGGTTCGTTTTGTAGGGTTTTTATAACAACTCAATTTTCAAACATTTGCAGACTTTGCATAGAGATTTTTTCAACCCGAAATAGGTCAACAGATGTATTGATATTCATTTGCATAAGGTCGATTTCTATCTGACGCAGCTCATATGATAACCTTGAAAATTTAAATATAACTGTTTTTACCTGCTATGATTCCATTCCTGTCTGACATCTTTTAACTGCATGTTTCTCATATTGTGTACAGAAAAAAGGAAAATTCTCTTGTATTTGTTGGCACATTCTCGTATCTGAAAATAATACATTAAAGGAATTTTTAATTATTGCAAAGGAAATATTGATTAATCAACTCACAGATATTTTTTTCTTCTGGTAAATTGGATTTATATAGTAATACTATATATCATTTTTGCTATATAAAGGTGTGTTTACACAGTACGATTTTCCTTTTGATTTTCTTTCGATTTTTACCTGAGCACAGACCTGCAAACTTTCCCCCTTTATGGGGGATATCCCCATGACAGGTGTTGACCGGACCCTTATAAAACGGACTAAATACTTTATTTAACTCATAAGGGGTTCCGTGGAACCCTGTGTCTCGCCTACCATTGCTTCTGTCAGTGTAAAAAGTGTAATGTTGACTTAAAAAGTGAGTCTATTTATCAGTAAAATACAGAATCTTAATGAAATTCAAACTTTTTCTTTAGACGCTATTTCATAGTCTGGAAGATTAGCATCTGTCCAAGTTTCATAACAATCCATGAAGGTTCACAAATTTATCATGTCAAAAAAGTTTAATCCCAGACTGTCTGTAAATGTTAACTGGAAAAAAACTAAGTCCATCTATCCAAAAAATACTGAAACGAAAAAAATATATTTTCATAAGTTTGCTTCCGACATTATCTCGTAATTTATGATAAAAAAGCTTCTGTCAAAGTTTCATAAAATTCTATGAAGGTATGATAAAGTAATTGATGTGAAACAAACTTTAACCCAAGGCTGTATCTACTTGTTAAATGTAAAAAAAAAACTAAGTCCATTTATCGGAAAAATACAGAAAAATGAAAAAAAATATTTTCAAAATTTTGCTCTGGATACTGTAATTTGGTCATAAACAAGCTTCTGTCCAAATTTCCTAAAAATCCATGAAGGTTTGACAAATTTATTGATGTCTAAAAAAACTTTAACCACAGACAGAACCTAAATGTTGACGTTCGATGGAATCTAGGATAGCTATGTCTCGCTTTCGCGACATAAATTGGATGATAAATCTTACTGTGTAAAAAAACCTTAAATCCTTTCAGAAACCTTACATTCAAAACAGTTATAAACTTAATTAGAAATCTTCAAATAACTAATTCAAACAGTACTTCAACATCTTAGAATGCTCTCTCAAAGTAATATACCTTCACAAAATATTTGCTATCACATTAATTAGATCTCACAGTTTTACAAGTAATAAGTGATTCACAATAATTTCTTAATTTACAGTACATAGGCTTGTCCACAGGTGTAGACCTAGGCCTATAATGTTGACCACAACTTTTATTTGAACTTGTATTGTTGGGTTTTAGTACTTACATCATCTATCAACCTCTGTTTCAGTTCTAAACCTTTCCTCTTTGTCTGTGTTAAAGAAACTAAAACGATAAATATTCTTTTTGTTAATCATAAAACATTTGAAGCATCATTTACATGTAAAATAAAAGAACAGAATTCCAATGTCCCCCGCATTGCACATATTTTATCTATCCAAGATACAAGGGCAATAGCTAAAAAATACTCTTTTTTGTTCTTTAAAACGGTTCATAAATATCTTAAGAGAAACGAAGGCTTCAGAGCAAATCCAATGTGATTTCTGATATAATTAATATTTCCTAGGGCATAACTCATTAAAAATACTTGATCAGCACTTATTTTGAAAGTGTCAAAGACATTGCTGATATAAACCTATGAAATAAGTTCCATAAAATTCAGGCAAGAATAATTCAATTGTGCACATGAGAGCACTAACAATGCAATTTTCCATATTATTAATATTTCCAAGGGGCATAACTCTATTAAAAATACCTGATCGGCAAAGATTTTCGAACTCATTCAAAACATAGATATAAATTTCATAAAAATATGGGAAGAATTGTACACATGAGAGCACTAACAATGCAATTTTCCATATAATCAATATTTCCAAGGGGCATAACTCTTTTAAAAATACCTGATTAGCAGATTTTCGAATTCATCCAAGACATAGATGATATAAACCTATAATATAAATTTCATAAAAATCTAGGAAGAATTGTACACATGAGAGCGCTCACAAGGCAATTTTCCGTATAATTAATATTTCCAAGGGCATAACTCTTTCAAAAACAATTGATCAGCACAAATTTTCAAATTCTTCCAAGACATTGATGATATAAACCTGTAATATAAATTTCATAAAAATCTGTCAAGAATTGTACACATGAGAGCGCTCACAAGGCAATTTTCCCTAGGGCATAAGTCTTTTGAAAATAATCGAACTGCAATGATTTTCAAACTTGTCCGAGACATTGCTGATACAAACCTATGATATAAGTTTTATAAAAATCTGGCAAGAATTGTACACATGAGAGCGCTAACGATGCAATTTTTCATATAATTAATGTTTCCAAGGGGCATAACTCTTGAGAGTGCTAACAAGATCGGACGGACGGACGGACGCCTGGTATTTCTATGTCCCCCGCAAAGCGTTGCGTGGGGGACAATAAAAAAATTTAACACTTAGTCATAAATTTGGTTATAAGTAGCCAGTAGGTTCAAAACCAAAATTGTGAAAGACAAGAATGTAAAGAAGATGTTTCTTATGGCACTAAATGTGCTCACAATGAGTATGTATGGTACAATATAAGACTTCATTTTAGACAAAAAACACTAAATACAAATACTTGATTCATCATTTTCATACATGTGAACCTCCCGACGAGAGTACAATAATCCCATTTCAGGGGTCTCCTCCCATTCCCCCCCTCCCCCCCCCATTGAGGAGAAAAAATTTCTGTCTAAAAAAATTTATGACGCCATTTTTTACTACACTGTTTACATACATTTATAATTGAAAACATAAAAACCCGAGAGTATTGAACGTATCTGGTGTATCTAATATTTCCTGATCACTTTTAGATTTTGACCCCGGCCTGACCAATAGTTTGATTAAACAATCAACAGGTGATAGAATATTATTTACTCATTATGGCTTTTGTTTATGGCACATGTCAAGGGTGTTTTATAAAGGTAAATACCGGCATTAAGAGAAAAGATGAATGTTGTTGTCAAAACATCGATCGGATGGTTTTGATGCCAAAAAAACATTTAATAAACTTTCAACTCATCAAAGAAATGCTCACTATTTCACTCTTAAATGGGGACATATAGAGACCTTCAGCCTGCTCAAGAAGATCCAAACTGACAGCAGAAAAACATTGACTCAAGGATAGTTCACAGCCTCCTCAGTGTTAAGATTAACAACTACACAAACTGTTACCAGGATCAGGATCAGGATCAGGATCACTTTAGTACAGAGTCAAGTGTATATAAGGCAGTGAAGTCATATAATAGTTATTAAATAATATTTGCCAATTTAATATAGACAGTGCTATAGTTGATATATTTTACTCTGTTTGAAACAATGACAGTCTTAAGTTTTCTAGCACAATGACTTTATTAATGCCTGTTCTACATATGCATTCTCTTCAAAGGGGGTTTAAAAAAAAGTAATAGAGTATATTAGATTAGGTCATAAATCATGCAATTTCTTGTAATTAAACCCAAATTCAAATGAATGTTCATCCCCTAAGTGCAAAGAGAATCGTTAATCTCTGAGCTTCTGGTAGTGGCCCCTATACACCAGTCATAAATACGCTGAGGTGGACAGGGACATGCATACACCTTTTTTTTCTTAATAAAAGGGGCATTAGTTACAATTATGACAAAAATTTAAGCTGGGGCGCAGCTTAATACGACCGCAGAGGTCGAACCCTGAACAGTTGGGGCAAGTATGTACACAACATTCAAGCTTGATACAGCAATGAATTTGGATTGTAATTAAATATTTGACACAGCATAGGTTTCTGACACAGAATGAAAGTGGTCTAAGAACTTAAAAAATTTTAATTTACCTATTCAAACCATATCATTATTATTTCCTTTATATACAAATCAGAAATAACCAATTAAAAATGGAAAATTTTAAAGAAAAAAAAATCTCCCCCAAAATTTTTTGAACCCCCTTATGATTCATCACCCCCAAACTCAATCCCAGCCTTCCCTTTGTGGTATGGTACCTTGCAGTACAATTTCAGAGAGATCCATACACTTGAACACAAGTTAATGTCTGAAAACTAGAAAAATGCTTGTTTTTTGGCCCCTTTTTGGCCCCAAATTCCTAAACATTTAGGGCAATTACCCCCACACTCAAACCCATCTTTCCCTTTGTGATATGGAACCTTGCAGTACAATTTCATAAAGATCCATACACTTACACACATGTTATTGTCCAGAAACTAGAAAAATGCTTGTTTTTGTCCTTTTATGGCCCCTAATTACTAAAATTTTGAGGGAATTACCCCCAAAATCAATCCCAGCCTTCCCTTTGTGGTATGGTACCTTGCAGTATAATTTCAGAGAGATCCATACACTTGAACACAAGTTATTGTCTGGAAACTAGAAAAATGCTTATTTTTGGCCCCTTCTTGGCCCCTTATTCCTAAACTTTTGGGGCAATTACCCCCAAACTCAATTCCAGCTTTCCCTTTGTGATATAGAACCTTGTAGTACAATTTCAGAAATATCCATACACTTACACACAAGTTATTGTCATGAAACTAGAAAAATGCTTGTTTTTTGCCCCTTTTTGGCCCTCATTCCTAAAATTTGGAGGCAATTACCACCAAAATCAATCCCAGCATTCCCTTTGTGATATGGAACCTTGTGGTACAATGTCAGAAAGATCCATACACTTACACACAAGTTATGTCTGGAAGTTACAAAAATGCTTATTTTTGGCCCCTTTTTGGCCCCTAATTCCTTAACTGTTGGTACCATAACCCCCAAAATCAATCCCCACCTTCCTTTTGTGGTATTGAACCTTATGGTAAAATTTCATTGAGATCCATTCACTTAAACTAAAGTTAGAGTGCGAAAACTAATGTGTCTTCGGACGACGACGACACCGGACACGACGACGACGACGCCAACATCATACCAATATACGACCACAAAAATTCTTTTGCGGTCGTATAAAAAGGATTCTTTTTTATTCAACTTCAAATACTAATAAAAGTGAAATTTTGAAATAATATTATGTTATAAGCAGTCAGTTTGACCCAAATTTGTAAAAATTAGCTCAAGAATATTGCTGTATTGTTGACTTGCAAGTCAATAATCTAACCTCACTGAATCTGTATTCATGTAACCTTCAATTTAACCACTTAGCTCGAAATGGGTTCGGCATGTACTTGGCGTGTTCAGCTATTTAATGGAAAAAAATGTCAAACTTTGAAAGTGAAACAAGTGTGAACCATTTGGTTGACTGATTCAATCAGCAAAAAAACTTTCTTATACAGGTAAAAATGATGAGTACCATATCTTTTTAAATCTATGATATGAAATCAAACGGACTTGGAAAAATCAAATTGCATGTGCTCACCATCTATTTATGTTTATATTGGGTTATATGACGGTTGCCAGTCTTGAGAGGTCATCTCGATAATTAACTAGATGACATGTAGACTAAAATACACACGAAATGCTGATACATATTATCAAGTCCAGGAATAAATTATTAATTGTTTATTTTATAGTATACTTTTTGTAATTTGAATATACATTTTAGTATTTAATGAATCAAATAACTTAAGAGAGTTTGATTTAAATCGGTGAACATGAATTTGACAGCCAATGCCAATTGAAAATATCTGAAACTATTGCTATCATGACTAGGGTATAATATTAATAGTAATCATTGACATTGTACTGCTGCTAGTCCCAGAAAATATCTTAAAACCATTAAAATCATAAAATTTCAGGTATCTTACAAATTCACTGTAATATTTATTTGTGTTATGTAGTGTGTGTAAGCAGTTATTAGAATAAAACAACATCATAATGATACTTTTCTTGTCCCTTTTTGACTTTGGCATCTTGATAATAAAATGTACACAAACACACGTGGTTTTTTTTTTCAACCGGAAATAAGGAAATATTTCTGTTTTCAGGAAATAAAATAAAAATATATTTTTATTAAAAATAATAAAATTAATACACCTTCAATCAATTCCAATCCTATTATATAATTGGAAACGATTTATGGTGAAGTTTTATTTATTGACAACGTTGACCTTCGACACCCGGCTAGGAGTTGACATAGCAACAGTGACGTTAGGGCTACCTTTTCGAAAGAATGTAATCCCCGAAATCTATCGAAAGAAATGGAATTCAAGAGAAGATAACCCACTTCCAGGTTTTGGGAATCTTGATGCAAAATAGTCCCACTGCATAATATATTCGATTATTCTAACGATAACTATTTTTATCCTTTCCAGTGCATCCTTCTTCCCTGACATATTTTTATTGAATTTAAACAATTAAACTTTATCAGTAAGGTCCATGAAAATAAAGGAGTAGCGGAAGAATCAGTGATGTCACCTGCACTTTGATTGGTTAGTGTATTCCGCCATATTGGGAAGGTGGAGATAGAGTAAAGAGTAGTAGACTTCAAATTTCGATTATTTACAACTATTTTAACCATGTCGGAAGTCGAAGATAAAAAGGAACGCGAGACTCTAGTTCAAAAAGCTAAGTTAGCCGAACAAGCTGAAAGGTATGATGATATGGCCGAGGCCATGAAAAAAGTGGTCGAAAAGTTTAGGAAGTTGAACAACGAGGAGAGGAATCTGCTTTCCGTTGCCTACAAAAATGTTGTTGGGGCCCGGCGGTCATCATGGAGAGTAATTTCAAGTATAGAATCTAAGACAGACGGCACAGAAAAGAAACAGCAATTGGCTAAAGATTACAAAAACAAAGTAACAACCGAACTCCAAGAAATTTGCAAAGACGTTCTGGTGAGTGAAAGTTGACGGATGTTTCTTGTTGTGTCGTTTTGCGTGCAGTTTTCATTGCATGTTAATTTTTATTGTGTTTTCTTTAAATTATATATGTTAATATATCAAAGAAAATATGTTTTACATCGGATCGCGGTACACAGATTCAGATAGCATCGTTTTTGCATGTGCAGGAAGACGAGAATTTGGATCATCATAAAATTGGCATGTGTTTGTATATTCATCCGCGTCATTGATAAAAATGTAAAAATTTTGCATGAGTCATGAGCTCATCATCTCCTCTGCAGTATTATTGCAGATCTAGACACTCCGTGGACATCTTGAATGCAGTATGCTATGATTTATCTAATTGTTCACAGAATCAACAGCTTGGCAGCACTGATTATATAATGGAGCACTCTGCATAAATTATGCAAAAATTACAAACCTGTGTGATTTTCCACTATGAAGTATCCACAGTAAATTTATTGCCAGCAGTTTTTTAATGCAATATTTTAGGTTTGCATTTGTATGTAGTCTTGTAGTTGTATGCCTACTTCAAAATTTATGATTATGTGCAGTTCTTGTACCAAAGAATTTAAAAAAAAAGTCTGGTCATGGACCTTTCAGTTGCAAATGCACTATGTAACTCAAAATCTGTGGGTAAAAATTAAAAACAGATCATAGCTTGAATCAAATCAAATCTGGGTTGGGTCTCGTGGAAATTGGAACTTTTATATGGTCCTTTGCTGCATTTTATAAAGTAGCCTTTGAATATGAATTTGTTTCCCTGTGTCATGTGTGTATAGAAAGCATATGAGAAAACAAAATATTTATCCAAATATACTGTAAATATGACCATGATGCATGGATAAATTTAATTACAACAATTTTCCTTTGGGTTCACTCCAATCAATTAAACAGTAGAAACAAGACATTTATGTTATCCGCTCTTTAATGGGGTTGTTGTCTCTTTGACACTTTCCCCGTTTCCATTCTCAACTTTATTTTGTATGTTAACCATGTAAATGTTGCAGTTTCAACTTCTATTTTCACTGAAGACAGCAGATTGCCATATATATATGTAAGAAAGGATCCAATTGAAAAAAATAAGAAAGAACAGTCTAATGGTGTTCCCAGCTGATTGCTTGTTATATTATCAGGAAACTTGTACTCCCCCCCTTTACATCATGGTCCAGTTACATGTACTTGGATTTAATTATCAATTTTCACTGTTAACTTTAGTGTTCGTCAGTTTGGTGGGAACTACTTGTGATAGATCAATGATATTTTCTTTAAAGTTGCATTACATTCAGCACAAATCAGTTTGATGACTATTTCAAGGCCCTGTCCCCTAGATCATTGTCCAGGGACTTTGAATTGTTGCATTGTTGCTGTCCATCAGATTGTCTGTTTTTTAATTTTCTGCAGACAAGTGAAACATATCTCTGTGTCAACTGTTTCATATTACAACTTGATCTACTTGTAAGTAGTGTTCAATTGAAGATGGTTTTTAAAAGGGTAGATCTGGGTGTAGTACATGTACATGCATGAACACACAGTTTTTATACGCCTGTCAAAATTTTGAGGGGACGGGACATATTATGGTATACAAATGTCGTCTGTCCGGCGTAAACATGTCGCACCTTAACTTGAGATCGACTTCTCCAAATTTCATTTAACTTAACATAGTTGTTTCTTATGATGGTCAAACGATCTGTATACTTTTTTGGTGAAAATAAGATTAAAACATTTTGAGTTATGGGACTTAGTAACTAAAACAGGTGTGTGGTTTTTTTTTTCACATGTCGCGCCTTATCTCAAAAAACGATTTATGATTATTGCTTTAAATTTTACACACTTCTTAGTTATATTAATATTAAGATCTGTATACTTTTTGGTTTTGATTCAAAATTTTATTTTTGAGATATTGATTTTTTTTTTTAAAAAGGGGGGTTTTCACATGTCACGCTGTATCTCAAAAACGATTTATGATTATTGCTTAAAATTTGACACACTTTTTAGTTATATTAATCTAAAGATCTGTATACTTTTTGGTTTTGATTCAAAATTTTATTTTAGAGATATTGAGTTTTTTGTAAAAAAAGGGGGTTTTCACATGTCAGGCCGTATGTCAGAAACTATTTATGATTATTGCATAAAAATTCACACACAAGACGATGGGCGTATCATGCACTCATGGCGCAGCTGTTTATTATTTTTGGAGGGTTAGACACCAATGCTAACCCACTAGCTTGAGAGTAGTAAAAATTAGGCAGGACTAGTAAAGTTTTCATCACATTAGTATAAATTTTGGTTAACACCCAGAATTTCACAAAGTTTAACTTGTTAACACAACAAATCCCGGTTTCCCTTGAAAGCTGTCAACCCTACCCTCTTATATCTCCTACTCCCAACTCCCATGAACAACATGTACTCTCATTTCCCATGCACAACATGTAATTCTCTGGGCTATCCCATTCCTGAAAATGAAAAAATGGTTATGGCTTTAAGGAACAGTGATGCCGAAATGTATACAGGTCAACTTCTGCTTAAGGTAAAAATATGTAAACATGTACAGATTCTTAGGAATTGAACCTTCATCCTGCTAAAAAAAAACTGAGGCAAAGAAGTCCATTAAGAATTATCAGAAGTGGGAGTACCCTTGTCCTTTTGTACGTCCGAAAGTTGGTTTCCGTTCACTAACTTTAGTTTGCCTCAACCAATTGTTATGAAACTTATACACAATGCTTATTACCACCAAACACAGATCAAGTTTGAATTTCGGTTGCATCACTTAAACCGTTATAGAGTTATGCCCCTTTACAAATGGAAAATTTCTGTTCTCTTACTTTAGTTTACCTCAACCAAATGTTATGTAACTTATTCACAATGTTTATTACCACAAAACATAGATCAATTTTGAATTATAGTGGTGTCACTTTCACCGTTCTAGAGTTATGCCCTTTACAAATGGAAAAATAGCTGAATTTTTCATTTCCCTCTTAACTCTAGATTTCCTCAACCAAATGGTTTGAAACATATACAATGCTTATTACCACAAAATACAGATCAAGTTAGAATTTTGGTGGTGTCACTTTAACTGTTCTAGAGTTGTGCGCTTTACAAATGGAAAAATTCCTGAATTTATCGTTTCTATTCTCTATTTAAGTTTGCCTCAACCAAATGGTATGAAACTTATACACAATACTTATTACCACAAAACTCAGATCAAGTACAAATTTGGGTAGCGTCACTTTTACCGTTCTTCTGACAGTTATGTCCCTTTATAACTTTATATGATATGCAAGCGGGGGCATCTTCTGTGTCCATTGGATACATTCCCCATTTATTTTAAAAGAGTTATGCCCCTTGGAAATATAAAATATGTGCAACGCGGGGGACATTGGAACTCTGTTCTTTTGTTTTATTATTATTTTTCTCACTCAATTATTCTTAAATGTACATTTGTACTTTTGTTATAACAAAACAATTATTGCATCCCAATTGTTAACCCCTGAAGACTTGTCCTTAGGAAGACATCTCATTTAGGGCAATAAGTGTTTATTGGTTACTTGAGCTACACTATATAAAATAAGAAGAGTGGTATGATTGAGCTACACTGTAGTCAACATGTAGGTAGATATTCACTTTTTAATTCTTTATTTTTTACAGCATCTGCTTGACGAACATTTATTAAAAGAAGCTACTGAAGATACAGATAGTGGAAATGAAAGCAAAGTGTTCTATTTAAAAATGAAGGGAGATTACTACCGATATCTGGCAGAGGTTACAGATGAGGATGGGGCTGAGGGTAAACAAGGTAAATACTAAAATGATGTTAAATCCCACATTCCAGGTATCCAACGTTCTACCCCTGTACCCTAAGCATACAATGTAAGTGCCTTAATTTGTTTCATTTGTTAATACAATGCATTTGAAAGCATAAGTAACCTGCAAGTGCTCACAAGTGCTTGGATTCCTTCTTACATTGTAAATGATAAAAAGTAGTAAAATTAACACACCAGCATGATCAATATGAGTTTTACATCCAACTCTTTGACCAAAAAATACCTGTATGTCACTGTCATGAACATTTCAGTAATACTTGCAACCAATTTTGGCAAAGTATTTTAAGAAAAGAGTAGCCATTTTGATTTGTGAGGGAGAACTTTAATATAGTTTCTGTAAATCTTGTCCACATTTTAATAAGGCATGTGACAAGACATTGGACTTTTAAGTTAGATAAATTGTGCACCTGATCAGGCCATAATCTTGCCGGCGAAATGACGATTTAAGTCGCCAAAGAATTTTGAAAATCGCTATATCTCGCCGGCTGACTGACTTCATAACGAAGTCAAATCGCTATCAAAATCGGTAAAAGGGAGACAACTTGTGATTGACAAGTCTCACAGGTAAAAAAAATGGCAGCTGGCAAGGAAAATCGAGATTTTCGAAACGACCCAGGACTAATACTGTCAACGATCAAATTAAATAAATACAACGGCGACTTTGAACATCCTCGGATATAACTTTCAAAACTGTTCAAACGGAAAACTGACCGTCTGTTTTAAGTTATCATTTTACGATAATTTTCATCTGAGGATGTTGCGTAATCACTCAGCTGATTTGTTTTATTTTTACAACTTACACGAGTCGATCAATTTTACTATTCGGTAGGTAAAAGGTTGGAATTAACGGTAGATTTATTATATTGATTGAATAAAAATTGAAATACAAAAGGTAGAAAGACTGCTGATGGATAATGTGATGGCAAACGTACGACACTCGACCAGGTTGTGATCAGCAGTGGATTGTTTCTCACGACCATTTCGTTGATATGGATGATATTTTAAAAAAATTAGCTCTTTGTCGGATAATTAATATGCGATTGAAAAATATTTTCATTTATAGACTTACAATCTTTAACGATAATCTCAATTTACAACTAACATAATGTCCTGGACATTCAATAATGTTTTACAAAATAATGACAAGTGGTGATATAAATTAAATTCCCAGTCATGTGAAATTCAACAGGAAAACTGGGAGTTATATTTTTTCTGGACTTTTAAAAATAAATTGAGGCAGATGCACATGAATTTAATGCATCATAATCATGATAATATTACTAGGCTACTCCCTCATGTCCCAATCAACAAATTTTATTTAGAACACAATGGTATCAATAAATAAATAACAACTATATATTGTCTAAACCTTTTCATTAAGAACTTTCTATATATAAATTGTGTACAATAACATATAAAAAAACTGCAAGTATATCTTTTATTGAATATAAAACAATTTCCTTAGTGATAAGCATGAAAACACGATGCAACCGAAACGGTAATGGAATCTCACTTCTCCAAGAAATTGACCACTTCTCCCTTCTCTCTCTTGGAAGGAGAAGTCACTTCTCCCTCTTCAAAATCCTAGATTAGGCCCTGCTGATGCTTCAAAATTGGTACAGTGAATGTTTTAATGCTATATATTGACACTTAATTTTCATTTTGATATTGTGTGTCCATAGATGGCTGTTCCAGAATTAAATGTATGGGGACTGGAAGACTCTCTTTCTGATCACCCACCTTGCATTAATTTTAATAATCTACTACCCCCACCTTGAACAAAATAAAAGTGGTAAAAATGCCTACCATACATAAAATTGAATAAAAAAATTTAATTCTTTAAATGTTGCAACACATGCGAGTTTCATTTAATCTGATGGATGTATACAGTGGTACAACTTATTTTTATACGACCGCAAAAAAATTTTGCGGTTGTATATTGGTATGGCGTTGGCGTCGTCGACGTCCGAAGACACATTGGTTTTCGCACTCTGACTTTAGTTTAAGTGAATGGATCTCTATGAAATTTTACCATAAGGTTCAATTCCACAAAAGGAAGGTGGGGATTGATTTTGGGGGTTATGGTACCAACAGTTAAGGAATTAGGGGCCAAAAATAAGCATTTTTGTAACTTCCAGACATAACTTGTGTGTAAGTGTATGGATCTCTCTGACATTGTACCACAAGGTTCCATATTACAAAGGGAATGCTGGGATTGAGTTTGGGGGTAATTGCCCAAAACGTTTAGGAAAAAGGGGCCAAAAATTAAGCATTTTCCTAGTTTCCAGACAATAACTTGTGTTCAAGTGTATGGATCTCTCTGAAATTGCACTGCAAGGTACCATACCACATAGGGAAGGCTGGGATTGATTTTGGGGGTAATTGCCTCAAAATTTTACGAAATTAGGGCCCTTAAAGGGGCAAAAAAACGTGCATTTTTCTAGTTTCAGGACAATAACTTGTGTGTAATTGTATGGATCTTTATGAAATTGTACTGCAAGGTTCCATATCACAAAGGGAAAGCTGGGTTTGAGTTGGGGGGCAATTGTCTTTAACGTTTAGGAATTTGGGGCCAAAAAACAAGCATTTTTCTAGTTTCCAGACAATAACTTAGTGTTCAAGTGTATGGATCTCTCTGAAGTTGTACTGCAAAGTACCATACCACAAAGGGAAGGCTGGGATTGAGTTTGGGGGTGATGAATCATAAGGGGGTTCAAAAAATTTGGGGGGGATTTTTTTTCGTTTTTTTTTCTTTAAAATTTTCCATTTTAAATTAGTTATTTCTGATTTATATATAAAAGCAAATAATAATGATATGGTTTGAATAGGTAAATTTAAAATTTTTTAAGTTCTTAGACCACATTCATTCTGTGTCAGAAACCTATGCTGTGTCAAAAATTTAATTACAATCCAAATTCAGTGCTGTATCAAGCTTGAATGTTGTGTCCATACTTGCCCCAACTGTTCAGGGTTCGACCTCTGCGGTCATATCAAGTTGCTCCCCAGCGGAGCATTTTTTATTGACATCTAATAAAGTTTCCTGCATGTAGGGCTGACCCACCGTAGCAAAAGTTATCACAAGCTTTTCAAGGGTGACCTGCTTGCCCCATCATCTGTAATCTCTATCTCTCCTGTTTGTTTAAATGTCTGCAATGTTTGGCATCTCTGTCACAAAACTCAGGCTTTAGTACAGGGTCCTTATATACCCACCCTCTCCCTTTTTATACAACCGCAAAAAAAATTTTGGGATCGTATAATGGTATGATTTCGTCGTCTGAAGACACATTTGTTTCCAGACAATAACTTAAGTTTAAGTGAATGGATCTCTATGAAATATTTTTAGAAGGTTCAATACCACAAAAGGAAGGTTGGGATCGATTTTAGGGATGATGGTCCCAACCGTTTAGGAATTAGGGGCCCAAAACAAGCATTTATCTAGTTTCAAGACAATAACTTGTGTACAAGTATTTCAAGTGCTCTGAAATTGTACCACAATGTTTAATACCACAAGTAGAAGGTTGGGATATATTTTAAGGGTTATGGGGGCCAACAGTTTAGGAATTGAGGGCCAAAAAGGGGCCAAAAGCAAGCATTTTTCTAGTTTCCGGACAATAACTTGTGTGTAAGTGTGTGGATCTCTCAGACATTGTACCACAAGGTTCCATATATAACAAAGGGAAGGCTGGGATTGAGTTTGGGGTTAATTGCCCCAAACATGTAGGAATTAGGGGCCAAAAAGAAGCATTTTTCTAGTTTCGAGACAATAACTTGTGTTTAAGTGTATGGATCTCTCTGAAATTATACTACAAGATTCCATACTACAAAGGAAAGGCTGGGATTGAGTTTTGGGGTTATTGCTCCAAGGGGGGTTTCAATAAGTTGGGGGGGGGGATTTTTTGTTTACAATTTTTTTAAAGGATTCATATTTTTTTCAAAATTTTTCAGTTTCTTTGTTGAATTAATGAGATGAAACATTGAGCTCTAATCAAAAATTATGAGCTAACCTGAGAAAAATTGTTAAAGGCATGTTTTTAGATCTCAAAACTTGAGAATTTTTTGTGGGATTGTGAAAAAAAATTACTTATACAAGTAAATTTTTGAGAAAATTAAGGGGAGATTATTCAAACATTATAATTAACTTGTATAAGTTTATTTTATTTACTTCTTCAAGTAAATAAAGATTACTTGTACAAGTAGTACCCCTGACTGACAGTTTCAAGCTTGAATATTGTGTCCAAATTTGCTCCAACTGTTCAGGGTTTGACCTCTGCGGTCGTATCAGGCTGCGCTCTGCGAAATATTTTATTATAAACAATAATTTGCAGGGGGTTCCCCTAGTGAAAGTGCTTCCAAATTCATCACTTTCAAGAATGGGCAATAGAAGAAACGAGATTGAGGTGAAGCTCTCCTTATCCTAAAAGAAGTTTATCTCTATGCAAGAGATATATAGGAGATTCAAATTAGCGGTGGTCCAAGATCCATGACCTTTCATTTACCAGTTAAGACCTTTCCAACAGTAGTTAGTTACACCTGTCAGACTCGTATTTTTGTAGGTTAGAAAAATTACAAAAGCATTTAGAACAAAAAATATAAAAATTTAATAATGAAGTATAAAATAATTTTAAAATATGTACCTTTCCTAAAAGGAAACTTATGTATTTGTTTAAATTCTTCCCATTTGATTTGATGTGCAGTCACATGATCTATACTAAAGCAGTGTACAATATACAAGTCTTAACAGTACACAAAAAACAACATAGAAAACCAAAGACTGAGCAGCACAAACCCCACCAAAAATTGGTGGTGATCTCAGGTGCTCCAAAAGGGTAAGCAGATCCTGCTTCACATGTGGCACCAGTTGTTTTGCTCATGTTAGTAAACAACTATACCTGATAATGTACATTAAACTTTATGAAAATAAGAAGATGTGGTATGATTGCCAATGAGACCAACGCTCCACCAGAGACCTAATGATGTAAATTTGACAATCATAGTTCACTGTACAGCCTTTAACAATAAGCAAAATTATACCCCATAGCAAGCTATAAAAGGACCCTAAATGACAAATGTAAAATAATTCAAACAAAAACACTTAACAGCCTGATTTATGAACACAAAAATTGTCATGCCTGTTGATATAACATATGCAAATGTATATAAATGCTGACTAACCGTATACTCATTTTATCTTTTTGTCTTTTCAGAGGTTATGGAAAAGTCAAACAAAGCTTATAAAGAGGCATATGAACAAGCTTTAAAACATATGCCACCTACACATCCTATAAGATTAGGCTTGGCTCTCAACTTCTCTGTATTCTATTATGAAATAATGAATAAACCTGAAGAAGCTTGTAAATTAGCTAAATCTGTAAGTATAGGGCCACACCTAAAAATATTTTGGTTTGCCCAAACCCTACCATAAGGTAGAGACAGTGGGTAGGTAGGTAGGCATTTTCTTTTCTTTTTTCGGCAAAGAGAAATTGAAGCGTCAGATGTTTTTCAGTCTTCATGCCTATCTGATTAAAAAAAAACTTTTTCACATCAGCACAATAAAAGATTTTGAGTAGGCAGATATTTTCTGGGTAGGTAGGGTTAGGGCAAACAAACCTATTCTTTTTTATGGCCTAGTCTTAGATTCATAGACTGTAATTTCAGAAATTATTGCAAGGTTTTTATACGCCCGTTTACGGGACGTATTATGGTATACCCTTGTCCGTCTGTCCGTCCGTCGTCAACATGTCAGACATTAACTCAAAAACGCTTGAACCAATTAGCATAAAACTTTGGTGAATTGTTTATATCTATTGAAATGAGCTCCCTTTCGTTTTTTATAAATTTTAGATTTTACGTTTCCGAGTTATGGGGTTTTATTCATTAAAAAAAGGGGGGTTTTCCAATTTTCGGACAATAACTCAAGAATGCTTTCACCAACTTGCAAGAAATTGTGGTGAATTGTTTATATCTATTGACATGAGCTCCCTTTTAATTTTTATATATTTTAGATTTTACGTTTCCGAGTTACAGGGTTTTATTCATAAAAAAAGGGGGATTTTCCAGTTTTCCGACAAAAAATCAAAAATGCTATCAGCAGTTCGTATGGAACTTTGGTGAATTGTTAATATTTATTGATGTAAGCTCCGTTTAGAATTTTATAAATTTTAAATTTCTGAGTTATGGGGTTTTATTCATTAAAAAAGGGGGGATTTTCCAGTTTTCGGACAATAACTCAAAAATGCTGTCAGCAATTCTCATGAAACTTTGGTGAATTGTTTATATCTATTGATGTAAGCTCCCTTTACATTTTCAAAAATTTCTAATATGACATTGAGAATTAATTGAACTTTATTTGTTAACAGTCTGACAACAGATTTACTAAGTATTGCACAATAGCAAGAAATCTTTAATTGAATATAAATTCAATTCACATAACCAATTTCAAGTTCTTTGACTACGTTTATTCAGAAACCTATAATATGTCAAATATTTAATACAATCCAAATTCAGACCTGTATCAAGCTTGAATATTGTGTCCATTTTTGCCCCAACTGTTCAGGGTTGGACCTCTGCGGGCGTATCCAGCTGCGCTCAGGCCAAAATTAAAATTAAGTTTGTTTCCCCTTACCCGACCGACCCTCTAAAAATCCGCCGACTGAAATAATTTTTTTCGAAAATCACGTTGTTGTTTTTTTTTTTTTCGTTTCGCTCAAAAGTTCGTTTTTTAATTTTGTTTCCTTTAATGGTCCGTATTTTTAACATTCCGCTAAATCATTGTCGCCCGTGTGTTTGCAGCAAAGGGTAAACAACGTATGCAAGGATACTGAAATTGGAATGGAATAATGTTTTAAATAAATGCATCCAAGCAATCTTAACTACTATTCCATTCTAGCTACGCCTCCAATAACAAAATGCGTAGCGAGAATGGCCGAGTAGTTACGATTGCGCATCCGAGCTCACCCTTGAGCTTAAATGTTAGACCCGGTGTTTCTGTCGTGTTTGTGGTAAATCCCTGAGTTTGCCTTTATCAGTGGTTGACTCAATAAGTTGTATATTGGCGTGCTATTTATGCTATTTTGTTTCATTTCGTATGTGATATTGGACCATACACTAGTTGTCTTTGGATAAAATAGTAGTTGATTTTTTTCGAGCTCAGCATCATATTGTGTTGTGAAAAGTCGAGATGACTATACCAGCTAATGCTTTGATAAAAGTTCTTGTAAGTTCTTATGTCTTTTATAAGCTATAATGGGCTGATGATTAAATATGGTCACACATTCAGGGTTTTGTGAAATAAGATGCCAGTGTTTCATTATTATATTTTTAGTTTCTGTATAGATGGGTTGAATTTTGTTAATATTACTAGCGGTTGCTCCCGTTTCGCTGGGCATGTGTTAGCAAGGTTTCCCTTTCTGTATTTTGTGTTTGATAAAAAAAATTGTTGATTTCAGATATTTGATATCCTCGTTTGAGCTTCTTACTGTTTTTTTAAGATCAGTTTTACTGCTTGTGTTTCTGAGATACCTCAATACTTCACCCTGGATAAATCCTTTCAATGAAAACACTTTTTGGGTGTGAGCAGTGTCTGTGCAGATATTGATATGTTTCAGTTGGTTTGATATTGGTTTTAATGTCTTGTATCATACTATGCCTTCGTTAAAGAATCTTTCTCCTTTGTATAATTATGACAGTGTCTAAGAATATTGTTTCATTACAGGAAAATTCGTAGGTGAACTTCAACTATCATTATCATTTTGTTTCTCTGTGTTGAAAGCGTTGTAAAATGTGTTCAAGAATTAACAAACATTGTAAGGTCTGCTAACTCAGCGAATGCTGATCCGCACATAGGTATGCCCAAGGTTTCATGGTAAAGTTTATTGTTAAAAATAAATTCATAGTTTTCTAGAATAAGCCTTAATAGGCGTAGTCATACTCGCTTGGATCACGGTTTGTGGCTTCTAGTATTTCCTTGAATGAAAAACAAGTGTACATATTTTTTGCATCGAATGTTACTAGGTAGCAGTCTCGTTGGGGTTTTATATTTTCAATTGAATTAATAAAACTATAAGAAAGATAACCGTGTCTCAATTTATATGTGGTCTACTCTAAGTCACAAAGACATTGATATTTACAAACATTTTCTAGTCTGAAATTGTAAGGTCTTCTAGTCATGCATAATACATTATACAGTATGTTGTTTTAGTATCAATAAAGTTCAATTTGTTGTTTTTCTGTGTTTTCCTGTATGTTAGATCATAGATATATTTAAGGGATTTTCTCTAAAAAAAAAAAAAAAAAAAAGCCTACCTACCTACCCACTTCCAAAATGGTGGGTAGGGTAAGGGGAAACAAAGATATTTTTAATTGCGGCCTCAGCGAAGCAGTTTATTGCAAATGATGCTACTTCTTGAGTATTGCAATGATAAGATTAAGAATTCACATTCTGATATAAAATACATATCTATGTAGCTTTTTCTAAAATCGCAATAATTAATATCACATTTTTTCATTCTTCAAAATTCACTATAATTTGTGAATTTACAGTAGTTTTATGGGTGTCATGATTTTCTCAGATATTTTAGAATTGAATAAACACCTTATCGCTATTTAGTCAAATCTAGTCCAATCCGGAAAAAAAACAGTCACTTTAACAACTTCCTGTTTGGTTCAAGTGTCGCAAAAACAAAGGTCATCAGTAACGAGCTGAAAGAGGAAAAAGTTTTAAAAGCGAAAATTTTGAAGATTAGATAGATAATGATCCACTTTTTTAAAACACAAATTAAAATCATAAAAATTATTTGTTTTAAGTGTTTACGATGGTTTACACATGTCTCTCTCAAAAGTTTTATGCTTCATTGTTTAAAAAAGGGTCCCAAATAGGTTCAACTGGATGAAAAAGTGGTGTCATTTCGGAACTTATCCGGATTGGTATAAATAGCGACAAGGTGTAATAGTGAAAAGTAAATTTTATTTTATTTTACTGTAATCATAGTAAAAGATTATATCTACATGTAGTAAAATTCCCTGGGAAGATGGCATATTATAGAAAAATCAATGTAGGCTCTGAGGTCTGGAGGAGGGGATTTTTTTCATATCAAGGACCTCCCATACTTTATAGTGTATCTTTTGTTTTCTTTATTCAAATGGTTTCTGGACTTATTATTTAAGTAAATGAACATAGTTGCAGGTTAAGCTTTATGTCTTATTTTTTGTGCTTCCCAATATCAAGTATTAGAATTACTGACTTTTAAAGAACATTTATATGAAAAATGAAATGATTTCGTACAAAAATTTGACTGGTAAATTAAATTTTGAATTAGTATTGTATAAGAGTAACAAGACAATTTGGGGGTCCATTGAAAATCAGTCCTGTCACTTGAACTTTTCTACTCTGAAAAAGTCCTTTTACTTTCACGACTTGACCTAACCTACCTTAAAAAACTTATACTTGACCATACCTACATATGAAAAAAAAAGTAGTTAGTTTTTTAATATATATATATTGAGACAAGCTATGGCTGCCTCCATTTACAGGTTCAGACCTTTGTGACGGTAGTTGGTTAGACCTGACGGACTTTCATAATTTTGTAGGTTAGAAAAATTACAAAAGCATTTAGAACCAAAAATATAAAATCTAGTATAAAAATAATCTTAAAATATGTATCTTTCCTGAAAGGAAACTTATGTGTTTGCTTAAATTCTTCACAATTGGTTTGATGTGCAGTCACATGACCTGTCGTTGTAAAAGATACCAGGAAATACCTGATCATACCTACATTTATAAAAAAAAAGTAAAGTTATATATATTAGGCACAGCTATGGCTGCTTCATTATTAGACTGAATGTTCAGTAAGAAATTAAGTGAAGTGATTTTGACAAAGTGTATTTTTATGCCCCACCTAGGGGCATTATGTTTTTTTGATCTCTGCCTCCGTTCATTGGTCCGTCCGTCTGTCCCGATTCAGGTTAAAAGTTTTTGGTTGAGGTAGTTTTTTATGAAGTTGAACTCCAATCAACTTGAAACTTAGTACACGTTCCCTCTGATATGATCTTCATAATTTTAATGCCAAATTAGAGTTTTGACCCCATTTTCATGGTCCACTGAACATATAAAATGATAGTGCGAGTGGGGCATCCGTGTACTATGGACACATTCTTGTTTCACATTATTTTATGTGTACACATTCAGTGAGATTGTATATATTTATATTGACAATTTGTATTTTTCAGGCTTTTGATCAAGCTATAACAGAATTAGATACATTAAATGAAGATTCTTATAAGGACAGTACATTAATAATGCAATTATTGAGAGATAATTTAACGGTAAGCGTTGTTTACCTAGACATAAACATATTAGTGGAAGGTTATGAACATTGTAAACCTTTCATATGGATGTTGGAGTGTATGACTTCCAACCCAATATACTTTTGAGTAATTTTAAATGAACCACTACCAAATTTTCTAAAGACTCGGAGAGATGATTTAATCAGGATATAACCCTTTGGGGTTATTCATATCTATAGTTCCTAGTATAGAATTCGTCTTACATTTTCATTGTATCCACTCATAGATGAGATTTTTCTAAGTGCCCTCCCTATGTCCCATGTTTGCTTTTATGGAACAGACCTAAAATGACATTTGCTGAGAGGTTAAGGATAAAATCCTTGTTCACACACACACAGTCACAAATATTTTTTTTTCTTGCGTCCAAACTTACTAATTACTGACCCTCAAACAAATAATTGCAATATTCACATAAAACATAATGTATATCACCTGATTAGAAAATTTCAACATTATATTTTCCCTAATCTGCAAAATATTTGTAATCCAATCAAATTTGAATGAAATCAAAACTTTGAATTCTGTTCCATTAAACATGCCTAACCAATTTGAGTAACAGATCTATTAGGATAATAAACATGAGTTTATAATGTATAGTCTACCATCCACCAGATTTATTAAATGCTTTGATTATCTATTTTTTCCAGCTTTGGACATCAGATACACAAGCCGATGCAGATGACGCTGATCAACAAGAAGCCAATTGATTATATCATTATCATAACGTGTCATTCACACAGAAACTTTGGTATGACCTCAGATCGTATGTGTGTGAGAGAATGCTGTTACCAATAGTCTCATATACTTCAATTCTGCCTGGTTTATTTTTAGTATCATTTTGTCAAGTTCATGTTGCCATAGTTACTACATAGAAGTCTTCACTAGTTAATGTTTGGTCTTTAGGTTTGTTCAGAATTTAATATTAGATTCTACTACTCAATTGGAAAAAAATAGACTTTTAAATTGTCAGTCAAGCAATTTCAATTTTGTGATAATTTGTAACAGCTAAAGATAGGTTTCTATGGCAACGTAGATTTTGTTCATGCAAGAATGAGTGAAGATGGTTTTCATTTTAATGTATCGCGTAAAGAATTGATAGAAAAGTATTATCTGATAAGAAATTAACCATAGTTTAATCAAAAAGTGATCATATATTTCTTATATATATTCTGGTGAAATAGGAAAGCATGTTAAGCTTGACGTTATTTACTTTTACACTGTTACTTGTACTGTGTCGGTGACAACAGGTTATATACCTGTGTTTTACTATGTTTGTTGTTTTTGGTTTATTTTCCTTTTTTTTTTTTTTTTTTTTTCTCTACTTGATATGCCCACTTCACTTCATTTTGTTTTTTTTTTCTCAGGGTTATGAGTTGTTCGTATTTAACAAAATGCAGATATTTTTTTTCCCCCAACAAGCTTATTTGTGCTATCTAAAAAAATAATTTCTTTTTGTCTTTGCTCTGTGAGCATGCTTTGAGGAGACAGATGTCTAGAAAAGATTAGAAAGAGATGCCCCATTATGCTCGGTGATGAGAATGATAGATCTGTTTTAAAAAATGAACATTTACACATATGTGCTTTAGCAAATTTCTTCCAAGATTATTTTTACCCATAGTGCACCAAAGTTTCTCTTCGTCAATCTTTATAAGTGCTTTTGTCTGTTTTTTATTACTGTATTATTCTCAAGTAGAAAGAGTTATAGATGTATTTGTAGTTATATAATATTATAATTTCTTTATTCTCCCAATAATTAGTCAAATGGAAGCCAAAAAAATATCTTGTGTTATAAGCTGTTGCAAGGTCAGCAGGGAAAAAATGGCTTGAACAGGGGTTCAAATGATTTAGATTAAAAGTCATAATTTCCTTTAATCCTAAGTTCATTGTAAATTTATGCACAATAAAAAAACGTTTATTAATAGAATCAGTGCTTTAGAAGTTGACAGAAAACCATTTAATAACTATTATAAGGCTTAGATTTTTTTACAAATTGGTTCTGTTGAAAAGTTTGTTAATGTGAAACAATTTGAACTGTAATTAATCAAAGGGTTAGTAGCCCCCTCATCTAGCAAGCTAAACATACATTGCAAAGCCAAACTATTGGCATGGTTAAAATATTTGTGAACCCCTGAAGAGCTTCATACTCTTGCCAGTCGATCAATCAGTTGCATACAACAATCAACCAATTTCATTGGTTAATCAGTTGAAGGTGAGCATTTTCCATTGGTTAAATGAGATGACCTTTGACTTGTTTAATATCACATGATAACTGTTGTGTAGAATTTGTCGTCATGGTAATAACTTTTTTATTTAAATGAGTAGGGCTTTGTTATGTTTATCTGATAACATTCAGATGTTTTGATTAGTTGACTAGCGCATTTTCAATTAAATTTTGTTATTTAGCCTTTGATTAAAAAAAGAGAGAAAAAAATAACTGGCTCCAAGTATTTATCTGTACTGTTTAAAGATAAACCAAATTTTTCAAGTTATATTTATCTATGTATTTGGAACTATAAATTTTTAACCTTTTTGTCTTTGACTATGTTCTCTAATGGCTGGTATCTAAGTATGTCTACATTTCTGTTGTGTCAAAATTCAATTTTATTAATTCCTTACTGAAATTAATTACACTTGGGATTCATGCTTGAGAAAAAAAATAATAATTGGTGCTTTAAAGGAAGGGGGTATTGAAAAATCATGCTCTTCTACAAATGTTTTCTTAGAAATGTGAGACATATTTAGACAAAAGTCATTCTCTATTTTATGTAATTCCCTAAGTTTTTACCAAGTTCTTCTTTAGTGTGTAAGAGTTGTCTCCCTTAGAAAAGGTTTTAATTTAGAAAGTTGCTTTTGTATGAAATTTGTGCCAGTTTAAAAGATTTAGGTCAAAATGACAATTAAAATTAGTATAAAATTGTTTAATTTAGGAACATAACTCTTACTGAACTTGGGGAAAACAGGGAAGATTAATGTTGAAGCCATGATATTTGAAATATTTATTAAAAACTACCGTGGACTCCGGGTTTTCACGCTTTTTATGTGTTCTACACATGGCCTGTATGATTTGGTTATTAAGACATCATAAATGAATAAATGTTTTGTCTACATACTCTGTTTTATTTGTTCACCAAAAACCAGTCTTGAAAAATTGAGAAAAAAACAACAGGCTGGTTTTTTTATCGAATAAAATTACAGCTGAAAATTTCTCTCATTAGATATATAGCTGTTGCCAGGATGGAAGATGTGTATTATGTTTACAGCTTTTTCTAAAAACCAGGCATGGTTCATGATAATATTGATTCATGGTAAAAAGTGATGCAGATATTTTAATAGTTTCATTTCATCAAGTTGCAGGGGCATTGGTGGCCAAACAACTGTTTCACTAGCCTGTCAACAATGAGGTTGTCAGTTTGAATCCTGCACATGGCTGGTGTGTTTGAAATAATCTTAATTGACTAGGATTGTCTTTTTTCCTACAGAAGTGGGTTGTTCTCTCCAGGCACTCCAGCTCCCTCCACCAATAATAACTGACGGCCATGAAATAGCACAATAGTGTTTAACATAAATCATAAAGTTCCAGTGGTACAAATTATTTGTAAAAATTCATTCAAATTTTTTGACTGATTAATTTGAAAATCTTTTTTTTATGCCCCCACCATAACCGTGGGGGCATTAAGTTTTACCCTTGTCCGTCTGTACGTCCCAAAATTGGTTTCCGTTCTCTAACTTGAGTTTTCCTCAAGCAAATGGTATGGAACTTATACACAATGCTTATTACCACAAAACACAGATCAAGTTTGAATTTTGGTGGCATCACTTTAACCGTTCTAGAGTTATGCCCCTTTATAAATTGAAAAATTGCAAAATTTTTATTTTCTTCTGAATACTGTAAATTCAGAAATTATTGTGAGGTTTATATTAATGCGAGTAGATGAATATCGCAATAATAAGAACTCGCATTCTGATATCTGATACTTATATCTGTATGCAGATTTTCCTGAAATCGCAATAATTAATCTCGCATTTTAGTCCCATTCTTCAAAAATCGCAATAATTTCTGAATTTACAGTATCGAGTCATTTTTATACGACCGCAAAAAAATTTTGTGGTCGTATATTGGTATGACGTTGACGTCGTCGTCGTCCGAAGACACATTGGTTTTCGCACTCTAACTTTAGTTTAAGTGAATGGATCTTTATGAAATTTTACCATAAGGTTCAATACCACAAAAGGAAGGTTGGGATTGATTTTGGGGGTTATGGTACCAACAGTTAAGGAATAAGGGGCCAAAAATAAGCATTTTTATACGACCGCAAAAATTGAAAATTTTTTGGTCGTATATTGGTATGACGTTGGCGTCGTCGTCGTCGTCGTCGTCGTCGTCGTCGTCGTCGTCGTCGTCGTCGTCGTCGTCCGGCGTCGTCCGAAGACACATTGGTTTTCGCACTCTAACTTTAGTTTAAGTGAATGGATCTCTATGAAATTTTACCATAAGGTTCAATACCACAAAAGGAAGGTTGGGATTGATTTTGGGGGTTATGGTACCAACAGTTAAGGAATTAGGGGCCAAAAAGGGGCCAAAAATAAGCATTTTTGTAACTTCCAGACATAACTTGTGTGTTAGTGTATGGATCTCTCTGACATTGTACCACAAGGTTCCATATCACACAGGGAATGCTGGGATTAATTTTGGGGGTAATTGCCTCAAAATATTAGAAATAAGGGGCCAAAAAAGGGGCAAAAAACAAGCATTTTTTTAGTTTCATGACAATAACTTGTGTGTAAGTGTATGGATCTTTCTGAAATTGTACTACAAGGTTCCATATCACAAAGGGAAAGCTGGAATTGAGTTTGGGGGTAATTGCCCAAAACGTTTAGGAATAAGGGGCCAAAAAGGGGCCAAAAATAAGCATTTTTCTAGTTTCCAGACAATAACTTGTGTTCAAGTGTATGGATCTCTCTGAAATTGTACCACAAGGTTCCATATCACACAGGGAATGCTGGGATTGATTTTGGGGGTAATTGCCCAAAACGTTTAGGAATAAGGGGCCAAAAAGGGGCCAAAAATAAGCATTTTTCTAGTTTCCAGACAATAACTTGTGTTCAAGTGTATGGATCTCTCTGAAATTGTACTCCAAGGTACCATACCACAAAGGAAAAGCTGGGATTGAGTTTGGGGGTGATGAATCATAAGGGGGTTCAAAAAATTTGGGGGGGGGGGATTTTTTTTTTTTTCCTTTTTTTTTTCTTTTAAAATTTTCCATTTTAAGTTGGTTATTTCTGTTTTATATTTAAAAGCAAATAATAACGATATGGTAGGAGATACACACCAAACAGGATGTGTAAATTATTATAAAATAAGTATTGTGCAATAGCAAGAAATTTTCAATTGCACAGTATTGCACAATAGCAAGAAATCTTCAATTGCACAGTATTGCGCAATAGCAAGAAATCTTCAATTGCACAGTATTGTGCAATAGCAAGAAATATCCAATAGCACAATATTGCGCAATAGCAAGAAATTGTCAATTGTACAGTATTGCGCAATAGCAAGAAATATTCAATTGCACAGTATTGTTCAAAAGAAGATACTTCGTATAAATTGCTTATTTCTTGACCAATTTCAATGGGGTTTTATTCTTGAATTCTTGGGGTTCTTTAATATGCTGATTCTAACCGTGTATTAAGTTTTTGGATTTTGGGCCCCGTTTTTAAATTGGTCCACATTGAGGTCCAAAGGGTCCAAAATTAAACTTTGTTTGATTACATCAAAAATTGAATTATTGGGGTTCTTTGATATGCCAAATCTAACCGTGTATTTAGATTCTTAATTTTTGGTTCTGTTTTCAAATTGGTCTACATTAAGGTCCAAAGGGTCCAAAATTAAACTTAGTTTGATTTTAACAAAAATTGGATTCTTAGGATTCTTTGATATGCTGAATCTAAACATGTATTTAGATTTTTGATTATGGGCCCAGTTTTCAAGTTGGTCCAAATCGGGGTCCAAAATTAAACTTTGTTTGATTTCAACAAAATTGAATATATGGGGTTCTTTGATATGCTGAATCTAACCATGTATTTAGATTTTTGATTTTTGGGCCCCATTATCAACTTAGTCCACATTGAGGTCAAAAGGGTCCAAAATTAAACTTTGTTTGATTTCATCAAAAATTGTATTCTTGGGGTTCTTTGATATGCTGAATCTAACCATGAATTTTGATTTTGGATATTGGACCATAATAGTTGAATGTCCAATTTAAAATTTTTAAGTTCTTAGACCACATTCATTCTGTGTCAGAAACCTATGCTGTGTCAAATATTTAATCACAATCCAAATTCAGAGCTGTATCAAGCTTGAATGTTGTGTCCATACTTGCCCCAACTGTTCAGGGTTCGACCTCTGCGGTCGTATCAAGCTGCGCCCTGCGGAGCATTTTATTGTAACTTCCAGACATAACTTGTGTGCTAGTTTATGGATCTCTCTGACATTGTACCACAAGGTTCCATATCACAAAGGAAATGCTGGGATTGATTTTGGGGGTAATTGCCTCAAAATTTTGGGAATTAGGGGCCAAAAAAGGGGAAAAAAATAAGCATTTTTCTAGTTTCATGACAATAACTTGTGTGTAAGTGTATAGATCTTTATGAAATTGTACTACAAGGTTCCATATCACAAAGGAAAAGCTTGAATTGAGTTTGGGGGTAATTGCCCAAAACGTTCAGGAATAAGGGGCCAAAAATAAGCATTTTTCTAGTTTCCAGACAATAAATTGTGTTCAAGTGTATGGATCTCTCTGAAATTGTACTACAAGGTACCATACTACTAAGGAAAGGCTGGGATTGATTTTGGGGGTAATTGCCTCAAAAGTTTAGGAAAAAGGGGCAAAAATCCAGCATTTTTCTAGTTTCAGGACAATAACTTGTGTGTAAGTGTATGGATCTTTATGAAATTGTACTACAAGGTTCCATATCACAAAGGGAATTCTGGGATTGATTTTGGGGGTAATTGCCTCAAAATTTTAGGAATTAGGGGCCAAAAAGGGAAAAAAAACAAGCATTTTTCTAGTTTCAGGACAATAACTTGTATGTAAGTGTATGGATCTTTATGAAATTGTACTACAAGGTTCCATATCTTAAAGGGAAAGCTGGGTTTGAGTTTGGGGGTAATTGCCCTAAACGTATAGGAATTTGGGGCAAAAAAACAAGCATTTTTCTAGTTTCCAGACAATAACTTGTGTTCAAGTGTATGGATCTCTCTGAAATTGTACTGCAAGGTACCATACCATAAAGGGAAGGCTTAGATTGAGTTTGGGGGTGATGAATCATAAGGGGGTTCAAAAAATTTGGGGGGAGGGATTTTTTTTTCCTTTTTTTTTTTAAATTTTTCATTTTAAATTAGTTATTTCTTATTTATATGTAAAAGCAAATGATAATGATATGGTTTGAATAGGTCAATTAATAATTTATAAGTTCTTGGACCACATTCATTCTGTGTCAGAAACCTATGCTGTGTCAAATATTTAATCACAATCCAAATTCAGTGTGTATCAAGCTTGAATGTTGTGTCCATACTTGCCCCAACTGTTCAGGGTTAGACCTCTGTGGTCGTATCAAGCTGCGCCCAGCGGAGTATTTTATTTAAATTGGAGTTGTCTTTCTTTGTCCATGATTATAGTTGAATCAACTACAATCAATGCTTTATACAATGCAATGTTTAATTTTGACTTCCACTGATAAAACACAGATCAAGTTGAATTTGGGTAGACTAAGTGTCACTTTAACCATTATTGAGTTATGCCCCTTTATAAATCGAAAGATTGCAAAATTTTTAGTTTCCATTCTGTTACTTAAGTTTGCCCCAACTAAACATTATGAAACCTATACACAATATTCATTACCACAAAACTAAGATCAAGGACATATTTTTTGTTTCCGTTTTCTAACTTTAGTTTGCCTCAACCAAATGTTATGAAACTTATACACGATGCTTGTTACTACATAATACAGATTAAGTACGAAATTAGGTGGCGACACTTTTACCATTCTTAAGTTACTTCCCTTTATAAACATAATCAAAGTAGTGAAGTACTGAACATATGATGACCGCAAGTTCTTGTGGCTGGTCAAAAGCACTTGTCACAGAAAAAAATCACATCTCTATACCTGAAACTGAGGTTAATGTACAGAGATATATTTCTTTCTGAGAGAAGTTCGTGCGTGGATGATGAACAAATGACAGGAAATTCAACCTCACCGTAATAACTATTATATTGTAGTGATACAAATCAGTATACACTGGTTTGTTGTTATATATTATATTAATATAACAGTTACATGTATATATAATTTTCATCCATTTGTATATCATTCTATTCTACTATTCTAAAAATAGCGCAGTGCAAGTGCATGGTGGACACTCTTCTGTAAAAATTCGATTTTTCTAAAAGAATGGATATGAGTAGGAGTTCATATTTTCCCGCAAAAACAATTACAGAGTTACTGGTCCTTGCCGGGATTATTGCAAAATGTTCTTGAGATATTCTTCCGCATGCTTTAACACATTTTTTCGGTACGTGTGCATAGATATTATCAATGATTTTTTTACTTATATATATATATAAATATCTAACGACAAAACATTTTCATATTATTGATTTATGTTCTAAACAAAAATATTTTTATCAGTATTCATAGAAGAGATGTATTTATAACAAACGATAAGGAATGTTAGTTTGCACTAGTTTAATATCCGCGTATTTATCTTGTTTATTGATCGGTTTCAATCACAAAACGAAAGTTACGTGTGCAAAATTTAGGCGATAGCAATACATCGGAATGACCTCACGGTCATCTCGATGTAAAAACTGCTGAATTTTTTAGTTTGTCTCAACCAAATGTTATCAAACTTATACACAACCGTTCTAGAGTTATGCATGTTTACAAATAGAAAAATTGTTGAATTTTTAGTTTCTGTTCTGTACTATAAAAGTTAGCCTCAACCAAATTGTTATGAGACTTTCACACAATGCTGATTACCACAAAACTCAGATCAAGTTCAAATTTGGGTAGCATCACTTTTACCATTCTTCAGTTATGTCCCTTTATAACTATATGATATGCAAGCAGGGGCATCTGTGGACACTATCCACATTTATTTTTCTTTCAAATCTTGTTAATCTTAAACGAAAAATTTGTTCTTAAATTTGATATAGGTTTTATTGTTATTTTAAGAGTTATCTCCCTTTGCATTAAATGGTTTAAATACTCTTGTGCAAGGAGCAAAAACTAAAGGGTCCCGGTAAAGTGAGAAACGGAACAGAAACGAAACAGAGCGAAACGAAACGAAACATGGCGAAACGAAACGAAACACAGCGAAACGAAACGAAACACGACGAAACGAAACGAAACATGTAAATTGAGAAACGAAACACTACGAAACGAAACAAAATCTGTATTTTGAGGATCGACATATAGAAAATCTTCCTGACGAGATATGTGCATAGCCGAAGACACCGAATATTCCATTCAACTTTGAAAAAATTACTCGTCATTTACATTGGTATCTTCGTGCATTAGTTGCAATTAGTCAACTTGTTTTGTCAAATGTGAGGCTTAGGAGTGTCAGCTATGCTACAGAGCCTGTTCTAGTATCAAGGCTTCTTGTCACGTCCAACGATGAGGGAACATTGAAATTATAATAGCTGTTACTGGGGATCGTCTGAATATCAGCCTCAAACAAAATTGGCCATTCTTACCTTTGTGACTAGGATTTTTATGTACCGCCTACGGTAGTAGGGCATAATCTTTTCCGGTCTGTGCTGCCGTCCGTCAGTCCGTCCGTCCAATACTAGGTTTATTCTGTTTGTTAAGATAGATTAAATTACAATAGAGTTGTGTTCATGTCAACTTGAAACACATGTTCATTATGACATGTTCTTTTTGAAATGTATGCTAAATTAGGAATTTGAACCATAATTTGCGATTCAATGAACATGCAAATTTGATATTTTAAGCGAGTCATACTGTCCTATGGATACTTAACACATGACAAGAGTAAAATCTCTTTGTTCTTACTGTGCTATAATCTGGATAATGCACAGCAAAGGTGTGCATTTACTACCTCAGATATACTGCACAGTTCAAAAGTACTCTTACCTTTAGGGGCGGACCCTCGATTTTGAAAGGAGTGTAATTCCATATAAAATTTAAAAAATATCACCGAGTGTACATGTAGCGAATATAAAA